GGAAGAAAATGTAAAGTACCCCACTTCACATTATATTGAAATCATGAGCGGATTTTATTTTAACTAAAACATTTGTAAATTCATATGATTAATCTAATGTAATGTAATATTTCTTAAAATATAAAAACTTTAAATTTTTGAAACATCTTTTTTAACAATTACAAATATTTGGTAGCGAAATCAAAATTTTTTAAAGACAGTAACCCCTTTAAACATAAAAAAGTTTATCAAAGTACATTTATATGTTTAAAAAGACAACAAGGTACATGTTGCTACAGTATAAAGTGCACAATGCAAGTTACTTGAATTCACAATTTTTTTTCACAATCATTTATATGATGTTTTTGTTGTTTGTTGGTGATTATGAAGTTTTACTCATCTTAGTAATAACAGTTTTGAAAATGTTTAAATCTGAAACATATTTCTTAATTGATAGAAAAAATACAAATATCAATAAGAGACCGAGATAATGAATAAAATTTAAGTATGCAATCATGTTTTTACTTTTAAATCTAAATGTTCATTGACTATTTAATATTATTAAAGATTAATGATTTATTTTTTAGTATATGTGAAGGTAATCTGTATTTGAATTCTCTTCTTTACTTTTACCAATTTAGTATGCAAAAAAACAACGGTATTATATTTAATGAATGAAAGAAGTACTTATACACTCCAACACCAGAAGAGACTTTTTTGAACTAAATTTGGGTAAGTGAATGGAATACCCGAGAGATCTTGGATTATTTTTACAATAAATTTTATGAAATGAAACAATGTAAAATAACTTATACATTGATCAGAATCAAAATTAAACTTAAGCAGATAATTTTAACGCGTTATAATTTTTCAGATCATTATTTGCATCATTAAACAATAAAATTTTGTACTAAGCCAAATTTGTAGATTTAAATTCTAAACGTAAATAAAGTTAATTAAAAATATTAAAATATTATCTTCATTTGATACGTTCAAAAAGAATACATAAAATCGAAACTTGAACTATTAGATTGATCACTTAAGTATTACTTCAAGTTAATTTGATTCCCGGACTTTTAAACTAAATGATACAAGTAAACAAGAAAGAAGTATTATAAAAAAATAGCGAAATTAATTTCACACTCCCATTAAATTGCTTATTTCAATTTAATCAATTGAATATTAATATTAATGATTATTATGTTGAAATGCTAAATGAAATCGATCTTTTTACAACTTATAGTACTACTTTTAATTAAATTTATCACACACATTTTTTTGTTTTGTTCTGTAAATGAAAAATTTAAAGATAAATTTCAAATTTATTGGTTAATGTGAAACATAGTATTATCATATTTGAAGTAAACTAATTAATAAAAGTAATTTCAAGGAGCTGATAACAATGGACGATAACTTTTTGATATAACAAACGCTTTGATGAGTTGGAACAAAACTGTCTTTTATTTAATAGCGCTCAACTAATTAATAGATTGTTGAGGATTTAGAGTAGCAAACTCTACACTTTTAATTTTACAAAATACATGATACAAATTACGTATATTGAAAATACTTCAATCATAATTTCCCATAAACCAACGATACATTTTTGCTGTTGAAAAACTTCTCGAAAATTTATCATATTTACGAAGCTGAAAAAAGATTCTCATAATCAAACTCAATGAATTAAAATTTAATATAATTTTATTTTAAATCAAACATAAACAAACTAAATTTATCAATTTATTTCTTAATTTGATAGATTTTGAAAGAATACATGTAAATGAGTTTTGGAATTTCATTAAAACGAAAAATGGATATTAGGTGATTTTAATCTTGTACAATTCCAGAAACATACCATGATTTTACCATGCCTCAAGAATCGCGAACAGTCAGTATTCAATTTTGAACTTCATTGATTTTACTTACGATATATCCATCATTAATATTTCAAATTTATAAAATACATATCAATCTTTGAATTTTGAATAGTATAGAAACCAATTAATTTATCAACATTCATTTGATCAATTAAAAAAGAATCCATTTAATGATGTTATATTATTAATAATTTATACTTCCATGCGGATAATGCAAAATAAAAACTAAATGATTATTAGAATAAAAAGCTATTAAGTACTTATCGTAAAAAAAAGTTGATTAAACTAATTTTAATTTTTCAAGATTATTTTGTTTTATATTTATAATAAATTAATTTGATAATTAAATTTTATAATACCCCACACTTTATTATTTTCATTAAAAAATTATCATGAGATAAATTTTATTATGACCCAAAACATTTATAATTTTCATATGATTAATATAAATGTTAAATATAAAATGCAATATTTCCTAAATACAAAAAATAGTTTAAATTCTGAAACATCTTTTTTAATAATAGAAAGTATTTGGTAGCAAGATTAAAGATTTCCAAAAATAGTAACCCCCTTAAACATCAAAGTTTACATTTATCTGTTTGAGAAGACAACAAGATAGAAGTTACTGATTTATGAGGTGCAACATGTAAGTGAAATATAGAGATAAATTATAAAAAACTAACTAGTTTGCAAAATTAATTTACCAACCCTTCAAAATTAAATCATCTCTTCGCCTCAACAAATTACTTTATATTAACTGAAACCCAAATAACTACCATTTTTAAGTTACCAACTATTGAATTTTAATTTACTTTTTTAATTGGATAATGTACATGGTGACAGAAGAATATTAAAATTGGTAGTTAGTTAATTCAAAATTTGTATCAAAGTGATTACTGTATATGTAGAAGTGACCGATTAAATTTTAGAGGTGGCTTAATTCTAGCTGATACTAATTTATTATTTTAAGAGGAAATTTGATTATTATCCATCACTATTTGAGGATCAGTTCACAATTTTGATACTGCGATTTTTCATACGATATTTCTTGTTTGTTGGTAATTTTTGGAGTATAATTTATTTTAGTAACACTTTTTTAAAATTGTTTGAATCTGAGACGGATCTTATAAACAGAGACGAAATACAAGTACAATATAAATACAATGAATGAATTTCTGATATATAATCATTGTTTTGTCTTTACACTAAAAAGTTTTTGACTGATTATTATGATCAAAGATTAATGATCTACTGATTAGTATAGGCGAAGGTAATTGATATTTGAATTTTCTGCTGTTAATTTACAAAATCAGTTTGTAAAAACAACCATAATATTTGTCTCAAGTATTGAAACAAGTTTTTAACATCAGTATCGACCTTCTGTGATGTGGTTTGAGGTAATAGGATTTAATCCCGGGAAGGTTTTGGTAATTCGACAAAAAAGCCTAAATATTAATCAAAATCATCCCTCCCTGATAAACTAAATTAAACGTTAGCAGATAATACTACCGCGTTATGATTTTTCAAATCATTATTTGCACCATTAAACAAAAAAATTTTGTACTAGATCAAATTTGTAGATTTGAATTCTAAACGTAAACTGTGCTAACCAAAAATGTCAGATTACTATCTCCATTTGATACTTACAAAACGAATACATAAAATCAAAACTTGAATTATTAAATAGATCACTTGAATATTACTTCAAATTAATATGATTCCTGTTACACTCAATGATTGAAGTAAACAAGCAAGTGAAAAAATAGCAAATTACCTTCCTTACTCCCATTGGAATGTTTATTTCATTCTATTAATTGAAATGTAACTCATTAACTATTATATTTAAAATTTAATAAAAAACTTTTTAAACTTATAATAATTTTGACCTAATAAAATTATCACATTTTATTTTTTAATTTGTAAATAATAAATTCATAAGATGAAATCTAAGTTTGAGTAACATTAAAGATGCTAATATTATTTGAATCAAACTATTTGATTAAGGTGAATTCAAGGAGTTAGTAATAATATTGATAAATTTTAAATGTATTGTACGCTTTTATGAGTTAAAATATTGTGTCTATAGTGAAAAATTCTGAGCTAATTAATAGGTTTTTAAGGATTTAGAGATGCAAAATCTACATTTTTAAATTTACAAAATACATGATACAAATTACTAATATATGGAGTTTCAAAAAGTTTCTTTATACCAGGAACAAACCGCATCTGTTTCAAAAATATTAAAAGGCAAAAAAACGAAAAAATTTCATGACTAAACTCAATGAATTAAAATCATTGTAATTTTGTTTTAAATCAAATATAAACAAACTAAATTTATCAATTTCTCTCTCAATTTGATAAATTCGGAAAGAATACGTTTAATTGAGTTTTGGAATTTTATTTAAAACCAGCTTGTTAGCACCTTGCTTGTTAGCAAGGTGATTTGAATCCAACAACTAAAAAATTCCACTGCCCTGATATCAATTGTGAACTTGAGTCAACATTTAGTGTGTAAAATTAAATTTTTTTCTCTATATAGAACATAACATCATTGAAATTCTGAAATTCAAAAATAGTATATCATTTCTTGAAGTTTAAATCGTATGAAAACTAATCAAATTTATCAACATTTATTTGATCAATTAAAAAAGAATCCATTTAATGATGTTATAATTCTACAAATTGAACGTGCAAACCTAGATGTGGATGTATTATCTTGCCCAACATCAAATGAAAGTGCATATCTTAAATCTGTAGTCATTGTTTTTAATTTGAAGTAAATTGGGAGTGGAAACATAATCATCGAATAGACTAAAACTATTATCAACAATAAAGTCAACTTTTGACTGAAAATAAGGAACGAAAAGTTTGAAAAAACATATTTACAAACAATTTATTGAAGATTATTTTGTGTTTAATTTATAATAAAAATATTTCGATGAAAAATAAATTAACTTTTTTTAGTACCCCGCATCAAATTTTTTTATACACTCCATGAGCTAAATTTATTCTAACTAAAATGTCTGCACTTTCATATATGATTAATGTAAGGTAATATTTTTCAATTACGTGAGAAGTTCAGAATTTAGTAATCTGAAAAATTTAAAACAATTAAGTATAATAAATTGTAAAGTTAATTATACTATGTTAATCAATCAGACATTTCCTGATAACTTACAAACTTTAGATCTTTCACAGAACAAAATTGAAGATTTAACATGTTTAAATATTACAAATTGTACAAGCTTGTCAAATTTGCAATTGAGAGTTGTTACAAAAATCGATGAACCAAAAGGTGCTACTAAATTAAGAAATTCTATTTTGAAAATAAAGTCTAAAACTGGAAGCTGTAATGCGTATCTATCAGCTTATAGACGTCGAAAAACAAAAGTTATATTTGAAACTAGGAATGGTGAAGTTAAAACTTAATGAGTGATTTACAATCAAAAACATTAGTTGAATACGAAGATGATCTAATTGAAAAGGGTATTTACGAATTTTGAGTAGTTTATTTAATTTAAGTAGAGTAATGGAATCATCAAAATTTTGCATCAAAATACACTATAAAATCAATTTGTAGTCATGAACACATATAAGAAAAACATTTACTCTACAAATAATCTAAATCATTCAACATACAAAATACAGCAATACATTTATTATATTAAATACTACCAAAACAAATTACTCAAAATTCTCGATACTTCTCATTCGCATAAACCTAAAACATATTTAATTTCTAAGGGTTATAACATCACTAACTTCATTGCTTCAACTTCATTTGAAACTAAATAAAAGTAACAAAATTCTAGTAATATTTGCAACCAGTTTTACATAAATTTCAAAAAATCAATTTATTTAAGATCAATAAAACCCGAATAAACTTGAAGTAAGTCTTAAACTTATTTATTATCTAATCATAGATATAAAGAGCGAAAACTTAGACAATTGCAAGAAAAAGCCAAAATATAGACACCCAATTTAAAATACTCATCTTCTAGTATGGAGATCAATTATTAATAATTGTGACACCTAATTTCATATTCTCGATAGCTTTAAACGTGACATTGGATGTTTATAATATAAAAACTAATGAATTTTATTAAAGTTGTGTAATGAATGAATTTCAAAAGAATCTATAATCAATTAATAATAACAAATTGGAAGTAAGAACAAAAATCCAAAAGTGCATTATAGAACTATGTCCTTTTTGATAAAAAATCATAAAATGTGTAACTATTTGAATTTTATTTGTTTGTTTTCGGTGATATTGTTTATTATTTATATATTTTATATTCAATATGCTCAACAAGTATATTAAATTTACTCCACAAACTTTAATAAAATTGTAGTTCGAAATTTCATATATTAAAATAAAAAAATAATATATGATAAATTTATAAAATAATTTAGGGGGGTATAAATTTCTGAAACAATTAAACTTGTTTGGTAGCCTTTTTTAAATATTCTATTATTTAATAATTTTCACAGCATCAAGTATCTAATTATAAATCATTGACATCAAAGATAATTGTGAGCTTCAAACCAAAAAAATAATCGTAATCTAGTTTCTAGTTAATTTGGTATTAAAACAAAGTTTTAATCTTGTGAAATTTGTATTCATTTCATGTTGATTTGAAAGTCTCACCTTTTTATATAGGGTAGTCTGAAGCTCTTAAGTAAATCTTATTAATAGATCTTTCAATTCGTATCAATGCATACTTTAGTTCAATCGATTGTTGAACTATAAAATTTTTTTTTCGAAATATATTTTAGATCAAATAAGAATACAATTAGATGCCAACTGTCAGACAACATACAAATACAAATTAGCATATATGAAATTATATACAACTCGAAATTGACAAAATTTGCTCACTTCAAAGGTGTTAAAAGAGATAAAACTAGTACAAATCTAGGGTCACCTTTCTTTATTGTTTCTAATAAATTATAAAGTTCTCAGTTCTAATAAATTATAAAGTTCTCAGTAACAACGTATTCATAATTTCGATATAGAACGATTTTTATTTTTTTCAAAACTACATAATAAATTCTAAAGCAATAATATATCACATTACGATTCGAAAGCAGCACAATTAATTCGAGGTTTACCAAGCTCTCATACAAGTATTCTTAAATTTTCAGAATGATCAAGTACTCAACATGTGTCAACATATACTCAAATAAGATTGCGGTCTTGTAAATTCCAACCTGCAATCAACTTAGTCTGGTGTTTAAAAATTTGACTATGAAATGAAAAAATGGTGAGAGGAAACCAATTAAATTTATCAAGGAGCTAATACTACTTAATGCTTTCAAAATAAATTTTTTTTAAATAATAATAAATAAACCTCAATCAAGAGATCGTCAAAGATATAAACTCATCAAAACTCAACTTCTCATACCATTTATATAACTAATTTTATACTATATAGTGACTAAAAAATCTGAAATTTGATAAAATTTTGTGCACGTAGATTTACATTTATTAATTATTACAAAATTTGAGATTTCAATTCAATAAAATTCATTAATTAATTAGTCTGATTTGATTCCAGAAAACCTTTAAAAAGTTTATCATACACGCTTTTTGATTAAACATTTGATTTTTCGACCCATTTAATAACTGTAAGTTACTTTTTTGAATTTTATTGCAATTGAGCTTAGTTATATTCAATTGTGAAACTCATAAACTATATGAGGGTAACTTTTATTATATTTGGTGCAATTAGTTATGAATATTTTGCATTTTGACTTACTGCTCCTTTCCTCTTTTGATTGCAATTTAATGCTACAGGGCTTTTTCGCTGAGATATCATTTACCTTTATTTCAATTGACGTAAGCAATCTCTAGAAGTAATAAAAAAGAGAACATCTACAATTTCTTTAATGTGTTTTTAACAAAAGATACCAAATACAAATTTACATTTAAAATTAATCTGTGTTGAAATAATGCAAAAATATCGGACGTTAATATATTTCAAGTTTCTTTAATTTTACTCAACGCTATTATGTTTCAATACTTCATGAAGCATGAAACTTTTGAACTTGACATAAACTAATCAAATCTATTAATAGAATTGTCTCAAAAAGAAACAAGATTTTTTAATAAATTCTAAAAGAATATGTCTATTGAACGAATATCAAATTGACATGAGGACTTAAAACAGAATAGGAGATTGCAAGTCAAACAAATGGACTATCATAATTTTTAGCTTTTATAATTATTTAGGTAATCCCGATATTCAAAATTCATCTTCAATACTCATATACATCATATAATTCGATATAAAAATCTTTCTATTATTAAATTAACAATAAAAATCCACATCAAAGTGTTACCCATAGAAATTAAAAAAGAATGCATAACAACATAATTGAAAGGTTGCAGAAGTCAAAATCAAAAATCATAGAACTCAACATAAAAATTTATTTATAAAGTATTCCGAAAACTTATCAAATTTATCAAAAATAAATTTGATCAATTAAAAAAGAATCCGTATTCAAATGATTATAAGTCATCAAAATTTTTGAAAATAAACTTTTGATAAATGATATCAGTTAAGACAAAATACAAGCAAGCATAACATCGACCATTCTTTGACCAAAGATTAAAAATTGATTCTTTATAAAATTATTCATTTTTGATTTTAATGTGCAAAATTCATAATATTTATATACTTCAATTAAATTGTAATTATTAAGATTTTCAACCCCACAAAATTTTAGATTAACCCAACAAATTCAATACAACTTATGAAATTCATATGCAATACAAATTTACTTAGTATATAACTGCAATATAACTATTTTTATTGTTTATTTAATTTGATTTATTTATTTTTAAGTAAAGTTTAATTCTGAAACAAATTTTAAAACAATATGAATATTTACGAGTAAAATGGTAGCTTTGAATTCGTATTTGTAGATTTATATATCACGTGAACTATATATAAGTTAATTTATATAATTTTGCCTACCTCGTCCTTCCTCTCTACATACTTTTTTACACTTTTTATCTATACTTATACCCATCAAATTTTATTATCAATCTTATATCATAGCAAGATTATCTTTAAATATCGCTTTCACGTCATTTAATATATGTTGTGTTTATATATCAATTCTTCCATTGGTTCTATTATTCTGGGATATTACAATCACGTGCTGTATCACGTTTTGTGTGAAATTCCTACAGTATTTGTTTTAATGTTGTCGGTAAATAACCTCCACTACACGTGCTCTTTAATAAAATAAGTTCGTAATTATCAAAAATTAATCAATATCTTGAATATAGCAACAGACATTCATTAAAGGCAATATTCATTTGATTTCAAAATATATCAAAAAGTGTCTTTGCACTTACATAGCTATGTCAATCGGAAATTCAACTCAAATTTAATTATTTCACTAAACGTCTGCCCAATTAAGGTTCAAAAGTAGAATCACTTTTGTCGAGAATTCATGACTTCTCGAGTTTTATGATGTAGTGTTTCAGTTTATCAACTACAATTTCTTAATTCTAGGAATCGAGTTTTCAAGCATTATAAATTCTGAAAGAAGAAGCACACATGTTGGTATAAGTTCATCAACTGCAGGTGATTGAAGCAAGTATAAAGTTTTGGAAAGATAGTGAACAGCGGCACAAACTAAGAGTGTAGTTTTGATTTTTTACAACTATTTTGTGATTATCTGTTTCAAACTAATATATGATGATCTGAACCAAGTACTTTCAAATTGCAAGCTCGAAGATTTTTATTGCTGAACTCAAGTTAACCAACTACTAATACCTCTTTCACTAAACCACAAATTTTGGTAGGAAGATTAAACAATCATATAATTTTGGAGCAACGCAACTCAACAAGCTGTTCAATTTGGAGGAGAATTAAGGGCTTAGTTTACTTGGTTTACAAAGTGTGATTTTTTTGTTTCCCATCAATATGTCCCTTACAAAACGTTAAGTAATTCGGTTTTCAGTAATGAATTGAAGCTCTTCAATTTCATTATGACTCCAAATTAGATAAAGGTGCATTTTGGAGGAAAAGATTATAAGGCGTGGCACATTTCATGAATATCATTTTCAATACAATTCTGAAACATATGATAGTCGCATTATTGGAAAATTTAAAAAACTTTAAAAAGAATTTAATTTTCCTCAATAAAAATAATTGGCAACCACTTTTTAAAAAATCAATACACGTATTATTTTCATCAACTTATATTCAAACATTCTACAACAAAAATATAAACTTGATTACATGTTCATTTTTATTTTAACAATTTTATTGACTCATTTATAATGAATATATTCCTTAATTTACCAGAAGAAGTATTAGCACTTATTATTAAATATGCCAATGATAAACAAAAGCTTGAAGAATTGGTTTCCATTCCTGCGGTACAACAATATGCATTACGTGAAAGATATTCGACTTATAATATGGAAGCTTCAAGTGGATCCTATGATGGATCAATCGAAAAATTGAAAGAAGTTTATATCAAATACAACTTCAAACCTTCAAAAATAATTGGAAATTTATATCAAATAAATCAGCTAATTGAAGCTTCAAAACCCAAAACAGCACCAGAGAGAAGAACAAAATCAAGCGTCCAAGATGTCAGTCAATTCTTGAATACTATCGATTTCAGTCAAGCAGAATTTGAAGTTGTACTATATCATGGAGATATTTATTCTGAGTTGATCTCAGTTGTTAATAAGCTTAATGTAACTGGAATTCATACGAATAAGGGAGGTAATAATTTTTTCACTATACTTGGTAATAATCAAAGAACATCATTTTTGGAATTGATAAAAGCAAGTAATCTAACATCATTAACTACAACTTATCTGGATTTGCTTCAAATTCAACCACCTAAATCCCTAAATGAGTTAACAATTTATAATCAGCTGAACCAAAATTTTTCCTTGGATTTAAGCACATTAAATAATCTTCGAAAATTTATTTGTCATGACTTAAGGGAAATGGATTCATTAGATGGTCTTCAAATACCCAAATCAATCAGGCATCTAGAATTAATATCCTGTGGAATGCAAAATTTAAATAATTTGGAAAGTTTAACAAAATTGGATACACTTATTATCGAAAATTGTTCTAAATTCATTGGTTTCATCAAGTGCATTTTACCTGAATCTTTAAGAAATTTATGCTATGCCAATTGTCTCACAAAAGGAAAAGTTAACCAACTATATAATGAAGTTAAAGAACTCACAAATGATCAATTTGAAATTTCAGATTTTTCAAGTGATGGTAAATCATTAATTATTGGCCCTGATTTCAAATTTCCTCCACGATTATACAACATGAGTATTATAGATCATTTTAGTACTTTACAATTTGAATCACGATCAACATTAAGAGGACTTGATAAATTAGAGTTAATTGGTATAGAAAATTTTAATTTAAAAGAATTTTTTCAATTATTACAAAATGAATTAACTTCAGTTAGTATCACCTATTGTCAACTTTTGGATATTGATGACTGCCAATTTCCTTGTGTAAAAGAATTAAAATTCTCAGGAAATACAATTTCCAGAACTTTTAAAACAAATTTGGCTCAATTGGATTGTTTGAAAGATTTAGTGATTGAAATGAATGCTTATGCTGATAGTTTTAATTTGGATCCTTTCAAATTTTTTACAATTGAAAATACTTTTGTTGATTCATCTGGTACACCAAAGAGGAAAGTTGCAAAAAATGTTGAATCTTCCTCAAGTGATCAAGCTGTTTCAATTAATATGCCAAATTTGCAGTTTCTAAGTTTGGATAAATACAATAGAAATTGGGGAAGAAGAAATCAATTTAATATTGAAGATGTTCCTCCACCGGTAAACTTAAATGGTTGTAAAAATTTAGTTTCATTATCAATGTCCAACATGGGCTATAAAATTTTGAATCTTGATCATTTACCAAACTCGATAAAATTTATAAAATTTAGAGATTTCAAATTTTTCTCAATTGTCGGTGTTTTTGATAAATTTTCACATCTAGAAAAGTTAGATTTAAGATCTAATGAAATTAGCTATTCAATGTTATCAAATCAATCATTCCCAAATAGTTTAAAAATTTTAGATTTATCAGATAATAAACTTGAAGATTTGACTTGTTTATATCTTTCAAATTGTACTAATTTAAGTCATTTGTTTTTAAATAAAGTAACTGGTCTGGATAATCCTAAAGGTGCAAGGGAATTAAAAGAATTATTTCTAAAAATTAATATTGACTCAAAAGAAAATATAGCTGAATTAAGTAATCGTAATTCAAAAAAGATTTTTAAAATTGTTAATGGTAAAGATGTTAGTAGAGCTGCTAAAAGGGAATTAAAATCAAAATTAAGAAACAATGATGCTGATCCAACTTTCAGAGGATGATTAATAGGTTCTGTTTATTCTCAAATAATTGGTTTGTCCTTACCTATTCTTGTTGCTTTTTTTTTAGTTCAATTTTCTATATTCATTACTTGTAACTAAATATTTATTGATTTTGTGTAATTTTTACCCCTTGAATATTTTTTGAAAAGTTTATTTAAAACTTTATCTATTTATTTAGTCAAAGACCACAATGTTCAAATTTTCAAATTACAACAGTTTATAAATAATACAAAATTACAAAGCTACATGTATGATTAATCAGATTCATTCCACTCTGGAAAAACGATTTTAACGTTAGCAGGAAAAACCGTCACGTTGTGAATTTTAAATCATTAATTGCAGCAAAAAACGGTGAATTTTCTCAAGATTTTATATTCAAATTCTACAACTAACGTACACTAACTGAATATATTAACTATTTATCTCTGTTTGATATATTTAAAAAAGTTTAATTAAGTCGAAATTTGAGTCTTGAAATTGATTACTTGCTTATTGATTTAAGTTTACCTGATTCTTAAACTTTTATACTTACTCAATTAACTTGAGATTGTGAGTAGGATTAATAGAATGAGGAAATCGATTTTCAATCATTCTAGCAATAAATTGAAATGTAAAAGTCTTAAAAAATATCCTTGGATCTCAAAATTCCCAAATTATTATAGAAAAGTTTTGAACCTTAAATTTTAAAAACTCTAAGCAAATATATCAAAATAAATAGTTAATTAGTTTGAAAACTATCTCTTTCGATGTGTACAAGCTAATTTAATCATACAAAAAGTATTAGTAACAAAAACGTAATAGTTATTTTTCAATTGAAATAATCGAGCAAGAAGCATTATGAAAACATATCAAATTTAAATTCTTATTCCCATTAAATTACAACTTTCTTTCAATTAATTAATATTCAGCTCATTGATCATTATGATAAATATCAATAATAAAAAGAACTCTTTTCCAATTCATAATATTGATTGTAACTTAATAAAATTATCACACAATTTTACTTTTGTTTTGTAGGTAATGGATTTATAAGATAAAATTATGTAAATTTTAGATTAATGTGAAAAATAGTATTATCATTGGTATTTGAAATAAACTAATTAATAAAAGTTATATTAAGGAGCTGATAGTAATAGACGATAACTTTTAGATGGAACAAACGCTTTGATGAGTTGAAATGAAAAAGTTTTCATAGTTAAAAATTCTCAGTTAATGAATAAATTTTAAAGAATTTAGAGTTGCAAAATCTACATTTGTAACCTTACAAAATACATGATACAAATTACTTATATTGAGGATACTTTAAAAAAAGTTTAATAAAACTAGATACTGGTGACAACATCAACAATCGTTGGCCTTTCATCTTTGAAAAAATCAAAAATTAAAAGTATTGTTAGACTCAATGAATCAAAATTAAAGTAATTTCATTTTGAATCAAACATAAACAAACTAAATCTATCAATTTTTCATTCATTTGATAAATTCTGAGAGGATACGTTTAAATGAGTTTTGAAATTTTAATAAAAGGTAGATTGTTGCAGATTATTATCAAATTCATTCATCTTTTTAAAACATCAAAAAAAACCATAATTGTGAACCAACATACAACATCCATTAAATTTTTTTTTCTACTTATAACATAAAATTACCAATATTTTGAAATTCAAAAATAACATATTAATCCTTGAAATTCAAATAGTATAGAAACCAATCAAATTTATCAACAATCATTTGATCAATTAAAAAAGAATCCATTTAATGATGTTACAGTAATACCAATTCATTTATACAGGCTGGTAAATTAGTTGCTTCGATATAAACAGAAAGTTCATTGATTACAAAATCAAAACTAAAAAGTAATAAGTTGATTAGAGTTAATAAAGTTGATTAAACTAAATTTTAATTTTTTAAGATTAATTTGTCTGGTATTTATAATAAATTATTTAATAATTAAATTTATGTAATACCCCACTTTAATATTTAATTATAAATAAAATCATGAGATAAATTTTATTTTAAACTAAAAACATTTGCAAATTTTCATATGATATTAATATAAATGTTAAATGTAATAATTCTTAAATAATATAAACAAAAAGTTTAAATTCTGAAACATTTTTATTAACAATAAAAAAATACTTGGTAGCAAAATTAAAAAACTCTAAAAATAGTAATCTCCCTTAAACGTCAAAGTTTATCAAATTACACATATTCGTTTGAAAAGACAACAAGATACAAGTTGCTGATTTATGAAGTGCACCTTGCAAGTGAAATAAACAGATAAATTTGAAAAACTTACTTGTTTGTAAAATTAGTTTACCAACCCTTCAAAATTAAATTATCTCTTCGAATCAATAAATTATTAAGTTATAATAACTGAAATCCAAATAACGACCAGTTTCAATTTACCAAGTATAGAATTTTAATTTACTTTATTAATTTAATAAAGTACATAGTAACTGAAGTAGATAAAAAATGGTGGTTAGATAATTCGTTAGCTAATTCAAGAACTGTATTAAAGTAATTATTGCAAATATAGAAAGTGAATTATTATACAGTAATTCAGAGGTGATCTAATTCCAGCTGATAGTAATTTATTAATTTTAAGAGGCAATATCTTTATTAAAGGACGAGATCACAATTTTCATTTTAAAATCTTTCATATAATATAGTTTTTGTTTGTTGGTAACTATTTTAGTATAACTTATTTTAGTAATACTACTTTTAAAAATGTTTAAATCTGTAGCAAATTTTTTAGAGAACAAACAAAATACAAATATCAATACAAGACCAAGATAATAAATTAAATTTTGATACGTTATAATGGTTCTGCCATTAAAACGTTCATTGATTAATTAATATGATCAAAGATTAATGATTTATTATTTAGTATATGTGAAGTTAGTTTATATTTGAGTTTTCTGCTGTAAGTAAATCTACGACACTAGTTTGAGAAAACAACCATATTATATGTTTTAAGTATTTAAACAAGTTCTAAACATCAATAGTGACCTTCTGCGATGTAGTTTTGGGTGATATAATTAATTGCCTAGAAGATGCCGTTAAACTCTTACAATAGGTTTAATATAATACAACACTATAAAGTAATTTATATATTACTCAAAATTGCTGAGGTTCAGCTCCGCTAGTACATGTTGAAGATCTGGGTCTTGCTAGCATAAAATGCTCATAAACTATATAATTATTGATCAATCTGAAAATCTTTTTTCTCAAATCATAAAGTTAATATAAACTCTGATTTATTTATCAATTAAGTATTCAACAACATAATTATAAAACAATTATCAATATCAAGTTTAAACTCAGAATTGCTTATCTGTCAAAATCAAAGATAAGTAGAAGTTATTTCTATTTCAAAATATAAAATAAATTGAAATGGTTATGTAATAGTCTAATCTCAATACATAGATTATCAAAACATACGATACAAACATAGCAATCAGTAAACATATAACTAGTAATTAATAATCAATTACCTAAAATATATGTTAATACTTTAATTCAACTATATTTTGTTGTCTCTTAATCATACATAAAGTAATAACAATAATCCAAAGATTTTTTCTCCTAAAATCAGCATTCTAATATATAAAATTATACATAGAGAAATGTAGGATACCAACACCTATGGTACCGAAAGGTAATATAAATGGTAAAACATTTGCTAATGATAATAACTTATTGGTCAATTTCAATGTCACAATTCAACAACTTGGCCAATACAAAATAAGTAAACTTGCCTTACTTGAATTAATAAGAACTGTTATACTTGAAAATTGATGTACACATGCAAGAAGCATTATGCAAAAATAGAAAATTTAATCCCACACTCTCAATAGATTGCAACGTTTAATTCATTGACTGAAACTGACCTCATTAATTATTATTTTAAATATTAATAATAATAAAAATCTTTTACTTATAACATCAACGTTTAATTTAATAAATATCACATACTTTTTATCTTTGAATTGTAAATTAGAATTTCGCAAGATAAAATTAAATTAAAGTATTTTAATTTTGAAATTAAGTGTTTAATAAAGGTAATCTCAAGAAGCTGGTGTCTATAGACAATATCTTTTAGATGTATCAAAAACTTTCATGAGTTAAATTAAAAATGTCAATAGTGAAAAATGCTGAGCTAATTAATTGGTTTTTAAGGATTTAGAGTTGCAAAATCTACATTGATAATTTTACAAAATACATGATACAAATTACATATATTGAGGAAACCCGACAAAAATGATATTATTTTGACCAATTCCCTTATTTAAATATCAGAAATAAAAAAACACAATAAAACCTAATTAAACTCAATGAATTAAAATCAATGTACTTTTATTTTAAATCAACTATAAACAAGCTAAATTTATCAACTTTTTTCTTAATTTGATAAATTCGGAAAGAATATGTTTAATTGAGTATTGGAATTTTAATAAAAAGCAAAATGGTATCTAACAGATTTAATCATCGTACAATAAAAACATAAAAGGATTTTCCATTGCTTCAGGCATCGCGAACAGTTAGTATTCAATTTTTTATTTTATTGTTTTTACTTACAACATACATCATAAATATTTCAAAATTCAAAATTGAAAGTCAATCCTTGAATCTCAAATAATATAGAAACCAATCAAATTTATCAATATTCAATTGATCAATTAAAAAAGAATCTATTTCATGATGTTTTATTTTTACCAGTTCCACAAACTTTCTAACACTGTTTGGATCCACTTCTGCTAAAACACTCAATGTAAATATATTTTAATTCAGAGCTAATTCATGAAGATAGATTGGCTTGAAACGAATTTGAAAGTACTATTAAATAATCCACATCATCATCGTAATTTTCAACACTAAATTGAAAGATCATTTACAAACAACTTTTTTAAATTATTTTATATTCTATTTATAATAAATTAATTTGATAAAAAATTCAATTAATTTTTTATAATACCCCACACATCAATATTTTAATTAAAATATCATAAGATAAATTTATTTTGATTCAAAGTGTTTGTAAATTTTCATATGATTATTAATTAAAATAAATGTAAAATGTAATATTTCTTAAATATTAAAAATAGTTTAAATTCTGAAACATATTTACTATTTGGTAGCAAAATTAAAGATTTCTAAAAATAGTAACCCCCTTAAACATTGAGATTTGTCAAAATAAACTTGTGTGTTTAAGAACACAACAAGATACAAGTTTCTAAAACATAAAGTGCACAATACAAATTACATGTATTAAATGATGAGTTCACAATTTTCATTCCGAAACCTTTCATATGACATTTTTTTTTTTGTTGGTAATAACAGTATAATTTATTTTAGTAGAACTATTCTAAATTTGTTTATATCTGAAAAAAATTTTTAAATAATAAACTAAAAGCAAATATCAATGAAATTTTGATACATAATCATGATTTTACCTTCACATTAAAAAGTTTTCTAACTATTTAATATGATCAAAGGTTAATGAATTACTAATTAGTATTAGTGAAGGTATTTTATATTTCAATTTTCTGATGTAAATTTACGAAATTAATGGGAAAACAACCATAAAATTATGTGTTTTAACTATTGGAGTATGTTCCAAACATCAATAGATACCTTTCAAGATGTAGTTATGGATGATAGAACTTAATGCCCCGAGGGTTTGTTAAATTCTTACAACTAATTCAATGAAATACAACAATATAGAGTAACTTACATATTAATCAGAATCATCCCATTTTGACAAGATAAATTCAGCTTTAACGGAAAATACCACCACGTTATGATTTTTCAAATCATTATTTGCATCATCAAACAAAGAGTTCTTAAACTTTATTAAAATTGTAAATTTAAATTCTAAATCTAAATTAAACTAAATAAAAATATCAAAATACTATTTCCATTTGACACCTTTAGAAAGAATACATAAAATTTAAATTTGAGCCCTGAAATTGATCATTTGAATATTATTTTAAGTTCATCTGATTCCTGAACGTTCATACTTGATGATTGAAGTAAACAAGCAAGAAGTATCATTGAAAAATAGCAAAATAACTTCCTTACTCCTATTAGATTGCATATCCCATTTCATTTTATTAATTGAAATAGAACTCATTAAGTATTATATTTGAAATTAATAATAACAGGGAACTTTTTCAACGTATAATAATTTTGGTTTCATAAAATTTGCACAAACTTTTTTTTTTGTTTTATAAATAATAAATTCACAAGACGAAGTAAATATATTTTAACTTAAGTAGCATTAAATAGATTAACATTATTTAAAACAAACCATTTGATGAAGGTAATTTTAAAGAGCTAATAAGCAATAATTAATAACAAACGATAACTTTTGGATGTAAGAAACGCTTTGAAGAGTTAACATTAAATATTTCTATAGTTGGAAATGCTCAATTAATTAATAGTAGATTTTTAAGGATTTAGAGTTGCAAAAACTACATCTGTAAATTTACAAAATACATGATACAAATTACATATATTAGAAATTTTCAGAATTAATTTATGACGGCCATATTACTCATTCCAAAAATTTAGCCGAATCAAAAAGAGAAGCGAACGATAATTAAACTCAATGAATCAAAAGCAATGTAATTTTATTTTAAATCAAACATAAACAAACTAAATTTATCAATTTTTATCTTAATTTGACAAATTCTGAACGAATACGTTTAAATGAGTTTTAAAATTTTATTAAAAGGCAGATGATTGCACAATGTTATCAAACTATCCACATTGTTGGACATCAAAAATGTGGTTCAGCAGTGAGTGTGTAATATTAAATTTTTTTCTCTATTCGAACATAACATCATTGATCTTTTGAAACTCAAAAATAACATATCAATTCTTGAATTTTAAATAGTATAAAAACTCATCAAATTTATCAGCCTTCGTTTGATCAATTAAAAAAGAATTTATTCCAGGATGTTATATTTTTACCAATTCATTGAAATTCACCTTGACATTGACTTAGTCTCTTGCTCAAGCTCATATTGACTAACGTTTAAGAAAACAAAATTGAAAACAATTGATTATGTATAAATTTGCAAAAAACGAGTATCAACAAACATTCAATTCTAATGAAGCAATTTCGGGTTCGAAACAAAAGACTAATTTGAAAGATCATTTACAAAACAATTTTTTAAGAACAATTTGTTGACTATTTATAATAAATTATTTTGATAAAAAAAAAAATTAATTTTTATAATACCCCACTTTTATTATTCTTCCCACAAAAAAAACATGAGATTAAAAACCATTATCTAATTTTATTTTAACTACAACGTTTGTGAATTTCATATGAATAATATAAATATTAAATGTAATATTTCTTAAAGATATGAACAAGAAGTTTAAATTCTGAAACATTTTTATTAACATTGGAAAATAATTGGTAGCAAAATTAATGATTTTTAAAAATAGTAATTCCTCTTAAACATTAAAGTTAATCAAAATACATTTATTTGTTTAATTTCACAACAAGATACGAGTTTTTGAATTGTAAAGTGTACAATGCAAGTTACATGTCTTGAAAGATGATTTCACAATTTTTATTCTACAATTCCAGTTATGATATATTTTCTGTTTGTTGGTAATTCCTGCAGTATAAGTTTAATTGATAGGCCTAATACTGTTTCAAAAATGATTAAATTTGAAACAAATTTTTTGAACAAGAGGCTAAATACAAATATCCATAAAAGACCGAGATTATGAATGAAAAACTGGTAAATATTCTTGGGTTTGTTTTTAAATTAAAATGTTCATTGACAACTCAATATGATCAAAGATCAATGAATTATTATTATATTTTGATTTTTAAAGGTAATCTGGTTTGAAGAGAGAATTAATTTATTTATTATTTAAAGTAGAAAATAAAATCTTTATGTAAGATCGTCCAAAATCCTGTTAAAATATGCATGATTACTTATTTTTACTGAAAATGTATCTACTATTATGATCACGACCAATACATCTTTGAATGAAGAAATTTCTTAGTTTACCAGAAGAGATAATCTCGTTAACTTTAAGATATATTGATGACAAAAACACGTTTGAAGAATTAATAACGGTTCCATCGTTACAAATTTACGCGTTAAAGGAAAGATATAACGAATATATAATTGGAAATGATCGTAAATACATTGAATACATTGATGGATCAGTTAATGATTTAGTAGATCTTCATAAGAAATACAAGTTTAAACCTTCAAAAATCATTGGGAAGTTACAAGATATTTTAGATTTGTTTGAAATTAGAGAGCTGCATCTAATTAGTAAAAATTCGAATTCAATTTACAATTTCATTGATGACAAAAACATACAATTTGAATTATGTTTGAATGAGTTTACAAAACTTGAAGAATTAGAAACAATTTTAACTAAAATTAATGTTGTTGGTATCCATTTTCAGAGAAGTGGATGGTTGAATCAATATATAGCTTTTCAAGGTACATCACTGGGTGAAGAGTATAATATTGACACCGTTAAGTCATTTTTGGAATTTGTGGGGCCAATCAATTTGTCAACTTTATCAACACTATATAAGAATTCTTTGATTGATTATTTGCCCATATCTTTAAAAAAATTAACTTTATATGTTCATAATTCTCCAGCGGATGATATAAAATTGAGTAAATTTATAAATCTTGAATCTTTTATTTGTGATGGCCTTAATAATACACAATCTTTAGATGAACTTCAACTTCCAATTTCCCTTAAACATTTAGAGTTATTGTCATGTAGTGGTTTAAGATATTTACACAATTTGGAAAAACTCACTAATTTGATTACCCTTAACATACATGGATGTTATAATTTTTATAATTTTATTAATACTTCATTTCCTGATTCATTGAGATCGTTATTTTATTGGCCGAATCTTACTACCATGGGTATTAAATATTTATACAATGATGTTTGTAGTGGTAATAATAATGAATTTGAAGTTACAAATTTTTCAGAGGATGGTCAATCATTTATTATTGATTCTGATTTTCAGTTTCCTCCTTGGTTAAATCAATTGAGAATAAATGATTGTGGATGTTTTACAATGGAACCTAATTCTAGCTTAAAAGCTCTTTCCTCTATAAGATTAAATGGTTTGGCAATGATTGATTTAAATGGAATTTTAAAGTTTCTTCCCAAAATTATGAATGAAGTTGTAATAGAAAGCTCGAATATTTCAAATAATGATAACCAGTTGGTGTTTCCATCCTTGATACGTTTGGCTATTTTTGATAATAGAATTGAAGAAGGCTTTGAAGTGGAGCTTTCTGATTTAGTTAGAATACAGGAAATTTCAATCAATTTCAATGAAATAGTCAAAGCTGGTAAAGAATTAAAAAAGTACGGTAAATTAAATCAACCATTGGATCCAACTTTGTTTTTGTCTCCAGGTTCAGTTCATAAATATATTGATAAATCACTTAGAATACAAAATTCTAGCTCAGTTTCAGAAACATTACATTTTCCTAACTTAAAAAAACTCAATTTAGTACAAAGTCAATCTAGCAGTAAAATTAGATCCACGCGTAACACAATTAGTATCCCTCAAATATCATATTTAGGTTTTGAAGCATTAAAATCTATTCGATTAATTAATTTAGACTTTGAAATTTTAAATTTGAATCTTTTTCCAATAACTTTACAAAGTTTAGTTATTAAAGAATGCAAATTGATTTCAATTTTAGGAGGGTTTAGTAATTTGAAAAATTTAAAACAATTAAGTATAATAAATTGTAAAGTTAATTATACTATGTTAATAAATCAAACCTTTCCTGAAAGTTTACAAACTTTGGATCTTTCAGAGAACAAAATTGAAAATTTAACTTGTTTAAATATTACAAATTGTACAAACTTATCACGGTTGCAATTGAGAGATGTTACAAAATTGGATGAGCCAAAAGGTGCTACTGAATTAAGGGATTTTGTTTTGAAGATAAATTCCAAAACTGCAAGCTGTAATGCGTATCTATCAGCTTATAAACGTCGAGGGACAAAAGTTATATTTGAGGTAAGGAATGGTGAGGTTATAACTTAGTGAGTTCTTTACAATCAAAAACATTAGCTAAATATGATGATGATCCAACCAAAGTGTATTCATGAATTTCAAGTAGTTTATTTAATTTAAGTTGAATAATGGATATACAAAATTTTTGCATCGAATTACACAATAAAATCAAATTGTAGTAATAATCACATATAAAGAAAGACATTCACTCTACAAGTAAACTAAAATTCTCAACATACATAATACAGAAATACATTTATTGTTAGGTAATGTGCTATCATATATACATCTACATTACCATATGTATATTATGTGCACTTATGTTATCGCCATAATAATCTATAATTGTATATAGCTTTATATTATATCTGGTGGGAGATACAAAAAATCAAAAATATTTAAGAACTTATATAAATGCTGGGTAAAACATTAGTCTACTGGATACACCACCAAACAAGAAATCATCTATTATATTAAAGATACCAACATAATTTCTTTAAAATTCCCAAAACTTTTAAAGACTTAGACCTGAAACAAAATTAATTTAAAGGATTTCAATATCACTAACTTCAATGCTTCAATTTCATTTGAAAGTAATTAAAACTAATAAAATTTTAGTAATATATGTAACCTGTTATTAATAAAGTTTAAAAGAATCAATTCATTAAAAGTGATAAAACCCCAAATAACTTAAAGTAAAACTTAAACATATTCTTTTGTATGATCAGTTCTTTAAAAAAGTAAACCTTATTAAAGTGCAAAAACGAACCCAACAAATGGATTGCAAGCCTAAATATAGGATTCAGTTATTAATAATTAAATAATAATATCCAATTTCATATTCTCGAGATCTTTAAACATGACATTAGATGTTTATAATATAGAAACTAATAAAATTCATTAATGTTTTGGAATAAATGAATTTTGAAGGAACCTATTAATTATTAGAACCAATTGAAAGTAGCAACAAATATTTAAACGCACCTTGCACAAGCACTTATTCAAATAAAAATTCCAGACAAATTTATATATGTGACTGGTAAAAATTTATTCTTTTGTTTCGAGTAGAATGGTCTATTATTTATATTTAGTAATCTCAACAAATGTATTATCTTCACCCAACAAAATTTAAAAAAATTGGTGTTTGTAATTTTATGTATTATTATGAAAGAATTGTCATATGATAAATTTATTAAATAATTTATAAATTAATTAAATTATGTTAAAGGAGGGGTATATAAATTCTGAAACATTTGTTTGGTAGCATTTTTAAAATAATTTATTAATTCTAATGTAAATTTTTCACTAAATTCTTAATTCATAATATTAATACATACTTTACTTCATTAAATTGTAAAACTATAAAATTTGTTTTAATATAAACTTGATCTCAAAGAAGAGTAGAATTACAAACTGACTGTTATGCTACGTATAAATACGAAAATTTGAAAATTAATGAAAAATCAACTTGAAAGTAACCGAATCTACTCAATTCATAGGTGCTAAAAACAATGAAAAGTAGTACAATTCTGGTTGTGCCTCAATCTACTAATTGTAAAAGTTATAAATTGAAGTTACATCTGATCCTGAATTCGACATAAACTGATCAACCTTTTACTTTTTTTAAAACTCCATAAAAAAATTTTAGTAAAGTATGTCCATTACATTAGTTAAGTTTTCAGAACAGCACCATTAAATCGTGATTTAAAAAGCACTCAACAATACTTTTAAACTTCCAGAATAATCAATGCAAGAGCCAAAATACGCAACACGTGTCAACATAACATCAAATAAGATTATAGTCTTGTAAATACCAACATGTAAAGTACCTAAGTCTGAACAAAAAATTTACTCGTTAAATAATTGAAAAAACATTGAGAAGAAACTAGTTAAACGAAATAATAAGCTTATACTAAATAAACTCAAAATAATTTTTTTTTTAGATAATATTAAGTGAATCTCAATTAATGAGATCGTTAAAGATTCAAATCACGAAACAACTTTTCTAGTACCGACTATTATTATATAGCAAATTTTATACTACATAATAGTAATTAAAAAACTTAATAAAATCTTTTAAAAGTTGATTTAATTTAATTGTAACAAATTTTGAAATCTCAACCCATTAAAATATATAAGTAATTACTTTAATTTGATCCCTCAAAACCTTTGAAAAGATTTATCAAACGCCCTTTTTATTTAGACGGTTAATTTATACCTTATCTAATTGTAAAATGTAAGTTATTCTTTTCAAGTATCATTGCGAGTGAAGTTATTTTCATTCAATTGTAAAATCTTCGAGATTAATAAGGAAAGAAAACTTTTAATATTATTAATGCAAATAATTAAATTGCAGTTTTGATACTGATTTTCTTTTTTGTTTATAATTCAATACTACGTGACTCTAGATTGCTGAGATTATTTTAATCCTTTGATTCAATTCACGCAAACATTTTTTAGAGATAATTACAAAGAGTACATCTACAATCTTGTTTATTTGTTTTAAATAAAAGATACAAATTACATATTAACATTCAAATTAAAATCTATGTTGAAATTATTCGAACAAAACTGGTTCGTCAACTTTAGCTTAAATCATAATCGAAAGCCTCCACTTACCCATTGCCTTTATGATTCAATAATTTATAAAGCATGAACTTATGAATTTAACATAATCTAATCAAATCTATTAATATAATTGTCTCAAAAAGAAGCAAGATTTTATAATAAATTCTAAAAGAATATGTCTATTGAATCAAAAACAAATTGATAGTAAAAACTCTCAAAGAATTACTGCCGAATCAAAATTATAAAAAGAAATAGCAAAGGTCAACTTTAACAACTATGCCAAAAACAAAAATATATTTAAAAATAAATGAACCTAATATAAAAATATGTCTATTATCAAGTTAAAAACAGAAACCCACATGGAAGAATAGCTTATGTTGAAATCAAATATGGAATGAATAAATACTTTATACCATTAATCAAATAAAAAAAATCAAACTCAAAAATCATAGAACTCAATATAAAATTTAGTTTATAATATAAAGTAGTCCGAAAACTTATCAAATCAATCAAAAATTTATTTGATCAATTAAAAAAGAATTCGTGTTCAAATGATTATAAGTCAATAAATATTTTGAACGGAATGACATGATAAGATTATGAGGCAAAAAATTAGATTGTTGGATAAACTGACAGAAATCATAACCTTTTTAACCCATGAATAAAAAATTGATTTTTAGAAAAGGTCTTTCATTTTTATATAATTGTCAAAATTCATAATATTTATATACTTCAATTAAATTGTAATTATGAAGATTTTCAACCCCACAAAACTTTAAATTAACCCCAACAATTTTAATACAAATTAAAAAATTCATATGCAATATAAATATATTCAATTAATTAGCTAATTAAACTCTGCAATAATGCTAATTTTATTATTTACACTAATTTGATTTATTTTTAAAAAAGCTTAATTCTGAAACAAATTTTTAAACAATAAAATATTTACGAGTAAAGTGGTAGCTCTGATTCGTATTAATTTTTATCACTTCGGTAACTAATCTCCGTTTCACGTGCTACACAATAAAATAGGTTCGTTAATATCAAAAATTAATCAGTAGCTTGAATATAGCAACAGACTCTCATTAATGACAATGTTTTACTTAAATTCAATATATATCGAAACTTGTCTTTGAACTTACATAGTTATTTCAATCACAAATTCAACTCAGATTTAATCATTTCACTCAACTTCTGCCCAACTAGGGCCCAATTATAACAACATTTTTGTTGAGTTTTCATGAATTTTCAATTTTTAGAATGTAGTGTTTAAATTTAGCAACTAGAATTTCATGAATCTAGGAAACAAGCTTTCAAGCAATTTAGGTTTTTAAGGGAGAAGTATACATGTTGGAATAGGCTCATCAACTGCGGGTGATTGAAGCAAGTGAAAAGTTTTGGAAAAATAGAGAACAAGGGGACAAGATAAGAGTGTGGTTTTGGTTTTCTGACAAGTATTCTGTGAACATATCTGGATTAAACCGAGGTATGAAGACTTAAATCAAGTACTTTCAAATGGCAAGTTCATTCAAGTTAAGCTACTATAGGTTATTAGGTCCTCGTTCACTATACCGCAAATTTTGGTAGGAGAATTAGACAATCATATAATTTTGGAGCAATATAACTCAACATGCTGTTTATTTTGCAAGAAAATCAAGTTTAGTTCACTTAGTTAACAAAGTTTGACTGTTTAGTTCTTCATCATTATGTCCCTTACAAAACATACTTCCCATATAACAATTTAGGTTCGTTTCCTAATAGGGCGCATTAACTTTTAAAGCTAATATAATACCAGTATCACCACCAAAGAATGAGATAGCTGTTAAAGTAGATAACAATAAAGTTGAAGTATATTCAGGTAAAAAGAAAAGAACAAAATGAGTATTAAGTCATATAACCTGAAACTACAAAACGTTAACTAATTGGGTTTTTCAATAATGAATTGAAGCTCTTCAATTTCATTATGACTCCAAATTAGTTAAAGGTACAATTTGGGGGATAGATTATAAGACGTTGCACATTTCATGAATATCATTTTCAATACAATTCTGAAACATTTGATAGTCGCATTTTTGGAGAATCTAAAAAACTTTAAAAAGGATTTAATTTTCCTCAATAAAAAATAATTGGCAACCACTTTTTAAAAATCATTACACGTAATATATTTATCAAATTATATTCAAACATTCTACAACAGATAAATAAACTTGATTACATGTTCGTTTTTAATTTAACAATTTTATTGACTCATTTATAATGAATATATTTCTAAATTTACCAGAAGAAGTAGTAGCACTTATTATTAAATATGTCAATGATAAACAAAAGCTTGAAGAATTGATTCCCATTCCAGCGGTACAACAATATGCATTACGCGAAAGATACTCAACTTACAAAATTGACGCTTTAGGTGAAATCGATGATGGATCAATCGAAAACTTGAAAGAAATTTGTCTCAAATACAACTTCAAACCCTCAAAAATAATTGGAAATCTTCATGGAATAAAACAACTAATTAAAACTTCAAAACCCAAACCAGCAATAAATAGAAGAACAAGATCAACCATCCAAGACGTCAATCAATTTATAAATACTATCGATTTTGGTCAAGTAGAATTTGAAGTTGTATTGCCTAATGAAGTTGATTATTTTGAGTTTAGCTCAGTTGTTGAAAAGCTTAATGTAACTGGAATACATATGAATAAGGGACATATAATTTTTTTCACTAGACATGGTGAAAGTCGAGGAGCATCATTTTTGGAATTGATAAAAACAAGTAATTTAACATCATTAACTACAAATTATCTGGATTCACTTCAAATTCAACCACCCGAATCCCTAAAAGAGTTAACAATTTATAATCAGTTGAACCAAAATTTTTCCTTGAATTTAAGTACATTAAATAATCTTCAAAAGTTTATCTGTCATGACTTAAGGGAAATGGATTCATTAGATGGTCTTCAAATACCAAAATCAATCAAACATTTAGAATTACAATCTTGCGGAATGCAAAATGTAAATAACTTAGAAAGTTTAATAAAAATGAATACACTTATTATCAAAGATTGTTCTAATTTCATTAGTTTTATCAAATGCATTTTACCTGAATCTTTAAGAAATTTATTCTATGCCAATTGTCTCACAAAAGAAAAAGTGAATCAACTATATAATGAAGTTAAAGAACTCATAAATGATCAATTTGAAATTTCAGATTTTTCAAGTGATGGTAAATCATTAGTCATTGGTCCTGATTTTATTTTTCCTCCAAATTTATATAATATGACTATTCGAGATCTTAGGGGTACTTTACACTTTGAATCACAATCAACATTAAGAGGACTTGATAAATTAGAATTAACTGGTATAAAAAATTTCAACTTAAAAGAATTTTTTCAATTATTACAAAATGAGTTAACTTCAGTTAAAATCAACAACTGTCAAATTTTGGATATTGATGACTGCCAATTTCCCTGTGTAAAAGAGTTAAAGTTTTCGGGAAATACGATTAACACAGTTTTTAAATCAAATTTAGCTCAGTTGGGTTGTTTAAAAAATTTAATAATTGAACTGAATACTTATGCTAATTTCTTTGGTGTGGATCCTATCAAATTCTTAAGAATTGAAAATACATTTGTTGATTCATCTGGTACACCAAAGAAGAAAGTTGCAAAAAATGTTGAATCGTCATCAAGCGACCAAGATGTTTCAATTAATATGCCAAATTTACAGTTTTTAAGTTTAGGTAAATACAATAGAACTTTGGGAAGAAGAAATAATTTTTATATTGAAGATGTTCCTCCACCGGTAAATTTAAATGGCTGTAAAAATTTAGTTTCGTTATCAATGTCCAGCATGGGATATAAAATTTTGAATCTTGACTTTTTACCAAATTCATTAAAAGTTATACAATTGATAAATTTCAAATTTTCTTCAATCGTTGGTGTTTTTAGTAAATTTTCACATCTAGAAAAGTTAGATTTAAGATCTAATGAAATTAGCTATTCAATGTTATCAGATCAATCATTCTCAAATAGTCTAAAAATTTTAGATTTATCAGATAATAAACTTGAAGATTTGACTTGTTTATATCTTACAAATTGTATTAATTTGAATTGTTTGATTTTAAACAAAGTAACTGGTCTGGATAATCCAAAAGGTGCAATGGAATTAAAACAATTATTTTTAAAAATTAATATTGACTCAAAAGAAAATACAGCTGAATTAAGTAATCGTAATTCAAAAAAGATTTTTAAAATTTTTAATGGTATTGATGTTAGTAGAGCTGCTAAAAGGGAAGCAAAATCAAAATCAACCTTAAAAGCAAGATCAAGATCAAGACATACTGATGATGATCCAGCTTACAGAGGGTGAATAATAGGTTCTGTTGATTCTCAGATAATTGGTTGTCTATACTTATTCTTGTTGCTAATGCTTTTTCATCAATTCTATATGTTCATTACTGTCATATAGTTAACTTTTCTTCCTAAGTTAATATTAAGTTCGACGTAGAAATTAGTCTCTTCTTCATTCTTAGGTCGCATTACAATTGCTACCAACTAGGCTCAAATAATTTTACTTGTATATAAAAAACAAGTTCTTTTAATAGTAAACTTGTCTTAATTACTTTATTGATTCTTCACTAAAATGATTTCAAATGAGAGAGTGAAGTTAGAGTTTCAATATTCTCAAGTATATTATAGAATAACTTTTATGTATCCTTTTTATTACAAAAATGCCTGATTTTAAATAAGAATCAAGGAAATGTCAAGCTATTTATATATTCTTTATAATATAATTCGAAACTATAATAAAAATAAGTCGTCATACTTAAGGGGGGAGGAAAATGAAAATACATATTTGCAGCCTAACTAAATAAAATACTATTTCTTATTATCACTAATAAATTGTATACAATTATAACTACGACCAAAACATCTTTGGATGAATAAATTTCTCGAATTACCGGAGGAGATTCTCGCATTAATTTTTAGATATATTGTTGACAAAGACAAGTGTAAAGAATTAATAACATTTCTGCCATTACAAATTTATGCACTAAAGAAAAGATATAAAAAATATATAATTGGAAGTGATTGTAAATACATTAATTTCATTGATGGATCAGTTAATGATTTATTAGATCTTTATAAGAAATACGAATTTAAACCTCCAAAAATCATTGGAAAGCTACACGAAATTTTGGAATTGTTCGAAGTTGAAGAGCAGCATCTGAAAAAGATTAGTAGTTTCGAAAATTCGAACTCAATTTACAATTTTATTAATGACAAAAACATACAATTTGAACTATGTTTGAATGAGTTTACAAAACTTGAAGAATTAGAAACAATTTTAACTAAAATTAATGTTGTCGGCATCCATTTTCAGAAAAATGGAAGGTGGTTTCATAATATAGAGTTTCAAGGTTCATCAGTAGGAGAATATAAAATTGATACCGTTAAGTCGTTTTTGGAATTTATGGAACCAATCAATTTGTCAACTTTATCAACACCATATAAAAATTCATTAATTGATTATTTACCCATATCCTTAAAAAAATTGACTTTATTTTTTCATGACTCTCCAGCAGGTGATTTGAAGTTGGGTAAATTCATAAACCTTAAATGTTTTACTTGTGAAAGCCTTAATAATATACAATCATTAGATGAACTTCAACTTCCAATTTCCCTTAAATATTTAGAGTTATTATCATGTAGTGGTTTAAATTATTTACACAATTTGGACAAATTTACTAATTTGATTGCCCTTAACATATTGGGATGTTATAATTTTTTTGATTTTATCAATACTTCATTTCCTGATTCATTGAGATCGTTAATTTATTGGCCCAGTCTAACCACAATGGATATCAAACAAATATACAATGATGTTTGTAGTGGTAATAATAATGAATTTAAAATTATAAATTTTTCAAAGGATGGTCAATCATTTATTATTGGTTCTGATTTTCAGTTTCCTCATAGATTAATTAATTTGGCAATGGCTGATTGTAAACGTTTTATATTGGAGCCTAATACTAACTTAGAATGTCTTTCTACTGTAAGACTAATAGGTTTGACAATGACAGATTTAAATGGAATCTTAAAGTCGCTTCCAAAAATTATGAATGAAGTTTATATTCAAAGTTCAAATATAATAAATAATGATGAAAAATTAGTGTTTCCATCTTTGATACGATTGGGTATCTCGAAGAATAAATTTGAATATGGTTTTGAAGTGAAATTTTCTTATCTAGATAGAATACAGGACATTTCAATTACACGCAATGAAATAATGAAGGCTGGCAAAAAAATAGAGAAAGATGGTAAAATTAATCAATCAATGGATCCAACTTTGTTTTTGTCCCCAGGTTCAGTTCATAAGTATATTGTTAAACCGCTGGGAACACATAACTCAAGCTCAGTATTAGAAACATTTCAGTTTCCAAATTTGGGTAAACTCAATTTAGAGCATAGGCAAACTAGATTCATATGTAACTTAATTGACATTCCTCAAATTTCATTTTTAGGTTGTGAAGTATTAAGATCTATCCGATTAATTAATGTAGATTTTGACATTTTAAATTTAAATCTTTTTCCAATAACTTTACAAGATCTACATATTAAAGGATTTAAATTAAATTCAATTTCAGGAAAATTTAGTACATTACAAAATCTAAAACAATTAAGTATAATAAATAGTAAGATTAATTACGATATGTTAGTGAATCAAACATTTCCTGATAATTTAGAAACTTTAGATCTTTCACAAAACAAACTTGAAGATTTAACATGTTTAAATATTACAAATTGTACAAATTTGTCACGTTTGCATTTGAGAGATGTTACGAAATTGAAAAAGCCAAAAGGTGCTACTGATTTGAGGAATTTTGTTTTGAAGATAAATTCAAACTCTAGAAGTTGTAAAGCGTATCTATCAGCTTATGCAAGTCCAGGAACAAGAATTATATTTGAAATTAGGGATGGCAAAGTTAAAACTTATTGAGTGGTTCGCAATCAAAAACATTAGCTGAATATGATGATGATCTAATTTAAACGAATTTTAAGTACTTTTCCTAATATAAGTAGAATAATGGAATTACCAAAATTCCGCATCAGAAAGCACTGTAAAATCGATTTGTAGTAATAATCACTTATAGAGAAGACATTCAATCTATAAACTAAAATGTTCAACATACAAAATACAGAAATACATTTATTATAATAATTTTATCAAAATAATGTGGCAAGACACCTACACAATTCAATTAAACAACGGGACCTTAAAAATAGAATATCTCATATTCACTAATTTCAATGCTTCAATTTCATTTGAAAACAATTTAAACTAATAATATTTTATTAAAACTTGCAAACAGTCGTTAATAAATTTTAAAAGAATCAATTCATTAAAATTAATAAAACTCGAGTTAACTTAACGCAATTCCTAATCTTGAGCATTATTTGATCATGTTAAAAAAGGAAAATTAGATTTGTGCAGAAAGATAGCAAATTTAATGCTCTTCAAATACTAATATAATAAAATGGGAATCAGTTATAAATAATTATGACAACTAATACCTCACATTACATCTTCAACTTAAAGTACAATATGAATAAAGTTTTACATGGAAGAAAATTCATTGATTCTTCTCAACGTGAAGACATTGAATTATTAAAATCAATGAGTGGTTATTTTAAATCTTTAAACATTACATTAATTGTTTATAAAATAAAAACTAATAAAATTCATTAGAACTGTGAGATTAACGAATTTTAGAAGAATCTATCAATTAATGATAACCAATTGGAAGTAGTAAAAAACATGCCGATCGCACCTCGCATAATTATTCATCTAAGTTTCGTTGGACTTTAATCTATATCAATTGGTGAAAATTTCATTTGTTTGTTTTGAGTAAAATGGTCTATTATTTATATTTAGTAATCTCAACAAAAATATTGAATTTACCCAACAAACTTTAATAAAATTGTAGTTAGAAATTTTATGTATTAGTATAAGAAAATATCATATGATAAATTTATAAAGTAATGTATTAAATAATTAAATTATGTGAAAGAGGGGTTTAAAATTCTGAAACATTTAGATTTGTTTGGTAGCATTTTCTAAATATTTTATTTTATAATTTTCCCACCATCAAGAATCTAATCATAAATTATTTTCATCAAAGATAATTGTAAACTACGAACCAAAAAAAAAGATCTTAACCTAGTTTGTAGTCATTTCTACATTGATACAAAGTTTTAAATTTGTGAAAACTATGTTCATTTTATATGGTTTAGAAGCCTCAGTTACTTAAATAGAGTGGTCTGAGACCCTTACGTAAATCTTTCACTGACTTCTTAATTCTTAATAATACATTCTTTACTTCATTAAATTGTAGAGCCATAAAATTTGTTTTGATATATGTTTTAGGTTAAAGAAGAGTAGAATTACAAGCTGATTGTTGTACAACGTCCAAATACGATATATTAAATTAATTACCAACCTGAAAATAACCAAATTTGCTCACTTGATAGGTGTTAACGACTAAAAATAATATAAGTCTAGCTTTCACTCAATCTAATGAATTCAAAAGTTATAAGTAACATGTACTTCTGAATTAGACATAAACTGATCAAATTTCTTATTCCTTTCAAAACTCTATAATAAGTTTAAAACGTTGTATCCATTACATTAAAGTTATTAAAGAAGTAACATCAATTTGCGATTAAAAAGCACTCAACAAGTTTTTTTAAGTCAAGGTAAAGATCATAGTATGCAACACTTGTCAACATTACATTAAGCAAAATTGTGGTCTTGTAGAATCCAACATGTAATTAACTTAGTTTATTGTTTAAAAAGATGACTATAAAATAATTGAAAAAATAGTAAGAGGAAACCAATCAAATTTATCAAAGAGCTTAAAATAAATTCTCTTTTAACTAAAATTAATGAGTCTCAATTATTTGGATCGTTAAAGATTTAAATTCATCAAGACTCAACTTATCATGCCAATAGTTTTTATGTAACAAAATATATACCATATAGGGATCAAAATATTCGAAAATTATAAATTTTTTAAAAGTAGATTTATATTTAACTGTGACAAACTTTGAAATTTCAACCCAATAAAATATATTAAGTAATATTTACATTAATTTGATCCCTCAAAACCTTTACGAAGATTTATCATACCCGCTTTCTATTTTAGCATTTAATTAATAGCTTATTCAAGTGTAACGTGTAAGTGATTTTTTTCAAATTTAATTGAAATTGAACTTACTTTGATTTAATTGTAATATCTTTGAGATTAATAGGGTAAGAAAACCTTTTAAGTTATCAATGCAAATAATTATTTTGCAATTTTTATACTGCTCTATTTCTGTTTCAGCTGCAATTCATTAGTACAAGGCTCTACATTTTGTTGAGATTAGATTAATGCTTTGTTTCAATTAACGTAAACACTATCTAGAGATAATAAAAAAAAGAGAACATCTACAATTTCTTTAAGTTTTAAATAAAAGATACAAAATACAAATTCAAATTTAAATAAATGTTTAAAGAACTCAGGCATGAATAACATAACCTTAGATGGTTTTGTTTCTAGATTTCTTTAATCTTACTCATCACTATTCTGTTTCAATAATTTATAAAGCATGAAATTATGAACTTGACACAAACTGATCAAATCTATCAACATAATTGTCTCAAATAGAAGCAACCTTTTTAATAAATTCTAAAAGAATTTGTCTATTAAATCAAAATCAAATTGACGTTAAAGACTCAAGAAAGAATAGTAGTTTGTCCAGCAAAAACCGGGTGGCTAAAATCACTAATTATTACAATGATTCAGGAAAAGGGAAATAACCACCTTCAAAAAGCATAAAACTTAATATAAGACTATGTCTATTATTAAGTTAACAATACAATCCCTCTTGGAAATATAGAAAACTTCGGAATCACATGAATGAACTTAATTAGGAAAAACTTATATTATTAATCAAATAAAACAATCTTACTCAAAATCATAGAATTCAATATAAAAATAAGTTTATAAAGTAGTCCAAAAACTTATCAAATCCATCAAAAATTAATTTGATCAATTAAAAAAGAATCCGTATTTAAATGATTATAAGTGAAAAAAAGATTCTGAAAATAGAAATTTAATCAATCTAAAATGTTTAACATCAAAAAACCCAATCAATAAATAAATTGTGGACTAAAAATTAATTTTTATAAATTTATCCATTTTTGATTTTAGTGTGAAAAATTCATAGTATTTATATACTTCAATCAAATTGTAATCATTAAAATTGTTAACCCCACAAACTTTAGAGTAGCCCAACAATTTCAATACAAATTAAAAAATTCATATGATTTTTTAAAGCACTTTTTTAATAACTGCAATAATGCTAATTTTATTATTTACACTAATTTGATTTATTTTTAAAAAAAAGTTTAATTCTGAAACAAATTTTATAACAATAAAATATTTGCGAGTAAATTGGTAGCTCTAATTTGTATTTATTTTTTATCCTGTCGGAAAATATTCTCCGTTTCACGTGCTACACAATAAAATAGGTTCGTTAATATCAAAAATTAATCAGAAGCTTGAATATCAACAGACTCTCGTTAATGATAATGTTTCATTTAAATTCAAAATATATCGAAAATTGTCTTTGCGCTTGCATAGTTATGTCAATCACAAATTCAACTCAAATTTAATCATTTTACTCAACGTTTGCCCAACTAAGGCTCAATTATAACATCATTTTTGTCTAGTATTCATGAATTTTCAATTTTTATAATGTGGTGTTTCAATTTATCAACTACAATTTCATAATTCTAGTAAACGAGTATTCAAGCATTATAGATTTTGAAGAAAAAAGTTCACATGTTGGATAATGCTCATCAACTGTGGTGGTTGAAGCAAGTATAAAATGATATTTTTTATCGGCCACTTTTAACCTAAAAGATAGTAAACAAGGAGACACGTCAAAAGTCTGGTTTTGATTTTTTTTTACAAGTATTTTGTGATTTTCTGATGTATCATTGAAATCAGGTATTTTCAAATGGAGAACTTTAAAATATTTGTTACCGAATTCAAATTAATTTTACAATAGATAATTAAGTTCTCATTCGTTAGACAGCAAATTTCGATTGAATAGTTAAATAATCATTAGATTTTAAACCAACACAACTCAACAAGCTGCCTATTCTGGAGAAGAATTACGAGTCCAATTGTTTCGTTCATAAAGTATAAAGTGAGATTTTTTTTGACTTTCATCGATATGTCACTCACAAAACGTTAACTAATTCGGTTTTCAGTAATGAATTGAATGTCTTCAATTTCATTATGATTCCAAATTAGTTAAAAGTACATTTTTGGGGTATCGATCATAAGTCGTGGCACATTACATGAATATCAATTTCAATACAATTCTGAAACATTTGATGGTCGCTTTATTAGAAAATTTAAAAAACTTTAAAAAGAATTTAATTTTCCTCAATAAAATTAATTGGCAACCACTTTTTATAAATTCATTACACGTAATATATTCATCAACTTAAATTCAAACATTCTACCACAGATAAACAAACAACATTACGTGTTCAATTTTACTTTAACAATTTTATTGACTCATTTATAATGAATATATTCCTTAATTTACCAGAAGAAGTATTAGCACTTATTATTAAATATATCAATAATAAACAAAAGCTTGAAGAATTGATACTCATTCCAGCGGTACAACAATATGCGTTACGTGAGAGATATTCAACTTATAGCATAGAAGCTTCAAGTGAAACCTATGATGGATCAATCGAAAAATTGAAAGAAATATGTATCGAATACAACTTCAAACCTTCAAAGATAATAGGAGATGTTTATGGAATAAATCAACTAATTAAAGCGTCAAAGTCCAAACCAGCACCAAAGAGAAGAACAAGATCAAGCGTACAAAATGTCAATCAAGTCATAAATACTATCGATTTTGGTCAAGCAGAATTTGAAGTTGTATTACCTAATGGAAGTGATTATTCTAAGTTGAGCTCAGTTGTTGAAAAGCTTAATGTAACTGGAATCCATATGAATAAAGGAGGTATTTCTTTTTACACTATGTATGGCGAAAATCAAAGAGCATCATTTTTGGAATTGATAAAATCAAGTAATTTAACAATATTAACTACAATTTATCTGGACTCACTTCAAATTCAACCACCCGAATCCCTAAAAGAGTTGACAATTTATAATAAAATGAACCAAAATTTCTCCTTGGATTTAAGCACATTGAATAATCTTCAAAAATTTATTTGTCATGACTTAGGAGTAATGGATTCATTAGATGATCTTCAAATACCCGAATCAATTAAATATTTAGAATTACAATCTTGTGGAATGCAAAATTTAAATAATTTGGAAAGTTTAGTAAAATTGGAAACACTTATTATAAAAGATTGCTCTAATTTTATTAGCTTCATCAAGTGCATTTTACCTGAATCATTAAGAACTTTATCCTACGTCAATTTTATCACGAAAGAAAAAGTGAATCGACTATATAATGAAGTTAAAGAACTCGAAAATGATCAATTTGAAATTTCAGATTTTTCAAGTGATGGCAAATCATTAATTGTTGGTCCTAATTTCATTTTCCCTCAAAAATTATATAATATGAGTATTCAAGATCCTATGAGTACCTTACAAATTGAATCACAATCAGCATTCAGAGGACTTGATAAATTAGATTTAGATGGTATAAAAAATTTCAATTTAAAAGAATTTTTTCAGTTATTACAAAATGAATTAACTTCAGTGAGTATCAGAAATTGTCAAATCTTGGATGTTGAGGACTGCCAATTTCCCTGTGTAAAAGAATTAAAATTTTCAGGAAATACAATCAACACGGTTTTCAAATCAAATTTATCTCAGTTGGGTTGTTTAAAAGGTTTAGTGATTGAACTGAATACTTATGCTAATTTTTTTGGTGTGGATCCTATCAAATTTTTTACAATTGAAAATACTTTTGTTGATTCATCTGGTGCACCAAAGAGGAAAGTTGCAAAAAAAGTTGAATCAACCTCAAGTGACCAAGCTGTTTCAATCAACTTGCCAAATTTACAATTTTTAAGTTTGCAGAAATACAATAGAACTTGGGGAAGAAGAAATAATTATTATATTGAAGATATTCCTCCACCGGTAAACTTAAATGGCTGTAAAAGTTTAGTTACTTTATCAATGTTCAACATGGGATATAAAATTTTGAATCTTGACTATTTACCAAATTCGATAAAATTTATGAAATTTAGAGATTTCAAATTTTTCTCAATTGTCGGTGTTTTTGATAAATTTTCACATCTAGAAGAGTTAGATTTAAGATCTAATGAAATTAGCTATTCAATGTTATCAAATCAATCGTTCCCAAATAGTTTAAAAATTTTAGATTTATCAGATAATAAACTTGAAGATTTGACTTGTTTATATCTTTCAAATTGTACTAATTTAAGTGCTTTGTTTTTAAATAAGGTAACTGGTCTGGATAATCCAAAAGGTGCAATGGAATTAAAAGAATTGTTTTTAAAAATTAATATTGATTCAAAAGAAAGTATAGCTGAATTGAGTCATCGTAATTCAAAGAAGATTTTTAAAATTGTTAATGGTATAGATGTTAGAAGAGCTGCTAAAAGGGAATCAAAATCAAAATCAACATCAAAAGCAAGATCAAGATCAAGACATACTGATGATGATCCAGCTTACAGAGGGTGAATAATAGGTTCTGTTAATTCTCAATTAATTGGGTTGTCCTCACTTATCCTTGTTGCTAATTTTCATTTCAATTCTATATTTTTATTACTTATTGCTAATTCAATTCTAAAATATATTAAATTCATCAAATGATTATCAAATGTAAATCTCTGCTTTGTTGATAACCTCTTTTTAATCAAATTGTCATTCAATAAATTTACAAGAAATTAAACAAGACCACCATGAACAAAATCAAAATCAGATTTGCTCCTTCACCGGAATTTAATGATGTATGTCTGTTTTTAAGTTCATTGGCAACTGTATTACGAATTTGTTTCAACTGAGCTTTACTGAAAAATCTAACTGAAATTGTGAATAACTTGATTCGTTATTCCAACGGAAGAAGATATTAATTAATTTTTGTTTCATAATTCCGCTTGTTGATCGACTGAAATATTCAAGACAATCAACTTTCATCAATCAATTGTCATCAATTAACTCCTTGTACATATCGATAGGCCAACTTATTACCACCGAAACAAGCTGAAGCATTTGAAGTACTTCAATCATGAACGAGTTTGAGTCAACAAGTCAAGAAAATGATTCAAATACTATTCCAACGGAACAAGAACTTGAACAACCTACAACAACTAAAAAGCGTAAAAAAACACCACCAACCACAAAATCAAAAGCAAAAACAAAAGCAGAAAGTGAAACAAGAAGATTAGCTCAAGCATCAAGAACTTTAAAAGCATGTTCATTATGTAGAAAACAAAAGACAAGATGTTTTAGATCACCAGATCATCCAAATTCATGTTTACGTTGTAGATTTATCAATAAATTATGTTCATTTGAAGAAGAAAATGGGAATGTAAGTACTGGAAATAACGATGAGTTAAACTTAGGTCATAATGATTACACGGGTGATCAAAATGATAAATTAAGATTAATATTGGATAGAGTTAATGATATTTTTAAAATTGTTAAAAATAATAATAATAGTAATACTGAAGATGCAAAATTATTATTAGATGCTGCAAGTTCAATGCAAAATACTTTTGTAAATTCAAGATCGAATTCAATTTTAAATATCGATGAAATTGATCAAAATATACCAGATTTTCAAAATTTAAATTCAGTTCATGTATCATCACCTTTTGCTTTAATAAGAAATGAAATGCGAAATAGAAATTCATGTCCTATGAATATACATAATTTGTATGAAAAAGCACCTGACACAATTGCAAATGTTAACAGACGAAATACTTTATTAGATTTGGGTATATTGACTCATTCAGAAGTAATTGAATTAGTAGAGGGTTTCAGAAGGAATTATGGAAGATGGGTTTCATTTCCAAGTAAAATACCAACAGATATTTTGATGGAGGAAATCAAGTACAAATCACCATTATTATTAACTACTTGTTGTTGTATAAGTTTGAGATATTCATTAGATAGTGATGATCAAAAGGAGAATCGTCAAAAATACAAACAACTAATAAATGTGTTAATTCAAGATTTAAATCAAAGTTTTTTAAAGTGTACTTCTTTTACAAGTAATGATAATGGATTTGTTGAGTTTTTACAAAGTTTGGTTGTATTAAGTATATATTCAACTTCAATATCGACATTAGTCTCAAATCTAACCGAAGATTATCAATCTAGTGATTCGAATTTAATTGGATTTAGTTTGGATCCTTATCAGTTATCAAGTATTGGGTTGACTTCATTTTTTACAAAATCTACATTTCAATTATTTTCTACAAAGAATTCATCACCACCTTATGAAAAATTGACAATTCTAAGGATATATAATCATTTATGTTTGGTTCATGTAATCAATTGTTTGTTTTCAGGTAGAATGTGTATTTTGGATGATACAAGAATCAATTATTGTAAATCAGCATTGTCATTATTTAATGCAACTAATTTTGATGGTAGAATGGTATCAGAAATAAATATTTTGTACATTACATATAAATACATCCAACAACAACCAGAAAATATAGACACCAATTTCAAAAACGTTCAACAAGAAGTACAAGAATGGTTTATAAATTGGGAATACCTTTTGCAACAACCAGCTTTACAATTTGTTGAATTTAATTATAATTTTTGTTCAATGTTGATTTTATTTATTTATTGTTTTCATAAATGTTCAACTACTCAAGATAGTCTCAATGTTTATAATGATTTATTTCAAAGACCTGATTTAATTAATCATGTTCTAGTGAAAAGCTCACCTGATTTTTTATTAGAGATTTTTAAATTTGCTAAAAAGACAATTGATCATATTGAAGGTATTGCAAATGATTCGTATTTTGCTTATTTATCTGATCAAATACACTTTTGCTTTTACTTCAGTGGAATATTAATAATCAAGATTTTAAAATTAGCCATGGATAATCAATATACACAATTTAATGCAATAATTAATAATGATGATATTGATGGCACATTAAATACTCAATTTGATTCACTTTGTAAATTAATTGAAAAATTCGATAATATATGTATGTCGAGTTTAAGAAATGATATAATTTCAGTATACAAGTCTGGACTTGAAGAGAGTCTTTATGAAAATTTTCAAATTTGGGATAGAGTTTAAGATTTTAATGTATATTCAATTTTTTTATTATTTAAGATGTCCTTTATAATTACCTTCCATATAATCAATATGAACAAATGCTCTTTCAACCATTGGTAAACTTTCTATAGAATATTGTAAAGCTTCTGCAATATCATGGCAATCTTTAAATGTTAAATCTTTAAATTTTGAATCTTTAGTGGCAAATACTAAATCAACTTCAACTTGTAAATTATCACCAACATGATATACTTTTAATGCTGTTATTTGCTTTATTGGTTCTGCAAATCTCATACATAAGTATAAAATAATTTTATAGTCTAATTGATCAGCTACTGCTCCTGTTAAATTGTTTATATGTTCAATTGCAGTTATACCCCAATTTGCAATAATATAGATTGACAACAGTAAAGCACCTAAAGGATCTAACCACCAAATATCAAAAGCATGACCTATCCAAGGCATCAACAACGACACGGTATTAAAAACAACATCAGTCATTGCATCCTGAGCTAATGCTTGTACCGAAGAAGATTTTGAATTAGAACACCATAACCAACAACCAAATTTTGCAATTATAGTAATAATCATAATTGCTACAGCATCAAGTCCAATAGTTGCAGGAACTCTTTGATCAGGTGTACTAAAAAATAATCTCTTGAATGATTCTTGACCGATTTGGAAAAAGGAAATGATGATGATAATGGAAAATATTAGCACTCCCAAAGGTTCTAACCTTGACCTACCTATAGGGTAAGAATGTTTTATCTTCCAATTATTTTGCGATGCTAATCTATTGACAATGTAAATGATGAAAGTAGATAAAAAATCCAAGATAGAGTCAACTAATGATGCAATAACCGATAATGAGTTGGTCAACAATGAAACAATAATTTTACCAATAAGTAATATAATATTGATCAAAAAATTCACTAAAATGGCTTTTAAAATTTGCAGATTATCTTCTTCTTCATTATATCCTAAAAATTTTGATCCATCATTATCTACATTACCTGGTACATCATAAAATCTTGAATATTTGGAAGATGCCTTACCATTGCTATTTTCACTTCTTTCTGAATCCGATTTTTTCATCATGTCATCAATACTTTGTTTTTTCATTGGTTGTCTTTCAGGGGTTGTTGATCCACTTAATGGTTCTTCCATTTCTTCTATATGATCCAAAGCTATTTTGGAACCTAGCTCTTCAGTCGTTGTATTTTTTGAATCAAGTCCATAATTACTCAACATGTTGTAATGAATTTTACCAGCATCTAAAAAATTATCTATTTCTTGAAATTTTTCAATCAAATAATTCTGCTCTTTATAGTATTTTCTAACTTCTTTATTTTTTATCTTATTTATATTATCTTTATAATAAGCATACCAATTACATAATGGTTTAACATCACCAATTAATTTTGAAGGTCTTAAATTGTTTACAATATCAACAATACTTAATCTTCTTTGTTGTTCTAAATCTAAACTTAATCCAAGTGCCAAATTTGAATTATTTCCATTAAGAAAAAATGAAGGTTGAGGATGATGTAAGTTTGTTGAACTTTTATTTTGATTTGTTGAAAAATCTAAAGTTGTAGCCAGTGGAGAATTTGGATTTGTTACTGAATGATGACTACTTAATAATCTTTGAAATAATGGTTTTTCTGGATTTAATTTGAGGTATTCATTAGCTGAAAATGATACTCTTCTTTTGGGTGATGAAAATTCTTCAAATTCTGTATAATTTGAATTTTGAGAATTTAAATTTAAATTATTTATTGCATTCCCCGATTTTGGTCTTCTTATATTTGATTTATTATTTTGTATTGGGTTCAGAGTTGATGATGATGGATATGTTTGTAACTCTGAACTTAGTGATGATGAAGAATATTGTGCATGTCTTAAATTATTTTGATCACTTTTCTGTATAACTGGTTGAGATTTTGATATATTATTATTTATATTTGTCTTGGCAAGTAATGGTTGATGTTCATCATCTTCGGACTTTTTAGATGATTTAGTAGTGGTCATTATCAATGAACGATAATGTTGTTAAACCCTTCAAGTAGATCAAATCAAGGGTTACTTGTGTTCTAAATGATTGATTTTTTGATGAATGACCTGCTTTTTAGCAATTAAGAGTTAAATGATTGAAATGATTTAAATCAAAAACGAAAGGATGATCCGTTAATTGAAGATAAATTGATTGACTTTGGGTGGTTTTTATATGAAATATTTTGTAAAATGAAGTGATATGATTTTATTTAATTATTATAACTTGTTATAAAGATAAGAGTAAATAATAATTTATTGTACCTTTTTTTGATTAAATTTAAAAAATAAAAAAATTTCTTTTCGATATGCCAAATGAACTTACACAAAACCATTTGATTTCAATAAAGCTGATTTATAATTAAGACAACTTTTTAGTTTGATGTTACAATGACAGTTCAATGACAGTTTAAGCAGAAAAAATTAGTGCGAAGATTTCAAGCTGGTTAATGTTGTATAATTTATTCAGCTCTAGACTCAAAATCAAAATCGAAATCAAAATCGAAATTCTACAATTAGGTGTAACATCAGTTGAAGTATCTCCTTAGTGGAGAACATAAGTAGCTCTGTTATCTAATTGCAGATTCACGCGGTGGGACACAAGTTATGAATTAAGCATTTTGATAACTGAACTTACTTTCGATGCTATAATTGTGCTTGCATCTCACGTTACTCTTTCCGTTGATTGACGTGTCGGGCGGACTTTTATTCATTAATATTCATTGAGCCGTTGTTTGTAAATGTATAGTAAACCTACTCAATCAAACAAAAAGTTTAGTTGATCTACAGTATTTATTGGACAAGTCAAAGTATATGTATGAAACACAGACTTTTCACCATTAAAAATGTTTGACATTAAATGAGGCAGATTTGTTATCATTAATCACATATAATTTGGTCAAAACTTTTATTATATTTAAACCCAATAATCAAAATAGACAATTTTCTTTCAAAATTTTTGTTTCGCATGAATACATTAACTCCTTTGCAGTTTTGTTATTAGTACTGATCATTTTCTAAGTTTTTTGCATAAAATTCGCAACATAAATTTGTATCAAAATGTTACACAAAAACCAATAACTAAGTAACTTATTTGTTTCAGGATACAAGCTTTGAAAAAAACCTATATTTGTTAAATAGGTACCTAAAGAGTTTATCAAAATACGTAGTAAAGTACCATGAGTTATCTTTTTCTGAAATCATATTCAAATTCAACAATGAAACAACACTTCTAGTATGTACATTAATTTTAGACTATTTACTTAGTCATTAAACTGTGAGAGTCAATATTATCTATATGTTCAACATTAGCCTTCTCAATATCATCATCATCCTCAGCATAATGCCTCCTTGGAGTGTTTTTCTCAATGGATACAACTTTCCAAGGTTCATATACTGGACATTGATTGAAAATGAAATCCAACTCTTCTAAACTTCTACCTTTTGTTTCAGGAAAAAATATAAAAACAGCTGGTGCCATCAACGCATTTATAACTGCAAAGATTGTATAGGTGTAATAATTTATTGATTCAAAAGCTATTGGTGTAATCATTACTACCATGAAATTAAAAGCCCAATTTGAAGCTGTAGAAAGTGCTGCGATTGAAGACCTAGATTGTAAAGATCCTATTTCACTTGCAATCAACCATGATCCTCCTAACCAACTTACCAGGAATACACTTTGGGTGGGTTAGTAACGTTTCAGAACTTAATCGAGACTTGAAGCTTGAAAATTCGATGTTTTGTTGATGATTCAAGATGTTTGTTTCAGTTCGTAACGAAGTATAACATTTTTGCACCTAAAACATCATTTCCAACTACTAAAAGTTAAAAGCGAGAAAAAGAAAAAACATCAACACATACCTGTTAAATGCGAATAAAAAGAATGCGGCAGCAACTCCAGCAGATGTACCTGATTCACCTCTGTCTTTAGCTTGTTTAGCTTTCCAACCTGCAATTGTCAATGCCATCATAACTAATGCTTGACCAATAGCTCCTAAATACAAAAGTCTTCTTCTTCCAACTCTCTCTATCAAGAAGATACCAAGTATAGATGCCAAAAAGTATTCAGTTCCATTGCAAGCTGCTAAGATTCTTGAATTAAAAGGTGACATACCAATATAATTTTGGAAAATGGTCCCCGCATAATATGTAATTAAATTGATACCTGAGATTTGTTGAAATATTTGTGACCAGCAACCAATGCTTAATCTATGAAAATTTCTAGCAGGTCCTTGCTTTAATAAGTCCATAAAATGAAATTTTTCACCTGCGTCATTTTCTAAATCTAATGCACTTTGAATTTCAGTTAATTGAGCAGTTACTTTCTCGTCATTTTCTGGTAAATTAAACAATGCACTGAAAACAGTTCTTGCTTCTTTGACTCTACCTTGAGTCATTAACCAACGAGGAGATTCTGGTAATTTAAATAATATTGGTAATAACATTATTGGAAAAATCATTTGTAAAGCAACTGGAATTCTCCAAGATATACCTTTTGTATCATTACCATTTCTATCAATAAAATAAAATCCAAAATCAATCCAATACGAAATAGCAATACCTAAAGTAATTAAAGTACCTTCCATCATAATTAATTTCCCTCTTGATTTTGCTTTACTCAACTCAGCTTGCCAAACAGGAACAGTTGCAGTTAAATAACCAGTACCAAATCCAGTAATAACTCTAGCAATAGCTAAATGAACAACAGTAAAAGCAGAAGCTTGTAAAGCAGCACCAATTAAAACAATAACACAACCTAAAAACATACATTTTAATCTACCTAATTTATCACCAAGATAAACCGTTGATACTGCACTAACTAAACAACCTAATTCATATACTCCAATAACTGCTCCTTGTAAAGTACTATTATTTGAAGCTTTTATTGCTGGAAATTGTCTTTCAAATGAATCTAATGCTAATAAACTTCCATATACACCTTGATCATAACCAAATAGTAAAAATCCAACTCCTGCAAATGTTGATATTGCATAACTTAATTTTGGACCTGTCATTCCTAAAAACGAATGAGTTTCATTTGAATTGGAATCTAAATCTTGGTTTATTAAGTTTGATGATTTTTCCTTTTCTGAATGTGTATCATAGTGATCACTTTCCGATACTGCTGCTTTAAATTCTTCTGTTGACTCCATTTTTTGCAGTTTATGAATGAATTTGTTTAATGCCTCTATAAAATGTTAAAGAGAAGAAGGTTGGAGGAAGAGGTCATTATTTATACTTCAGACTAATACTTCATCTTCTATTGTTCTCACGCGAGTCTTTTGTTTATACGGCACCGTATGACAATTGAAATTAATCCGAGTTACATACAATTTATTGCAATAATGAAAAGTTTTATTTTAAAATGTGGGGGAATATAGATGCAATAAAATTACACAAAATCTCGAAGATCTCGAGAGATAAAATTTGACATATTTTTTGACGTCACTTTTAAAACATTAATTTTTCACAATAAGATTTGTGGAAAGTGAGCCTAAGAATATTGTATATGGATAGTAGACATTTGACGAACAGAATTAATTGTTTTTTAATCTGTTCCGCTGGAAAACATACTAATAAAAAGTAAAAAGAAATGGTGGGGAAGAAACTTTTTATGCATAAAAATTTTTCCTATTGTTTACATTTTGCATTTTTTCTATTTTTGAATTGCTTGGAAACGCAAAACCAAAAAATGACATCCAAAAATGATGAAACACTGTCACTTTCCGTTTCTGAAAACGTTCGGGCTCAATTAATTATGCATATGCTACTATTAAAGATAATTCTTTTGGTGTACAACTTTACAAGATCAAATTAGCCAAAAATTCAATTAGTCCTATTAGAAGACTTTATAACTGTTCGCTAGACCAAACGAATGAGCTCCGCTCAAAAGGTAATTACCTGGCTAGGTCAATTTCAACTATAGCCGTGCGCTGTGTACATTGAAAGCTGTTATTCTATTACGCCATTTTCCTCCAGTGCTGAAAGTGTAGCTTAATACTTGATAAGTCCAGAATCAATTTCAGGCACTAGACAACAACCTATTGTTAAAAATTTTGTTTCATCAGACGATTTTGTAAAAAAATCGTCTTTCATAATTGAATAGATTTTTAAATTTACTCGTCTAATGCTACAATTTATAAAGGTCGCAAATATCAGGAACTTGAATTAATTTATAAAGGTTAGGTAAATTCATTTGAAATTTTACATTTTCTTTAGTCATTTTTCATTCATTTCATTTTACAATTTATCATATTCATCATCATAAAGCTTCATAACTTCATAACTTATTTGGTATAAAAATGTCTGGATTAAGAAATAAATGCGGCTCGTTTAAACTCATCAAACGAAATCAAAAAAAAAAAATTATAAATAAATTTTCAAAAGGTTTTGCAACAATTTTAACTTACATTAATCACTTGTATTTCAATTATATGCTCAATAGAGCGATCATTTCAAATTACTTAAACAAATCAAATACATTTACAATGCCAAAACGTAATTTTAAAAGAAATAACAAAAAAGACACTAGTTTTAAGAGACAAAATACAGAAGATCAATCAAATCCAACCTGGAAAGAAGTTGAAAGAGATAATGCAAATTGGGAAAAATATTATAAATCAATGAATATAATACCAGATCAGGAATGGGAGGAATTCAAAAAGGCTTGTCAATCTAATTTACCAATGACTTTTAGAATAACAGGAAATAGAAAACATGCAGAAGAAATTAGAAATATATTTTTGGAAAGGCATGTTAAGAATTTACAAGGTAAAGAATATGAAGGAATTGATATCACCCCAAAACAGATTGAGTTTTATCCAAATGAATTAGGTTGGCAAATTGATGTTAGTAAACAAATTATTAAAAAGCAAAAAGATTTTGCCAAAACTCAAAGATTCTTGGTCATTGAAACTGAAGTTGGGAACATAAGCAGACAAGAAGCAGTATCAATGATACCTCCATTATTAATGGATATTAAACCTGAACATTATGTTTTGGATATGTGTGCAGCACCAGGTTCTAAAACCGCTCAATTAGTAGAAGCATTACACGCAAATGATGATAAAGAACAACCTACAGGGTTTGTATTAGCTAATGATTCAGACTATAAAAGAAGCCATATGTTGGTTCATCAAATTAAAAGATTAAACTCACCTAATTTTTTGGTTGTAAATCATGATGCTCAATTATTTCCAAGAATTAAATTAAATAATGTTAAAGAAAATTTGAAATTTGATAGAATATTATGTGATGTTCCATGTTCTGGTGATGGTACAATGAGGAAAAATATAAATATTTGGAAAGATTTTAGACCTGGAAATGCTATTGGTTTACATCCTTTACAATATAATATTTTAAATCGTGGATTACAATTATTAAAAGCTGGTGGTAGATTAGTTTATTCAACTTGTTCATTATCACCAATTGAAAATGAAGCTATTGTAGCTGAAGCTTTGAGACAATGGGGTGATAAAATTAAATTAGTAGATGTAAGTCAAGAATTACCTGGTTTAAAAAGAAGAGAGGGGATTAAAGATTGGGTAGTTTATGGTAAAGATATGACAATAAAACAAAGAGGAGAAGATGAAGTATTAACTGACTCAATGTATCCACCAACTGAAGAAAATATCAAGAGTGAACTAACAAAATGTGTTAGAGTTTATCCACATTTACAAAACACAGGTGGGTTTTTTATAACAGTTTTTGAAAAAATTGATAATAACACGGAGAACAATGGATCAAATAAACGTTCAGCTGAAGAAGTAGATATACTAGGCGATAAAGATACCAAAAAGCAAAAAGTTGAAGCAACTAATGATATAGGAATTGAAACACCAAACCCAACCACAACCACAACTACAGAAAAACCACTCACAAAGAAACAAAAGTTACCAAGAGATGCAAATGAAGAACCATTCATATTCCTTGACCCATCAAATCCAGAATTACAAAAATGTTGGCCATTCTATGATTTTAAACCAGAGTTTCCAAAAGATTGTACACTAGTAAGAAATATAACTGGTGAACCACTAAGAACTATCTACTATGTATCACCAATAATCAAAGAAATTTTAAGTATAAATGATCAAAAATTAAAATTAATTCATGGTGGTATTAAATTATTTGTTAGTCAAAGATCTGAGTTTGGTAATGCATGTCCATGGAGAGTTCAAACTGAAGCTTTACATACTATTGAACATTTCATTGGAACAAAAAGACATTTAAGTTGTAATCTTAAGTTATTAGAGTATTTATTCACTAATGCGTTTCCGAAAATTGAAGAATTGAAAAAATTGGAAATAGATCCACAATTTATACAAAGTTTAGATAAAATAGAAGAAGGTTGTTTGTTTTTAACTATAAACAGAGAAGATGAAGGTAATGAAAGTTTATTTTTACCATTATGGAAGGGGAAAACAAATATTAATCTTATGGTTAGTAAAAAAGATACTCATGAATTATTAAGTAGAGTTTTTGATATTGATACATCAGCTAATGATGTTGGTAAAGAAAAAATTTATCAAGAAAAAGTTGAAGCTGCTAAAAAGGAAAAAGAAAGTAGTGAAGCTCCAGAAGTTGCTGAAGAAACTCCAGAAATTGAAGTAGAGACCAAGGAGGAAGAAACTAAATAAAATAGGTTAATGTAAATTTAGGACATAATTATCATTAAATTATACATTCGTAAACATTCTATTCATTAATATTCTCACCTTCTTCTTCATCACTTAAAGATGAACTTTCTGTCAGATCCTCCTCTTCACTTGACTCTTCTTCATCAGTAGTAGTCAATTCATGAGGTTTGCCTCTTTTCCACAATTGTTCCCTTTCGTCACTATCGCACCATTCAGACTCTTCTGACTCTTCTTCATCACTACTAGTTTCTTCAATGGAGCTATTGCTGTCGTCTTCCTCATCTGAAGAAATTTGTTCTTTCGTTAGAAACATTTTACATACATCTTCAGTGATCAAATCATCACACCAAGATTCAATTAACATTCCCATAAATAATAAACTCAGTTCATCCATTGAATCTAAATATTTGGGTATCCTCTTTTTATCATCTTTTCTCAATCGACTTCTCTTCCCGTTTTTCTCAACCTCATTTATTACAGTGTCTTTTTCATCATGACTATATTTTTTAGATACAAAATAATGTATAGCTTTTAATAAATCAGAAGAAGGTAAATTTGAGTTATAAACTATAGGAATTTTCAAATGGCCTGGCTTTATCATATCTAACAAATCATCAGGTGGAAATGAATTACCGTATTTAAAAAACACATCATCTAAATCTGAAGCTGATTTATCTATTATTATTTTTATACCTTGTGGAGTTTTAATTAATTTGTGATTTATTGATTCTTTATTATCAACTAAATATTTTCTATTAATTGCTCTATTTTCGTGATAATCTCCATTACATGCATTGTATATGTTTGAGTTGTTTAGTAGTTTTCTATCCAATCTTGATATATTCATTGCTAGTTAGTTGATTTAATTCTATAAAGTATTCATGATGTAATAAAAACCATTTGATCTGATATTGCAAAAAAATTAAAATGGATTGGTAGCATCGTAAACTTTTTTATTAACACAAAAACACAAATTATTAAGAAATCTTAAAAAAAGGTAAACAAATGAAAAATCAAGTAAACAACCAATAAGTAGTTTCAAATCATTAAAGATAAATAAGAATTATTCAAGAAACCAGAGTAACCACATATTTATATCAAATGGTTGATTTGCATTTGATAAGAACACATGATGAATTAAGACAAGAATTATCAAATCTAATAATATCGAATGAGCTTAGGGCATATCAAATTACAACCGCTATACTTAAATTAGGAATTATTCAACAAAATCAATTACAATCAAAAAAACCTGCAAAATCAAGTCCTAAGAAGAAAGCACCATCATCAAATGAAGAGCACCATTTTGAAATAGAATTGAACAAATTAAAACAACAATACTCAACAGAATCAAAATTAAAGGATGTCAAACTTGACTCATTCAAGAAAGAAAATGAAAAATTAAAACTACAAATTAAGAATTTATCAACCGCACAATCTAGTAAAAGATATACATCTTCATCCTCGTCGTCATCTATAAGTTCAAATTTTTTCAAAAATCAAAGAAATCGAATACCTAGTGGTAAATCGATTTTTACACCTGATAAATTTAAATCATCAACTAATTCAACTTATGTACCATTTTATAAGAGACTGACTTTCACTACTATATTTGATGATGAGTTAATGACACCAATAAAGAAAGAAAAAAAGAAAATGGTCAAAATGGAAAATAAATTTAAAGATATTTTAGAATCTGTACCAGCAGAAGATATAAACTCAAAATTAACAGAAGATAACGAAAGTGATGAAAAAGAAGAAAACGAGGAAAATGAAAAGAAAAATAACACAGCTTTAACTTTAACAATTGGACCAAGTGCTACTTCATCACCTACTGCATTAAGACAATCAACGACACCATCCAAATATATCGAGAATTTTGATAACGAAGATGATGATAAAAGTGAAGAGAAAGATAACCAAGCACCACATCAGCAAGATCAAGACTTAAACTCCAAAACCAGTACGAAAAGTCCATCACCAGATTTCACACCACAAAGACGACCAAGAATGACAAGAAGTTTAACTTCATCAGCAGCAGGACCGAATAATTCAACTTTTAATAATACAGATACTAGTAATCTACATATCTCAACAATAACTTCTCCAACTACATTAATTATGCAAAATAAAACCAAGAATCTTGAATCTCATGATTCACCAACAAACAACAAAATCAGAAAGATCAAAAAGATTAAAAAAATAACATCAACAGATCCAGATACGTCTACCACCAAAATCAAGAAAGAAAATTCAATTTTTAACATTTCTTCATCTGATGATGAAATCGATACAAGTTTTAATATTATTAATAAATTTGAAGATTCTCATTATATTGATGATAAAAATGATTTAATTGATCAACCTATAGTTTTACCAAAGAGGAAAAGAAAATTGAGTAGTGATGATGATAATCAAAATGATTTTGGTGGTGATGAACCTTTGAAAAAGAAAAGAAACGTTTTTACTATTGACTAATATTCGAATTACTATTTTTATAAGACAATTTAATGAACGATCAATGATTATTTGAGAACCGTTGTAATTTTCCAGAATGCTTATGCGAAATCATTCTCTAGATTCTTTGTTGGTCGATAAACCATTTTTACTCGAACGAGCCTTGTATGACCCTAGTCCAAATTTCTGCTTCGAGTTGGTAGCTTTACCGGTATTAGTAATAACTTTTAATATTTTGTTTCAAATTAAATTCCGATTTAAATTTCTTTATTCAATGGCGAATATTTATTTGTTTTTTTACAACCAAAAATCTGTATAATTAATATATCAGAAATCTACAAGTATATCTACATAGATGATTAGAACGGATAAGTTAGGTACTTGTCGTCAGATAAGGAGAAATCTACTTAAAAAGTCTACCAAAAATCATAACAAAATTATAAATCTTATACGAACTGCAACTACATCAACTTCCACACAACAAACTTATTCATCATTATCTCCACTTTTATCACAAATACCATATATACCTTCATCAAATATTCCAAACCCCTTTGTACATAACAACCATAGCATACTAAATGAATCATTATATTTTGATAAATCAAAACCCGATCAACCACTACCAAAAGAACCCAAAGATAAAAATGAACCACCATCAAATGATAAAACTGAAGATCCTCCAAAACCAAACGAAGAAGAAATAGAGAAAAAGGATGATGAAAAACCAAAAGATATAGTAGAAGAATCAGAAACTAAAGTTAGTATAGATCCTAATGCACCTGTTTCATCATCAAATACAGTTTCATCAAGTGGTGGAGATAACAGTAATGATGGGAAAAATGATAATAACAACAATAACGGAAATGATGGTAAAGATGATCAACATCTCGTGAACTCTAGGACTGGATTGTATACTCCATTTCTAGCAATACCGATGAAAGATCGTCCTTGTTTACCAGGTAGATATTGTACAATTACAGTAACAGATCCAGAAGTTATAAGATGTTTACAGGAAGTTGTTGAAACAAAAGAACCGTATTTTGTATTATTCCACGTGAAGGATCCCAATGATGAAGATGCTCATATAGATATTATCAAAAACAAAGAATTTGTTCATGAAATTGGTACATTATGTCAAATTGCAAAAGTAACACCTTTGGATTCAACTCATGTACATATTTTAGCATATCCTCATAGAAGAGTTAAATTAGTTGATTTGAGTACTCCGAAACAAAAAAATGAAAATATTGAACAACAACAAGAAAATTTTCCCACGGCTTACTTGAAAAAATTTGATATTTCATACGCTGCAGTTCAACCAGTTGAAGATGAACCATTTGAAAAAAATAATGTTGAAATTCAAGCATTAATAGAAAGTATCAAGAGTTTATGTTCAAGTTTTTCACCTAACCCATTAGCAGCAGAAAGTGGTAGAAAAGTATTAAATGATCCTTCCATGTTGGCTGATTATGTTGGTGGATCAGTATGCGGAGATGCTAAGCAAATTCAAGAAATTATGGATAGTTTAGATGTTCAAAAAAGATTAGAAAAAACTTTGAAGCTATTAAAAATCGAAGTTGATGCGGATGAGATAAAAAGAAAAGCTCATATAAACATGAGAGAAAGAACTGAAAAACAATATGCTCAAATGTTAATCAAGGAATACACTAAAGAGTTATTAAAAGCAGCAGGGATAGGTGAAAATTCAAAAGCTACTAAATTTGATGAACGTTTAAAGAAATTAAAAATGCCGGAAGAAGCAATGGAAGCTTATAAGACAGAAAGAGCAAGATTAGGGACTCAAAGTGATATGGAATCAAATGTTGTTGAAAGATATCTTGATTGGTTAACTCAAATTCCATTTGGTATATATTCAAAAGATTCATTCAATGTTAAAAAAGCAAGAGAAATTTTAGATCGTGATCATTATGGATTAAAAGATGTCAAAGATAGAATATTAGAATTCATATCTGTGGGTAAAGTATCTGGTAATGTAAATGGTAAAATTTTATGTCTTGCGGGTCCACCAGGTACTGGGAAAACTTCAATTGCAAAATCTATTGCGGAATCATTGAATAGAAAATATACTAGAATTGCAGTTGGTGGTGTACAAGATGTTCATGATGTTAAAGGTCATAGAAGAACTTATGTTGCATCAATACCAGGTAGAATCATATCGGCTTTAGTTAATGCCAAAACATCAAACCCTTTGATGTTAATTGATGAAATTGATAAATTAGATACAACATCACATGGAGGTGCAGCAAGAGCATTTTTAGAAATATTAGATCCTGAACAAAATAACGCTTTTGTAGATAATTTCATTGAGGTGAAAGTTGATTTATCAAAAGTTTTATTTGTATGTACTGCAAATTATTTAGGATCAATCCCAGCTCCATTGAGAGATCGTATGGAAATTATTGAAGTTAACGGATACACAAAACATGAAAAAATTGAAATTGCAACAAGACATTTAATTCCTGAAGCATGTAGAAAAGTTGGTTTACAACCTGGTTTAGTTGATATTTCAAGAGACACTATACTGAGACTAATTGATAAATATTGTCGTGAATCGGGATTAAGACATGTCAAAACTTTGATAAATAGAATTTTTAGTAAAGCTTCTATGAAAATTGTTGAACAAGTTGAAGAAACAAATCCTCAACAAGAAGAAATTATTATTGAAGAAATTAAAAATGATGATGTCAAAGAACAAGAGAAATTGGAAAAGGAAGTTGAAGCTAAACCAGAGGAAGCTTCTACTGCTGAGACTACTGTTAAAGCTGAAGAAGCTATTGAACCTAAAGAAGAATCATCAAAAGAATCTGAAGAAAAACCAAAAGAGGAAGAAAAACCGAAAGAAACCCCAAAAGAAGAAGTTGTTGAAGAAAAACCAATAAAATTAGAATTACCAGACAACATCAAAATAGATGTAACACCAGAAAATTTAAAAGAATTTATTGGACCAGAAATATATACAAAAGATAGAATTTATGAAACTTTAAAACCAGGTGTTGCAACAGGTTTAGCATATAATAATTCAGGTGATGGTGATGCCCTTTATATAGAATCGATTTTAACAGATTCAATAAGTTCAGATTTAGGAAATGCAGGATTACATGTAACTGGTTCATTAAAAGATGTTATGAAAGAATCAGCTTCGATAGCATACTCATTTGCAAAACAATATATGATTTCAAAATATACGGAAAATAAATTTTTTGAAAATGCTCATATTCATGTTCATTGTCCTGGTGGTGCAATTCCAAAAGATGGACCATCTGCAGGTATAGCTTTTACATCATCATTAATTTCATTAGCTTTAAATAAATCATTACCTAACGATACAGCAATGACTGGAGAAATAACATTAACTGGAAGAGTTTTAGCTATAGGAGGATTAAGAGAGAAAACCCTTGGTGCTAAACGAGCAGGTTATAATAAGATTATATTCCCAAAAGATTGTGAATATCAATTGGAAGAAATTCCAGAAGAAGTTAAAGAAGGTATAACTTATTACCCAGTTGAATGGTATAATGAAGTATTTGATCATTTATTTGACATTGACCAAAATGAAGGTAATAATGTATGGAAGGAGGAATTTGAAAAATTAGAAGCTAAAAAGAAATCAAAAAAACTGAGTAGTAATTAGAAATTAAAGGTTCATACATGTATATAAGTAAGTTTTGTACAATATATTTAATAACATTATTATAGTCATTGTTTAACATTAACTTAATCGTTTATTCATTCTAAAAAACATCGTACATCATTCAATAATTTTATTTTGTATTTTTCTCTTCTTCTTTAATCTCACCAAAGAAATTTTTAACTTCTTCTTCAGTAACAATCTTACCTTGTTCAGCAAAAGGTTTAAAGAAATCACGTAACTTTGATCTTATTTTATCATAAGCTTGTATACTTTCAATAGCTTGACCTCTTGGTAATTGATGTATAGCATCAACTGCACACATATCTAAGTAAGATACTGTCGTTGACCATTCTTCTTCACTTGAATCTTCTGGGGGTTCATAGATTGGATCTTCTTCGTATAGATATGAGTTGTTTTTGAGGAATGTTGAAAGTTTTGAATTTGGTTTGAGGTTTGGTAATGAGGTTTTGATTTGATCTTTGAATCCGTTTGATAAGAAAATCGAATAATCTTCTTGTTGTGTTGTTGAAGACGGTGATGATTCAGTTTTGATTCTTTTGTGGTCTTGTTTATGTTCTTTTTGTTTTAAGTTGTACCATTCATCTACTGTGTTTATACCTTCAAATCTTGGTAATTTATCTAATATAACTTTAGGGAAATATTTATCAAATTCCATAAAGACATCTTTAAATTTATCAACACAATCCCAACATATAAAACTATCAAAAGTATCCAAATTTGGAAAATATTTTAGTTTTTTTATCATTTCATAATCTTCTTCTTCCATTTCATGTATTTCTTGTTCATTCATTCCTTCTTCTCTTTCTTGATTCTTTTTAGTTTCTTCTTCAACATTATCATCATATGCTTTTCCAGCTTCTTCCTTAGATTCAGCAGAATGTTGTTCTTCACTTACTGTTTCAGCTGCATCATCTCCTTGTTCAGCAGCAAATCCAGGTGGTGATAATTGATCTAATCTATTTTCTCCAATACTATACCTTGTATTTTCATTTTGTGTAGGTTTTTTAAAAGCATCTGGTTTAAAACCCATTATACATTTATCATGAAACCAATCTTCGCCACATTGAAATCCGAAAAAGCATTGAATCATATTACCTGTTTCTTCTAAAGGATTATAAGGTTGTTTACATCCACAAAATTTACCATCAAAATTTTGATTATATACATTAGATAAACTTGGGATATCTTCAGCTGGTAATGATACATGACTTGAACTTCTTGAATTTGATGAACCATTAGACATAACTGATGATTTTCTTCTTTGTCCATTTGATTGTTGTTTTTTATAATCTTGTCTTCTTAATTTACATGCACCATCTGGAGTTTTAGACATTCTAGTAGTTCCACAATCACAAACAAATGCTCTTTTGGAAAATAATTCAACTAATTCATGTTGTGAATGACATTGAATAGAACATGAATAACATATACCTATTGGTGTATTATTATTTGTTTTAGAACATGTTAAACATGCAAATATTGGTTGTCTTAATTCTCCTTTTTCATAAGTACATTCATCGAAACTATAGGGCATTTTACGTTTGGCTTCTTTTTCTAGTTCTACTTGTTGATGAATATAATCTATAGCTGTCATTGATTCTTGCAGTTCTGTTTTGGAAGAACTAGTACTTGATTGTCCTTCGGCTCCCATATTGATTTTTTTTAATTTAGCAAAGCTTTAAATGAGTTCTTGTAGTAATAGCTAAATCCTTCAGTAGTAAATTGAGGATAGATTAACAGTTTTATTATAGGAAATGGCTAAATAGTGTATTTAATATAAGTATCAAGTTGTTGTTATTTGTTGATGAAATTTTATAATCGAGTTTGTATTTTTCAAATTTGTGTTATTTATTGCAGTTTGAAACTAATTGCTTAATTTTAACTGAAACAAAAGTTGAGACAATTTGTTTTGATTAAGATACTAAGAAGAATAAACATCTACTTCGAGAGAAGAGAGAGCTACGTATAGTGTCGGAGATCAAGTGTTATTTTCCAACTTTTTTTTTAAATTTCAATAGTATACAAATTTTGTTTATTCAACCTCATCTTAATTTCCTCTAATCAGTTATACTTATTTCAGTTACAATTTCATCATAACCTTCCCTATATTCATCAACTTTATCAGCATTTTTCTTATTTTTCCCACCTCCTGGTACAATCATGACACAAGAAGTTGGTCTTTTAGTAGCACCAGCACTTCCCAAATCTTCTTTTGATGGTATAAAAATATATGAAACTCCATTATCTTCACATAATACAGGAATATGAGATATAACATCAGCAGGACTAATATCACCTGCAATAATAACTAAACCTTTTTCACCTTTTCTTAAAGCTTTTACAACTTCTTTAACTCCTCTTTTCACATGTTTTGCTTTTGATGCTCTTTTAATTGTTTTTAAGATTTTTTTATTTAATTTTTTGGATGCTAATGGTTTTGCAAATGGTAATATTGCTGACATTCTTTTTTCATAATTATCTTCTGTTGATTCATCTGTTGATTTAGGTTTTGATTCTTTTGATTCTTTTGATTCTTTTGCTACTTTTGGTTCTTTGGTTTTAGATGAATCTTTTACTTTTGGTTCTTTGACTTTCCCGTCTTTCTTGCTCCCCATTTTGTATGTTATGTGTTGTATCTTAATGTAATTAAATGATTTAGTTGTAAAATAATGGATAATCAGTTTGAAGATGGTTGAAAAATTTAAGATGCCTTTTTTTTTTCCTTTTGGGTTATTTTCAGTATCAGTGGAATTGGTAGCATTTTCTTTTGATTTTAATGTATTTACAATTACAACTATCAAGTGATTACTTAAGTTTCAGATCATATAAAGTAACGTTCAATTAGTTGTGAGACATACTTCAAATCATAGAATAATAGTATGGTAGATAATCAACAAAATAGAAAAAGAAAAAAATCACGTCATCACAACAACAACTACCATCAACAATCCAATCACCAACAATCACAACCACAAGATTCACAATCATCATCAACATATATACCGAACAATTCACAAATACAATTACAATTAACAAATGACAAAAAAGATACAAAACCAATAAAGTCACAATCAGTAGATGAATCAAAAGTTTTGCTGTTATTATCGAAATTTGCACCAAAAGTTACAATTACTAATCAAACAAAGCTAACTCACATAACTATAATACTAAGTGAATCAGAATCTCAACTACTAGAAGCCAAGAATTTAAAACAAATATTGGTTGATAAATTCGGTATAAAAGATCTTGTGGTAGAAAATAAAGAAGGTAATATCGACTCACTAATAACGATATACGGCCAACCAATATCAATTTCAAAAGCAATTACATTTTTGGTATTTGTGGTGAACAGTCAATTAAACAATCTAGCTAACGAATTATTCACTTTAAAATCATCAAATTACAAAATCCATTTATTACTCAAAACAGCACAAAGAGTTCATGGAATAAAATATATGGATAATCTTTCAATAAATTATGATATTGATAGTTTCAACGTTTTCATTCAAGGTGATTTTAATTCCATTTTCAATTTCTTATTGGATGTTATAGAACATGGTGGGAATGAAATTGATATTAACTCAATAAAATGTGAATCTAATTTTGGTATACATTTAGATCCTGCTTTGAAAAATATAAGTAATGAAAATTTAAAATTAAAAGAAAGTAGTAAAAGTAAATTATTAAAATATTTATATAATTCACTGAAATTAAAGCAATTAAAATCAGAAAATAAGAAAAAAAGTAAATGAATAAATGAATAAATGAATTAATTTTTGAGTATACTCTATACACGAGCTAAAGCTACATTTTTACCTTTTCTAGATATAGAAGCAACTCTATCCCCTAAACTTAAAGCTAATCCTTGTCCCTTTGATCTAATTCTAACATGACCAATTATAGGTCCACCATCAGATTGTTTTTCAATACATAAATTAGCTAATGCATCTTCACCAAAAGTTGATCTTGAATATAAATTAGCAGATAAAAATTGACATTCTTCTCCAACTATTGCACCTGGAGTTAAACATTTCATGTTTGTACCATTCATTAATTCATCTAAATATGTTTTAAGGGAAGTTATTGGTGATTTTATTGTAATTTTATTTTCCCATTCAAATTCATTCCACATTTTTCTAAATTGTGATTCTGAACATGTTGCTGGTTTAATATAATCCATTATATCTACATGAACATCATTTAATATCACAATTGTTGATTCATCTGAATGTTGTCCATCATAAACTATATTTCCAAATATAACTCCAGTATCTGCAGATGTAACTTTTATAGTAGTTTGAATCTTATAAAAACCATGTGGTCCAATGTTTGCAGTTGTTGGTTTATCAACAACTTTTAAATCTCCCAATGTGGCAAATTCAACTGATAAATTACGTAATGTAGTTGTTGTTTGATTAACTAATAATACATCTAATACAACATCATATTGATGTACTTTAACAAATGCTTCTGCATATATTGGATCTGAAAATCCAGTTAATTGTAATATTTTATTTAATCTTGATGATAGATTTTCCTTTTTAAGGTCACTACCTGATGCAGTGACTATATCATCCACATTTTTGTTACTTGATTTATTATCTTTGTCGAGTTGTCTAAATAATATAGAATCATCAATTTGTTCTGCATTAGCATGTAAATCTTTTGCTTCTGCTTCAGCTTTTTTCTCTTCAGCATCTGTAATTTGTGCTTTGAAAGCATCTTTTGTATCATCTAGGAATGTGGTGGTGATATCTTCAACATCTTCTTCATCATTTAATATCTTAATGTATGAGAAAATTCTATCTGCTGAATCTTCATCTATTTTTTTGGTGACTAATGAACTTTCGCCCAACCTTATTATTGATACCATTATTAAAAGTGCTTCTGCTTTTAATGCATTTAATATTTTTGATTGAGTTTTTAATTTTTGTAATCTTAAAATTAATTTAACTAATGTACTTGACAAAACAGCACCAAGATAAAAATCACCAGCTAATAATTGTTTTCTTATTGGAGTTTTACTATCATCATCAAAACCGTTACTTACTTCTGCAGTTAATGCAGTTTCTGTAGCATAAGTACCATCAGGTAAAACAGTTGGACCTTTTCTTTTATGTACTGATTCTCCATCTTCGTGAGTTTCATGTTTTGGATCTTTTGATTTTAATTCACTTGTTACAATTGGAACTTCTCCAATACTTGATCTTATATATTTCCATGCATCTTGAATTAATTGTTCATCTATTGCATATTCTCCAATAACCCATAATGCACCTCTAAATACTTTACCACTTTTAACATTTGGTAATGCTAAAATTAATCTCCTTATAATGGATTCTCTTAAATGTGGGAATTTTTCAACAACTTCTTTTACAAATGTAATAACTTCATATGCAGCTGTTGAATTTAAATCAGCTATTGAATCTAATAAAAGATCAATAACATTTGCTGCAACTTCAACAAATCTAATTGCTAATATGTGTATAGCATTAATTAATATTTGTCTATATTCTGCATTTTTATCATCATTTGATAAACTTGTGGCTTGTAATTCTTTTTTCAATAATTTGACTACATCTTCAACATTTCTAGATGTAATAAATTCTAAAGTAACATCTAATGCTTTTTTTCGAACATCTAAATCTTGTGATGATAAGACTCTTAATATTTCTAAAGATAAATCTTGTAATACTCCAGGATGTTGTTTATTTAATTGATTTATTCTTTCTAAAGTTATAATTTTAACATTATTATCAGATTCTTTTGTTGCTAATTCAACAAATTTATTACCAGCCAACAAAATGGATGATGAATTTGAAGTTAAAACCGATAATGTATTAGCAGCTTCATACATTACAACATTTGATGAACTTTCAACAATTTCTGTAATTAATTGAGTATATTGTTGTTTTAAATTTGGATTTTGTATTGAATCCTTTTTGATAAATTCAATAAATGCTAATTGCAACAAAGGATCCAAAGTATCAATAACACTTATATTATCTTGAATATATTGTAAAGCAGCATTTCTATTTAAATCTCCTAAACAAACAAATGCATTTCTTTTACAAACTGAATCATTTTCATCATATAAGAATCTATAAATTAATTCATCAGCATCAGGACATAAATGATCACTTACTTTATATATGGACCATAATGCAAAAACTGCATTTTTACGAACATAAGCATGTCTATGTTCAAGACATTGACGAACATTTGGAACTAAAGTTTCTAATAATTCAGGTTCTTTTAATTTATTCAAATATCTTAAAGTATTACCTCTAATGTATTCATTTGGATGTTGTAAATCTCTTTGAATAGCATTACAAACTAAAATCATTTCATGTCTCATTTTACCATTTTCATCTAATTTTGGACAAACTTCCCAATAATGATATAATAATTTTTTTAATTCTTTATTTTTTGATGGCATTACAAATCTAATGATATGCATTAATAAATCAGGTAATGGATCTCTATTTAATATTGTTATAAGAATTTTTTTCATTGTATCTACTTTTACTTCATCTTTTCCCTTTTCTAATAAGTTCTTGTATTCATTTGTTGATATTTTATTGGCCGTGTTGGGCTCGTAAATTAAAGTATATCCACTATCACTCATTGTAGGGGGTTATTTGTTGTGTTGACTAATGGTGGTGATAATCGAATTGATGTACAATTGATTTGTGAAAGTTATTTTTGGTTGTAATATTTTATATTGTTTGTTATTTGATATACGTGTTGGTTGGAAATTTCCAAAAATTAATTTTGATCTAACCAAATAATATTTGATTTGTACACTACTAATTATATCACTATATTACTACAAACAAATAATTAATGCTACAATCAAAGAATAACTTGATAATCATAAATAACTTTGTCATTAAATATTAAATTAAATTAATTATATAGAAGTCGTTTGGATATAAATATAGTGTATGTACATATAGATTTTTTGGGGTTTTTTGCGTATGAAGAAGCAAAATATTAATCACTATCAGAACTATAATCAGGATTGGCTAATACTAATTTTGGTCTTTCATCAACTTCAGCTTCATTAATAAATCCATTAGATCCAAAACCATTAACATATCCATTAGTATTACTAACATTATTATTGGTGTTATTATTAATCATTAAATCATCTGTACCATTATCACTTTTTTCAGTGATATCATCTTCTTCATCATCATTTTCTGGATGAGTATCAGTATATTCATAATCATCCACGTCTCCGTATTTATAACCACGATGTTGATAATAACCTGTAGTGATCTTTTCAGAAATACTACCTGAACTTTCACTAGAAGCAACAGAATCACTTCTCTTGATACTACTATTTCTGTGATTTTTGGTACTATCAGTATTTGTACTTGCTAATGATTGAGTATCTCCTGTTAATAAAGACCCATCTGTTGTTGTTCTCTTAAGGGAGTTTTCTCTTGATGTTGATTTGTTGATTGATTGACTACCTGAATTGACATTTTTTAAAGTGGTCGATGAGGAAGAAGCATTTGTAGTTGGTGGTTTTGAAATAGATATACTAGTTGAATAATCATCACCTTCATCTATTTCAGCAGCTAATAATCTTGGTTTTAAATGTCCATGTTTTAATTCTACTCCACTTGTCTTTTTTCTGTAATTTGAATTATTTGAATTACCTGCTAATCTCTTATATTTACCATTGGAATTATCTTTCATTGCTGTTTTATCAATTGGTAATATCCCCACTGGTAATTTCCATTTTGATGGACCTGACTCATTAAACGCAGTACCTGCATTTCTTCTTATTGTTAATACGTAATTGGATCTTTCACCTTCTCCTGGTTTTAAACTTAATGTTTTTTTGAGTGTGGCTAAGTTGACGTTTCGGTATGAATTTGAACTTCTGATGGAGCCCATTGAACTTGATGTACGATGATAAGTACGTTGTGATCCACTTGTTGGATTGTAATTTTTCATTGATGAAATGTTGGAATAAAGTGAAACATCTGTTTTGGTATGTTGTAATTGTGGTTGATGTGGTGGTGGAGGTGGTGGTGTTGGCTGTTGAGATTGTTGGAAGTTAGGTGATTGGGAGTTATAGTAAATTGGTGGCGATTGTCCGATAAAAGTTGATGAAGGTATTCTCGAACTTGTAGTTGGAGTTCTTGAATATGATGATCTTGCACTTGTTGAGCCTACAGCTGGAGCATTTGATGAAGATGGTGTTATTGATTGATCAAAATATTGTTTTGGTTGAGTAGGTGAAGTTATTGATGTGTCTGATGATTTATTTGATGATGAAGAATCCAAAATTTGATAATTTGAATTTGAATTTTGCAAAGTTGTTTCGAAGGGATTTATATTTTCTAAATTTGTTGTATCCATCATATAATTTTGGATAATTTGTGGTGAATTTTCAATTGATTCTGTTGGTGTTGTTGTAGTACTATCGTTTGGTGAGGCGATTGTTGAATTTACAGGGTAAGGAACTTGTTGTTGTAATTGTTGATGTAATTGATTAGATTGATGAGATCTAGTTAAATCGAAATCCGTAACAGGATCATCTAATCTTATCAGGTTCCTTTTATTTAAATTTAAATCGTTAATAAATTCATTTTGTATTGCATCTGTTTCTTCATAAAACTTTGTGTTTCTTTTTGATGAATATCTACTCTCTGCATCATTTGAATTTGAATTTGAATTTGAATCTTCAAATTGTAAAAAATTATCAATTTCAGATTCCAAATCTGCTATAATATCTCCCGTAACTCCTGTATCTGAATGCAATTCCGGTTCTGAATGTAGATCTTGATCTTGATCTTGATTTTCTTGATTTTGTACTATGCCAGATCTACTTGAAGATTGTGGACTTTGTAATTGTGAAGTATTGGTTGATTTTAAATTCCCACCAAAATCAAAACTATCTAGATCACTTGGTGGTTTTCTTCGTAGTTTATTTGAAACTGGTGATGGGGTCGGACTTGGCAGACGTATGCTTCTTGAATATGAGGGGGATGATAAATTGGGGGATGGATTTGACTTGTAGTTTTCACTAGCTGGTGATGTTTGAATGGAAATGTTTGGTATGTTATTAGTTGGTTGTGTTTGACTATATTGTGTATGAGGATTATATGGTTGATACAGAGGTTGTGTTGGTGGTGGTTGATGATGACTCGTTACTGGTGCATGGTTCATTTGTTCATGATACTCATTATGAGGTGTTTGAATTGGAATTACGGGTATATTACTATTGTTATTATTAGTTGCTCTTAATGTACTATTTGAGGATTTTGAATTTATTGATTTACCTGAACTATAATGCGATGAAGAGTTTACAGTGCTTGCGCTTGAATAATTTTGTAATGGTGGTTTATTCAATGGTTTTGGGTTTGGTGAAGGTAATGGTGATAGACCTCTTGATTTTGGTATATTTGATGAGTTTGATGATGGAACATTAAGGGTAGTATTTGTTGATGTTGACGATTTTTTGTCACTCGGTGAACTTTGACCAAATATGGAGGAAATTCTTGATCCAAATCTTTTCTTTTCCGACATAAATTAAAAAAATGTTGTGCTATGTGTTAATGATGTCGTGACAATTGAATTAAGTAAGGCTGGTAGACCCAATTTATTGATGTTATTATTTAAAATAATAAATTTATAATTTATACTTGATCAAATGATTCTGAAATTGAATGATTTTTAAAATTACTGACTTTATAGCTTTAAAACTAACTAAAAGAATTAACTTTAGCTCTTTTGAATTGATATCTCAATTAAAATAAATGAATGAATGAATGAAATGATATATAATATTCAAATATATATCGAATATTCTTAAAACATTAAATCAATAAAGTTTCGTTAAATAAAAAATTCTTATTTAACTTTATTTCGTATAATTTAATGAGAGAAAAATTAAGAAATAATTAAAGAGATCAATGACATTTTTTTATTATGTCTTAACATTTTTTTATCGACACTCGCTTGATTTTTTGCAACACAATTTATTCAGATAGATAGAAATATCAGTATTACATGCTAATAGATTGAAAGATAAAATCATTCATCAAATGAATGGTGAACATAAAGAAAAAAAATCAAATAATAAACTACTATCACATACTTATAATAATTACAAATTAAGTGATTTACAATCAATTAAATTTTATAATTTATATAATGAACAAGAATCACATCAAAAATCACAAATAGATTTACAACAAGAACAACAAAATATAAGTCCATACAAAAGATTGGGGAGAAGAAGAAGTACATTAACTACAATACCAACTATACCAAGTACAATTGAACAATATGAAGATTCTTCTCAATTATATAATTATTCACAAAAAAGAATTTTAAATACATTAATAACTATTCAATTACCTAAATATGATAAACTACTATACGTGAGTAATGTAGCTGTTGATGAAATGAATCCACAATTTCAAATTCAATTACCTTCTATTCCACCTCATATTCATAAATTTCTATTAAATCTTTGGGTTTTAAATACTAGTAAATGGATATTATTATGTCAATATAAATTAAACTTGGATCAAGTACAACAAATTAATTATAGTATAGATGATGATTCGTTTGAGTATTTCAAAAATAATTCAATTTGTTTAGAATTAAATAATAAATGGTATACTTTTAGTAATATGATACTACCGAATCAAATAATACTAATAGATCCAAATAAATCGTCAAGTCATTTTACAAGATCAATTCCATCATATACTTTTGATCAAATAAGATCAATCAATAATTTACACAAATCCATAAAGGAATTAAACACTTCAAAATACAAACTAAAGAAACAAATAAGTAAATATATCAAAGATATAGATGATTCAAATTTAAATACATTGCCCATATTAATATCTCAATTACAAAATAAATGTAATGTACTTTCAAAAGATATAGAATTAATCAAATCAAAAATCGAATCAATAAATTCCAAACTACATCAAACAAAGCAAGAAACAACAGATACAACAAAGTTTATAGAAAATTTCATCAAGATAGAAGAAATGGTCACGGACAAAATCGAAATATATAATTATGAAATTGAAACAATAAAACAAAACAGAGACTTAATGAAAGAAGAAATAAGACATAGATTGAAAAAAGATATTAAAGTAATAACCGATATTTTCCCAATAATTGATTCACCAACTCAAAATTCATCAGCATCAATTCCATCTTCGAATTTTGAAATTTTAGGGTTTCAATTTCCTGCAAATTATAAGGACCTAAAAGATATTTGTTATTATAATTCACAAACACTAACAAATTCATATTATCAACCACATTTTGAAAATGATTCAGAACTACATAATTTTCAAATCAATCAAATCAACACTTGCATATCATTCATTATAAAATTACTTGAAATTCTATCACGAACAACATTAACTCCATTAACTCATAAAATAGAATACATTAACTTTAAATATTATATAGTGGACGATAAGTCTATAAATTATCCCATACTAGGTAAGACATCAACTACAAAACCATACAAATTTCTACTAGAGTATGATCCGAAAGATGAAACTAATGAAAGGATTCTTACTGGTAATAAGAAATTTATAATAATGAATCAAGAATATGAATATGGATTAAAATTATTAAACATTAATTTGAAAAATTTGATAGATTACATTAAGCAAGATATTTATGATGTACCCTATAAAGACTTGAATAATTTACCTTTTGATTGTCATGATAATTTATTATGGAATTTGAAATATTTAGAGTTATTAATTACTGCTTAAATTTTGAAAATGTGAATTAAAATGTGTGTAATTTTTAAATAATATACATATGGGTATTTCAAAAAACCTATAAACTTTGAACGAACTGAAAACGATTGTAGTCTTTTTTCAAACAATGACTTGAACTTTTTGAAAAACTTTTTTTTTTACAATAAAGCAATAGCTAGAGCACCAATTATAGCTCCAAAACTAGTTGATAATCCAGCAGCTAAAGCAGTAGATCTTTCAGCTGCTTCATCTGATTTGGCAGCAGCTACAGCAGCTTTTGAAGAATCTATTGAATTTTGGGGATCATATGAAGTTTGTGCTGAAGTAGCTGATGCTCCATTATTTTGTGATGATTGAGCTGCAGATGTACTAGTAGAAGAACCACCATTTGTAGCTTGACTAGATGACCCACTTCCTGAACCACTACCACTTCCTGAACCACTACCACTACCTCCCTCACCAGCCTCAGCTTGAATTCTAGTATACCAAGGAATATTTGATGCATAACTTTCAATTTCTCCCACATTTATTTGATTTGAATCTAATAATGTTGTATATGAAGTATCAGTATATGTTAAAACTTGAGTTGCTAAAGTTGATAAAGCTCCTGGTATACCTGTTGCAGTTCCAAAGAAACGTATATAATCTGTTTTATGATCTTGAAAATCTCCAACTAATGCTGTGAAAAATTGTACATCTGATTGATCTGCTGCTTTGACAGTATAAAGTAAAGATATTATTGTTATTATTGAAGTTAATCTCATTTTTTGTAGTTGTGAAATATGTTATGAAAATAGTGAAAGTCTTGTGATTAGCTGACGGGTGGGTATAAAATTAATACGTTTGTAAATAGTTTTTATAAATTTTTTAAAAATGGTGCAATTTATGAACTTTAAATATGAACTTTTTTCTAATCCTTTTTGATAAACACAAAATAAAGTTTCTTTTAGGACTGTTGTAAAAGAAATGATGTTTGAAAAATATTATTATAACTTTAAATTAGTTTATTCAATTATAAATCAAGGCTATATAAAAATATATATTTCATATATTGAAATAATGAAGTTATAATAAAATAAATTCTTGAAAGCCCAAGTTATTTCCTGATTTGGAAATTTAATATTAAATATTCAAGTGTGTTGTATACAGGATTGATGTTTTAAATATTCTAATTTTAGTAGTCTATATAAAATTTAATCAATGTTTCATAATCAATTTTATATAAGTATCACGAATATATAATTTGCATTATAACCTTCCCCAGATTTCAATTAAGTTGGTTGGTCATCTTAGTGGTCTTGTGTATATTATTTTAGTATTTTTTTTTGACAGCATCAAACAATTAATTTGCCATATTTACCGTATTTTACCCACTAATTACCCCACCTATGAAGCTAAAGTATCAGATTGAACACCCAGAAACTTCGATATCATTGAAAACGTGACAACCTCAAGTCACTTATGATTCTAGGTAAGTAACCATTTATTCCCTTAAATTCAGTAAAAAGTGAATAGATTTACCCCCTCACAAATCATTTATAACTCCGTCAATTTAGTTCCAGTTGTCCATTCTTAAGTTTCCTTGATAGTTGGTCAAAACGAACTCCGTAAAAGAGAAGTCGAGCTACTCTTGATGGAGTTATTAATATTTGAATATTTTCCGTCTTTGTCCCTTACAATAATAGTTAAGCGTCGGATAAATACGGATTAGAAAATTGAGGTACGGATTTTGCAGTTAGGATGTCGGTATCAAATATTGCAACAGGGTTTGATTTAATACCTCCAACTAAAAGCTCAATTGCAGAACGATTTCAAAGAAAGTTAGTTTTGAAAAGTATTTGGATTTAAAGAGCAAAAGCCATGGTTTCAAAATTGACAAAAAAGAGCGCTAAAAGCGCCTGTTCATGAAGACACTTTTTAGCTTGAACATGAGGGTATAAATTTCTAAATTTGAGTTTTGACCTCTAAATGAGTATGGATCAATCTTTTTGACTATTTGCTAGGCTTTCAAAGAGTCAGTGATACCATGGAAAAGGTTTAGTAGTATTAGTCACGAGCATTAAGCTGAATGAGGTATTCAAAACATGCGGTTATAGAGATACGAAGCTAGTTTGTTCAAATTGACTAAAGAAGCGTTTCAGACTCATATTTAGTTCTTTCAGCTCCAGAGAGCTTTTGATTTTTAGTCTGTGTTGTGCTATTGCCTCTGACATCAACATCTTTAAGGTTTCGTAATTAAAACGTGGTTTGAGCTCAGCTTTAGGAAATCTGCATTTTCTTTAAGAATTTTTCAAAATTCATAGAGTCGAGAAACTGTGTAAAAGACAAAAATTACCCACTACAATATACTTTATGATGTTGATTACTGTGGTTATGAACATGAACTAAAATCATCAACCGCCTGAAAACTAAAAAAAAATACCTCACTAATTGGTAGACCAAAATAGGTCCATTTATTGTAAAAAATATGGCTTAGAAATTATAATTTAGACACTAAATTTTAAGCTAACTCTTTTGCAAGACTCCTATTTTTAGACCCAAAAACGTTTAATTTTTATAGTATATTCATTAAGTTTTGTAACATTTTCAATGAATGTTATTTTCAATATCAAAAGCCCCCCTGAGACTTTAAATCGAGATCTAAAAATAGAACCAGATTTATTGATTTACAACTTCCATTGCTACTCACCAATGTATTCCAAGACTTTTGATTGAATCTCTCATGTAATAACATAGAGTCGTAAATTCTTTTTCTTGTCATTAAGGTACCACAATGGTTTAAATGATAAATTTTCATTGTACAAAATCATATTGTTCTTTGCCAAGACAAAAATTCTAAAACGTTTTTACTTTAAATCTCGTAAATTTTAATTAAGAGAGAAATTAAAATAATTAATTAATCAACTGCAAAATAATTGTTAGCAATTCAATTCGATTAAAATTAACGTGAATTATTTTTGAACTGGTACTACATGTAGTGAAACTGCTGATCGACTGTTTTAAATTTTAAAATTAGAAAATGAGTGAACGTGCCTCATAAAGTTAAAAGATCTCGACATTATAATTTCTACAAATCAGAGACTCATATTTATTCTAGAATTGGAACAATTGAGTTTTATTAAAGTGAACTAAATATAATTTAACATGAAATAAAAACTTTATAACAGTAAAATAAAGCAAATAATATCTTGTAATTAAACTTATAATAATAATAAACCAGCAATTGCAGCTAATGAACCAGCACCAACACCTGCAATATCAGCATTGTTTTTTGAACCACCAGTAGCAGATGAAACTTTAGAAGCAGCAGCTGAAGAAACTGATGAAGCAGCACCACCGGTAGCTGATGAAGCTTTTGATGAAGCTGATGAGGCAGCACCACCAGTAACTGATGAAACTCCTGATGAAACAGCTGAAGTAGCTTTTGCTAAAACACCACCTGATGATGAATCAGCGGCATTGACTGCAACAAAGATAGCTGATAAGATTAAAGTAGTTGAGAATTGCATTATAAATGATTGAATATGTGTTTTTGTAACTAATGTAGTATATTGAATGAAAAATCGAAATAAAAAAAAAGAGGAGAGTTAGATAGATAAATTTTAGGGAATTGAGTCAATATTTATATTGTAAAGGTGAAATTGATAATCGTAATATAATTGAAACTTCGAAATTCTGCCTTAGTTTGCTAAGTTTCTGAATTATTTAAAATTGTTTGTATTATAAATAATTTTTGTATACATTTTAAAACATTATGCATATAAAATAAAAAATTTAATGAGTATTTTAATTATTTTATGACTAGCAAAAGCCATGCCATAATTTTTAGGAGAATATCATATTAGTTACTATAAATAGCTGTTACTCCTATAAATTTCACCAATTGAAATCTATAAAGTAGGCTTACAATTGAAGACTTCTTACGAGTTCTATTTTTAGAATCAAATTTAGGATAATATGGAAAAGTTTCGAAATTAAAGAATTTTTATACCGTGATTTTAATTTGAATTTGATATTTAAATTAGCTTTGAATCATGATAATAGCAAAACATTTAATGTATAAGTTGAACAGAGTTTAAATAGGAGTAATATAAAAAATAACAATACTTTTTAAAAATCTAAATTTAATCTATGATAACCGAATAAAACCAAATTAAAATATTTGGTACAATTCCATTATGTTTAAATTTTGGGTGATTCATTGCTAATTGAAAATTCAATTAATTTCCTTAATCAAGCTAGACACATGAGTTTGTCTCCACATGTTTAATTAAGTTTCAATCTTTTTTGAAAATCCATAATTATTTGAAATCTTAATGCACTTCAACCTAAATATTAATTGTTTTATTCTAATGTTTATTAATTACCCCAAAACTGAAAAATTTAGATTTTGTCGTCATTAATTTTAAATTTTCATTATTCCAAACGCTACTTAACTTGTATCTGTTTTTTGAAGTCAATTGAGCTACTTCAACAAAGTAATAAATAAATTGATCGGTTCCACGGTCAATGTTTGAAATGTCAAGCAATCAAACTTGTCACAAAATAAGCAAATTATGTATAATTGTGACATTTCAAAAAAAACAAAAATTATTTTAAGGAAGATGAAATTAGCAATAAAATATTCGAGCAAATGGATCTGTTACAAAAAATTCTTTCAATTGTAAAAAAACATAAAATCTCATATCTATGATGCAATCAATTATTGTAAATTCATATGAGTGGACCTAATTTTTTTTAAACGAATTCACTTATCCATGTTGAAAGTTTGCTTATTTGCTGTTTGAAGTTCTTTTGTGCGACTATCTTTAATTTTCTTTGGCCGAAACATACAGATTGTGGATAAGCAAGTAGCAAACGAAGTAACGTAAAGATGATAACTAGAAATTTTTATGAGATGGCTCGAAAATCTTAATCTTAATTATCTGGGGAATTTTGTAGAGCTGATTGAATTCTAATGTCACAATACATTTAAATTTCAAATTTTAATAGATATATAATAGGCAAAGTTGCTAGATTTGTAAATATAGGGCTCGAGATAGATAACATAAATTATCATTTGATTATTCTTATCATTAATTTATTTATACATAATTATTACAAATTGGAAAAACCTCTTGCTGAAATGATACATTTTCATTAACCTTGGAAAGCTCCAGCAGCAAAACATAAATTTCTTCTTGTAAAATGAACATTAAAAACCGGTGTCTTTTTTGTGAAAAAAGCAGTCATATGATCACTACTTGCAATTACATCTCTTCTACTAACTTGTTGTTGTTGTTGTTGTTGTTGTTTGTTTTCCTCAGTGTGTTCTCCACTACCATTTTGTTGATTATCATTAATAAAAGCTTCTGGTTCTGGTCCTGCATCATTTGTATTTTTTCGAACATCCCATACTCTAACACTATTATCACCAGATCCACTAACTAAAACAGTTCCATCTTTTGAAAAGCTTAAGGAGTATATAGATGATCTACCATGTCCTTTCATTGTTTTTAATCTTCTACCAGTTCCAATATCCCATAAATTTATAACATTATCTTCACCAGCACTAGCTAACCATCTACCATCGGGTGAAACAGCTAAACAATTTATTGCATTTGTATGACCCATAAATATTCTAACACAATGACCATTTTGTACATCCCACATTCTACATGTTTTATCACTTGATCCAGTAAATACATAATTTGAATTTGGATGGAATTCAACACAATCAACATCATTTATATGGCCTGCAAATATTCTCAAGGGGTAAATATGATCAGTTGCCCATAATCTTGCAGTTTGATCATGTGATGCAGTTGCGAAATAATGACCTAATGGAGAAAATTTAACATCCCAAACTGGTTGATTGTGACCTTTATATGAAACTAAAGCCGTAAAAGTATCTAATGACCATAACCTAATTGTTTTATCTTCTGAACATGTAATTAAAAATTTATTATCTGGTGAAAAAGAAACTCCATATACTGGCCCACTATGACCAATTAATTTTTTACAATTTTCTGGTAATAATTGTTGCTTCCTGTCTTTTTTCAATACTGATTGTAATGGTTTACCATCAAGACTCCAAACTTTAACATAACTACCTTGAAATCCAGCAGCTACCATTGTTGAATCATCATTGAAAGCAATACATGTCATATCATTGTTGGTGTTATGAAAAGTATACATACACACAGAAGGCGAACTTGCTTGAATAGCTCCTAATTTTAATTTTGATCTTGAATCTTCAACTTGCATTATTAATTTTTTGATATCTGTTGAATCTTTTATAGGTAATGGTAATGATTCCTTTGTTGGAGAATCAGAATCTGGTTTTGTCATTTCTAAAAATTCTTCAGTTAATGATTTCCCATTTACTGGTTCTATTTTTTCATCTTTTATTTTAAGTTCTGCTTCAATTTCTTTGGTATCTTCTACATCTAATGGTAATTTTCCTAATTTAACTTCTTTTGTACCATTAAATTTTTCTAATTCATTTGTATCTGCTATATATTCAGATATACCTTCTTCAGGGTTTGCTTCACCTTCTTGATCTATTTTATCTGGTCTATTTTTGGATAGCACAGGATCTAAATATTGATTTATAATTCTGATTAATATTGCTCCACCAACTGCTTCATTTTCATGTAAAAAATATAATAAAAGATTTAATGATGTTTTGGAAACTAATATTCTATATTTATATTTCCTGTATGCTACTGCTATATCACTATCTTTTAAATGTTCAGGTAATGATAATCCTGCAAATTTTTTTAATTCCACTCCGTGTAAAATTTCATGATCTATTTTAAATTTATCAAAAAATTGTTTTGCTTTAGTGTCGTACCCCTTTGTGATTAAATCCAAAAAGCAATGAATAAATAAAGGATATAATACTCTTGATAATTCTGGTTTGTATAAATCCAATGAACTTTCAACCCATTTCCTTAACATTGAATAAGCTAAAAAATAAGTATCTGGATCATTTTCAATTCTAGTTTTAGCTTCCAAAATTTTTAATTCTTTTAATTCTGCTTCCTTTTGAAATTTAATTTCTCGATCTTTAGTATCTTGTAATTCTTTTTCAATTTTTAATTGTTTATCTCTTAAATCTTTAATTTCTTTTTCATTTGCATCTATTTTGGTTTTTAAATTTTGATTTGTTTCCAATTCATTAGGTCCTGCTAGTGTAGTAGTTGCTGGTGTTGTTGGGATTGGTTGTGCTGGTGTTGGTGTATTTGTACTTTCTACTCTTAACATTGTTTCTGTTCTATGATATCCCTTTTTGTTTAAGTATTCTAAAACTATTCGATTCAAATCTGCTTGAGAATATTGTGGTTGATTAGCTCGTACTTGTTGTTGTTGTTGTGGACGTTGCTGTTGATTTTGTGCTTGTGCTTGTGCTTGTGCTTGTGCTTGTGCTTGTGCATGTGGTTGTGCTTGTAGTTGATTTGGTGCTTGTGTTGAAGTTGATGGAATTGCGGAGTTATTTACGGGCTGAGCCGCTGTTGATGAATTATTCGCAGGTGACTTGTTTTCTCCAGCCATTTTTCAAGGTAGTTGGACTGATTATTGTAATGAATTGAATTTGATTTTGAATAATGATTAATGAAGTGGTAATGTATTAAATTTATTAGATTATGTAGTTTATTTTTGTTTTAAAAATAAATATATTTTTCAAATTTCACACGACTTTTTGATTTTTTATAGTAATATTATGTTGGTGTGATAGCTCAATGTATACATTAAATTTAAATGTTTCATCTAAAAAAAACTTTTACAATATTTAGGAAAACAACATTGGTTAATAGGCGCAAGTCTTATTTAAAAAAGCATGTCTAAGAAGTGTTTTCTCAGAATCTTCTTCTTCATAACAAGTGATAATTGGCGATCATCACAAAATTTTTTGAAAATTAAACTCTTTTACTTAGTTTTTGCAGCAAATTCAAGTCCAAATCCTGACAAGAGATCGCGGTAAAAGAAAATTTTAAAACTAGCAAGGATTCAGAACTACTTCTTTTTATGGCTGATGCTCGTATAGATTCTTCAATTATGAATTTTGAATTTTAGTCCTCATAGAACCACTGAATATAGCTTTATATCGAATATAAAAGCATGAGAACTTTCTTTGTTCTTTTGGACTTGTAGACTTAAATTTTTTTTTGAGGGACAGCTGTCTGTAAAATATAAAAAACCAGCAATTTTTTTTGCTTAAAATTAGGGCGAATGGTCTAGTGGTATGATTCTTCGTTTGGGTTATCTCACCTGAGCATAAATTTTGAAGAGGCCCACGGTTCGAGCACGAATGTCTAGTGGTATGATTCTTCGTTTGGGTTATCTCACCTGAGCATAAATTTCGAAGAGGCCCTGGGTTCGATTCCCAGTTCGCCCCTAGGATGGAACATATTTGTTTTTTTTTACATTTACAACTATAAGTTTTATACACAAATGAGCATACCTTCTACAAGATTGATGTAATAGAAAAGATTGGGAAGTCTTCATTTTCAATAGATAGTTCTTTCTTCGTATATTTAGTTCCAGAATCACCTCACAAATTTGACAAATTCTGAAGCATTTTGGTAGCTCCAGTTTTGCAGTACCATATTTTTTCACTATTTACGTGTCATTATTAAAACATCATAACGAATCATTCAACTTTCACATATTTCATAACTAACATCAACTACTGTATCAATCGCACATATTAAAATGCTTCAAAATATACTATATATACATTTATTACTTATATCATTAGTATCCGCCAATTTATTTGATTTTATAAATAATCAATTTGGAACAGGAGGAAATAATCAAAGAACAAATCAAGGAGTTAGAAATCCACAAGAATATGAACAAATGATGTTAAATAAACAATGTAATAAATATTTATGTCCAGATACTGGTATATGTGTTGAATCTCCAAAATTTTGTCCATGTCCTTATCCTTCATCTCAACTCAGATGTTTTTTACCTGATGGTAGATATATATGTATTTCGAAACCTGCAGGTGAAGGAATAAGTGATAAATATGATGATATTAATAATAATTTCAAAATTGATGCTAAAGATGATAATATAAGAGATTGTGGTTGGGTTAATAGAGTTTGGAGAGGACTTGAATAGGTTAGAAGAGAGCATGTATTATACGAAAAATTGTTATAGAATAGGTTTAATGAGATGTCAATGAGACTAGTATTGAAGATCTCTCATGTCATTAAATACTCTATTGATTTTCTTTAGTATTGAATAAACTAATCAAGTAATAATCTGTTAAACGCGGCAATTACAATACTAACCAACTGACTCATAAGATTGAGAAAAGTGAAAAATTTGAAATTTTCTTTTTTGTGTAATAAAAAAATTTATCAGTTTTGTATGTGTCTTTAATGTAAGTAATCATATCTATTATTAAATTTATTGGTTTATTATTATTACATTTTCAGTTTAATATCTTTATTTTCAATTCACTTTACAAGCACCAACTAATCTCAAAATATAAGATGTTAAAAGCTAGACATATAATACAAAATACTAGTTCAAGAGGGTTGGCGACTCAAGCTTTCAACTATCAAATACCAAAAGAATTTGAATCAAGAACTCCACCATATTCAAAATTAATTGATAAATTATCAACAGTTAAAAAAATTATAAATCAACCATTAACATTAGCTGAAAAAATTCTATATTCTCATTTATGTAATGTTGAAGAAAGTTTAACATCTTCTAATTTAGCAGATATAAGAGGTCAACAATATTTAAAATTAAATCCTGATAGAGTTGCAATGCAAGATGCTTCTGCACAAATGGCACTTTTACAATTTATGACTTGTGGGATGAGTTCTACTGCGGTACCTGCTTCTATACATTGTGATCATCTTATAGTTGGTAAAGATGGTGCATCTCAAGATTTAACAAAATCAATAGCTACAAATAAAGAAGTTTTTGATTTTTTACAAAGTTGTGGTGAAAAATATGGTATACAATTTTGGGGTCCTGGATCAGGTATAATTCATCAAATTGTATTGGAAAATTTCTCAGCTCCTGGATTAATGATGTTGGGAACTGATTCTCATACTCCAAATGCTGGTGGATTGGGAGCCATTGCAATTGGTGTTGGAGGTGCTGATGCAGTTGATGCATTAACTGGTACTCCATGGGAATTAAAAGCACCAAAAATAATGGGTGTTAAATTAACTGGTAAATTATCTGGTTGGACTTCACCAAAAGATGTCATTACTAAATTAGCAGGTATTTTAACAGTTAGAGGTGGTACTGGTTATATAGTTGAATATTTTGGAGAAGGTGTTTCAAATTTATCATGTACCGGTATGGCAACTATAACAAATATGGGTGCAGAAATTGGTGCCACAACTTCAATTTTCCCATATCAAGAAGCACATAAAAGATATTTACAACAAACTAATAGAGAACCAATAGCAAATGCAGCAGATGAAGCAAATAAACAATTTAAATTTTTACAAGCTGATGAAGGTGCACAATATGATAAAGTAATAGAAATAAATTTATCTGAATTGGAACCACATGTGAATGGACCTTTTACACCAGATTTATCAACTCCAATTTCAAAATTTGGTGAAACTGCTGAAAAACAAGGCTGGCCTAATACAGTTTCTGCAGGATTAATTGGTTCATGTACAAATTCATCATATCAAGATATGTCAAGAGCAGTATCAATAATAAAACAAGCTGAAAAAGCAGGTTTAAAACCCAAAATACCATTTTTTGTAACACCAGGATCAGAACAAATTAGAGCAACAATTGAAAGAGATGGACTAATTGAAACTTTTGAAAAAAATGGTGCTATAGTATTAGCAAATGCTTGTGGTCCATGTATTGGACAATGGGATAGAACTGATATTTCAAAAGATTCAACTGAAAATAATGCAATTTTTACAAGTTTTAATAGGAATTTTAAAGCAAGAAATGATGGAAATAGAAATACTATGAATTTTTTAACTTCTCCTGATATGGTTACTGCAATGATTTATTCAGGTGATGTTAATTTTAATCCAATAACTGATTCAATAACTTTACCAGGTGGTGAAAATTTTAAATTTAATCCTCCTCAAGGTGAAGATTTACCACAACAAGGGTTTTTAAAAGGTAGAAGTGAATTTTATCCTGAATCAAATCCACAACCTAAACCTGAAACTTCAGTTAATGTAAGTCCTGAATCAGATAGATTACAATTATTAGAACCTTTTAAACCTTGGTCTGGTGAAGAATTATCAACTAATGTATTATTAAAAGTTGAAGGTAAATGTACAACTGATCATATATCAGCAGCAGGTGTATGGTTAAAATATAAAGGTCATTTAGAAAATATTTCATATAATACTTTAATTGGAGCAGTAAATAAAGAAACTGGAGAAGTTAATAAAGCATATGATTTAAATGGTGATCAATATGGAATTCCTGAATTAATGATGAAATGGAAATCTGAACAAAGACCATGGATAGTTGTAGCTGAACATAATTATGGAGAAGGATCAGCTAGAGAACATGCTGCATTATCACCAAGATTTTTAGGTGGATCCATAATTTTAGTAAAATCATTTGCAAGAATTCATGAAACAAATTTAAAAAAACAAGGAATGTTACCTTTAACTTTTACAAATGAATCTGATTATGATTTAATATCTTCTGGTGATGTAATTGAAACTATTGATTTAAAAGATATGATTTCTAAAAATGGTAATAATGGTGGGAATTTAAAATTGTTAATTACTAAAAAAGATGGGTCAAATTTTGAAATTGAAGCTAAACATACTATGTCTAAAGATCAAGTTGAATTTTTTAAAGCTGGATCTGCTATTAATTATATTGGTAATCAAAAAAGACTTGAACAATAGAGTGGATTTAGATAGTGTGATTTTTATTTGTTTAATGTAAATTTTGTATATTAGAACAACAAATGATAAAAAAGTACGTTGGTGATTTATGAATTGAAAAAGCTATATAATCTTTATTTATTTTAAAATTATTTAATTCTTTTGTAGTGAAAATTTCTAAGCATCAATTAAATCTTTCTTCTTATTATCATCATCTTTATCATCATCATCATCATCTTCTTCATCATCATCATCATCTTGATCTCTATCTCTACCGTAAAATTCATCCAATATTTTTGGACTAATTCTATTTAACATTTCTCTTGGATATATTCTTAATAATGACCAAGCTAAATCTAATGATTCAAATATTGATCTATTTTCATAAGCACCTTGATTAATAAAATTTTTTTCAAATTTTTCTAAAAATTCTAATGATAATTTATCTTCAGTTGATAAAGCTTCTTCACCAACAACAGCTTTCATAGCAGCAGCATCTTTACCAATAGCATATTTAGCATATAATTGATTAGAAACATCACCATGATCTTTTCTTGTCATACCTTCACCAATAGCTGATTTCATTAATCTTGATAATGATGGTAAAACATTTATTGGTGGATAAATTGCTCTATTATTTAATTGTCTATCAACAAAAATTTGTCCTTCAGTAATATAACCAGTTAAATCTGGAATTGGATGAGTAATATCATCATTTGGCATAGTTAAAATTGGAACTTGTGTTATAGATCCATTTCTACCTTCAACACTACCTGCTCTTTCATATATAGTTGATAAATCAGTATACATATAACCAGGATAACCTCTTCTACCTGGAACTTCTTCTCTTGCAGCTGAAACTTCTCTTAATGCATCTGCATAAGATGACATATCTGTTAAAATAGTTAATACATGTCTTTCTGTTTGATAAGCTAAATATTCAGCAGTAGTTAAAGCTAATCTTGGAGTAATAATTCTTTCAATTGTTGGATCATTAGCTAAATTTAAAAATAATGAAGTTCTTTCTAAAGAACCATTTTCTTCAAAATCTTGTTTGAAAAATCTTGAAGTTTCTAAATTTACCCCCATTGCTGCAAATACTATAGAAAAATTTTCTTCATGACCATCATGAACATCTTTTGTTGGTCTAACTAAACCTGCTTGTCTACAAATTTGAGCAGCAATTTCATTATGTGGTAATCCAGAAGCTGAAAAAATTGGGATTTTTTGACCTCTTGCAATTGAATTCATTGTATCAATTGCTGATATACCAGTACTAATCATTTCTTCTGGATAAATTCTTGCATATGGATTTATTGGTGATCCATTAATATCTAAATAATCTTCTGCAAATATTTTTGGACCTTTATCAATTGCTTTACCTGATCCATTAAAAATACGACCTAACATATCTTCACTTACTGGAATTTTTAAATTTTCTCCTGTAAATTCAACTCTTGTCTTTTTAACATCAATTCCTGAAGTACCTTCAAAAACTTGAACTATAGCTTTTGAACCTCTAATTTCTAAAACTTGACCTTGTCTTACTGTACCATCTGGTAATGTTAAACTAACAACTTCATTAAATCTTGGGAATTTTACATGATCTAATATAACTAATGGTCCATTTACTCCTTGTACTGTATTATAATTAATTCTTGGTTTAATTTTAAAATTTTGTGTTACTGCTTTCTTATTTAATTCATATAATTCTTTATCTGAAAGTGACATCTTTGGTGGTGTTTCAATTGAGTTGGTATGATGCGAATAGATTGATGATAAATATTGATGAGATCTTTTATGAATTAATGTGAAATCTTCTTTGGTTGTAATCTTTAAATTTCTTTGACATTTTTTTGTTCGTTGCTGAAATACACTACTACAATTACACAAAACTTAGTAACTTCTTAATCTATATAATATGTTTTATCAATCTAACACTACTACTCTTACAATAAATATTTTGCAGCTAAATATTAACATATCAAAATAATCTTCTTTTATTGAGATATAGTTTTCTCTTTTTTTTCATATCATTCTTAACACTTTTGCTTTTTTAATTGATCACTAAAACCTACTTTCATCCATACAATTGTAAAGCTATTTATTTATTAATCTATTAACTTCGAAATTTTAGCTTTTATCATTAATTGATAAATATATGGGAGATGTTTCACCAACATAAGTATGGGAATAATCTAAGTTGATTACCTGAGACGTTTTTTTCCCGACCAAATGGACCAATAAAAATTTTTTACTAAATTTGAGACCCAACCTTTGTGATTAAGTGACTGGACTATGTTTTAGATTAGACACTGGAGTGAAGCAAGTGTGATTTTTTTGGTGTTTTGTTATATTTATTGACTAACAACCTTTTTTGACTTTGGTACTTGAAATACATGTCTGTAAATGGGCAGGTTGCTTGGTAGAGATGGATAGCTGATTTTTATTCAACTTTGATTCAGGTCATTTCAACGAGCTATAAGCACTCAAATAATAGTAAGAGTATTTAAAGTTTTTACTGATTTGAAAGTTTGAGAACTTAGAATTACATTGAGGTAACAAAATAGGTTAGATGAGTAACGTACTGTCAGTTAGAACAATCCCAATGTAAAATGATTGACATAATGTCTTGAAGTTAATGAGAATGATACATATTCCTAATGATCCAGTTAATTAGTATGATTTTTGACTCACAAGTTGAATCCTACAAGCTCCTACACAACTTGAAAAACAGTGCCAATTATATCACTAAAACAACCATTCTAATCAAAAGCAAGGGCAATGGCATAGAAGATAATGATGGTATTAAAATGTTATATATATTAAATTACTTATAAGACGAGCTCTCCTGAATTTATAAAATCTCACTAATTAAATCCCATTCATCTTTATTATTAATTTCAAATTCATCAAATTCATCATCATCATAAAACTTTAAAGAATTCAGTTGATTTAAAAATAAATTTTGAAATTTTAAATTTTGTAAATTTAAAATTTTATTACTTGTGTGATATTTTTCAGCATATGATGATTTTATTATTAATGAATAAACTTGTTCTAATACTTGTTGGAAATTTTTGGTTTTTATTGAAGATTTTGAATCTGTTGAGTTAAGTCGTAGATTTAAGTTACTGTTACTGTAATTGTGGATTTCTGATAGAATTAATTCTATATCGCACCAATCTTCTAATTTATATTGATCTGTATTTACTTGAAAGTATTTAAGAATGATTTGGAAATTAATTATGATTTTCACTATAATTACAAGAAATTCAATGAAATCTTTTATAGATAATTTATTAAATGGTTTATTAATGATTTTATGTGGAATAGTTATTTTCTTGGTGTTTGTTGAAATAGGAGAAGAATTTTCTCTTATAGTAGGAATACTATTAAATTCTGCTGGATCAATTGATGTAACTGATGAAGATCTAGCTACTCTTCTTTGATAATTTAATGTTTTTGAAGATAATGGAAGTTGATATTCTTCTCCTAATTTTATGATTTTTTCAGTTACGTTTGATATTTCTTTTGGTTTTGGATCTTGTGATTGGGGTGGTGGTTCTTCGTAGAAGTTTTCTGAAGTTGGTTGTTTTGGCGGGGATGGTTGTTGTTGATGATGATGATGTTGTTGTTTTTGTTGTTGTTGTTGTTGATATTCACCCGTGATCATCATTTCTTTTCTCTTGAGAAGATCAAAAAATTTAGAATCTGGTAAATATTTTGCTAATTGAATTAAATAAGGTAATTTCAATCTAAAAATAGAATTAAGTTGAATTTGAAAATTTATTAATCTTTCTAAAAATTGATTTATTGACAATAAATTATAACCTAAAAATTCTTGAATTTTAAGGATAGGTTGATAACCCAACTTTAATTTCTTATCTGATTTTTGTAATGTTGAATCGATAAGTATACGGAATTGGTTTAGTTGGAGCTTATGAGATTGAGTAATTACTTGTTGGATTTTAACTGTTTCGTAATCTTGAATATTGTTGTTTAATTTTAAAAGTTCATTTTCGTAATTTTTTATTAGATTTGATTCCTTTTTTAAAAGTTTTAATCTTAATGAATCTATTTGATTTTCTATATCTTTATTATCTTTAGTTAATTTGATGTTTCTTTTAGACAATTGTTGAATTTTATGATCAATTGATTCATTTCTATATTTTAAATCCAAAATTTTCAACTTATTTAATTGTAACGCTAGCAATTTGATAGAACTTAATGGTACTTCAGTTCTAAAATTTGAAAAATCTTGAAACTCATCATTATGTAAAGAACGAACTATTTTAAATACATTATTAACTTGATTACCATAATGTTTTAATAATTTATCATCTTCTTTTGCTTGTTGTTGATATTGATCTAACAAATCTTCTAAATTTGTTACATTTAATGGATCTTTGTGTAAGTCAAGATCATAATTTTGATTTTGCATAACCTTTTAACTTCATTTGATTGTTGGTTGTAGTAGGTGCTTTATAAATTAGTTTGTAAGTATGTAAAAGTTGGTAAGTAAATATATTTTCCATTTTGTGAAACAATTTTCTGTTATCAATAATTGTGGATTTCTACACGACTTGTTAGTCTTTATCTTATCTATTTAGCTGATTCTAATTTGCAACCATTTGAATATCAATAAGTTGTATTAGAGAGATGGTTATTAGAGAGTAATATTTGAAGAATATGGCTAAAAAAAAATTGTTCTAATTTAACATTTTATCTATTTTAATTCTACTATAAATTTCTAAACTTTCTAAATTCTTCAAAACTTTTCTAAATTTATTCAAGTTACAGGAGCAATAGCAACACCTAATTCAGAATCACCTTGACCATAATATAAAAACCAATTTCCTTTAAATTGAACAATACCTTCACAAAACACAACTCTATTAACTTGACCTTCAACTTCATTAATCAGTTCAGGTTTTAATATTGGATGTTCTAATCTTGCAATTGGACCTTGTTTAATTTCATCATAATCTATTAACATTGCATTTATAGTATATGTATCTTTTGGTAAATCTTCTCCACCTGTTGTTGCTGAATTATAAATGAATATCCATTGATTTGAATTTTTCCCACCTCCACTTCCCATTTTTATTGGAGCTGGTCCACTTTCAATTAATTTATTTTCTCTATTAAAAATATGTTTGGCCCAAATATTATTATTAAATTCATTTGTAATTTTCCAATCTATTAAATTATTAGATTCAGCTAAATGTAATTGAGAATCTCCAAAAATCATATAATATTTCCCATCTTTTGAATTTTTTTCATTAAAAATTGCACCAGATTTCAGCCAATTGTTTCTTATAATTGTTTTACCGTTAGAAGTCCATGCTATATCATTCCAATTTGAAGGGACAATAGGTCCTTTTTTAGTCCAATGAAATAAATCTTCACTTGTTGCAACACATAATCTTGCTGTCTTTAGATCATAAGCAGTATAAGTTACAATAAATAGTTTCAGTTTTGGATCACGTATAATTCTTGGATCTTCTATACCTCCGCCTTTTTCATATGATTCAGTAGCATATATTATTGGTTTTTTATATTTTGTAAAATTAATACCATCTTTTGACCAAGCTATTCCAACTGATGATAATTTTGATGAGTTTTGTGCTCTATATAACATTATTACATGATCTTCTACTACTATAGCTGTTGCATTATATAAATAAGCACTTTCAAATTCAATGTTTGGGTCAGGTACCATTATTGGATTATGTTTATATTTTTTGAAAGGTCCTATAGGAAATGTAGTTGGTGGTTTATAATGTCCATCTTTTGAATTTTTATTGATTACTGGGAACAACATTGGTTACTGAGGATAAAATTAATGTATATGTAGCTGTTGGTTTCTATCTGAACTTCGTATAAAAACGTTGTCAATTGAAAAAGAATAATGTATTATAAAATATTTGATTGTTTGGTTGCCATTGTATGAATAAATAATATTATAATTGTTCTATTAGAGAATAATATTAATTAAAATTATTCGAGATCTTTTTTTTATTGGGGTAAAAATTAAGATCTTAAGGGGTATTTTATTTGGTAGCTTTATATTAATTTATTGTTAAGGGGTGTTTATTAAATTAATTATGATGTAATTAATAAATAAATAAATAAATTGTATAGTTAAACTATCTTCCGATTTATTTCTTTTATAAAGTAGTAGATCTATTTTACATATAATAAATTATTTTAACAACAACCAATTATACCAACTAATATTTTATATAATTATCAAAAGATTTAATTTTATTATAACTATTTCATCTTACAATTCAAATATTCCGGAGTTCTTTCTTTGTTTATTTATTATTTAAGGGAAAAATTTTGTTATTAAAATCTATCAAGTTACTAATCATAATACGTATAAATTATTACCATCAAAACAAAAAATTATACATAATATAATATAATCATTTAATTTATCATATAGATCAATCATTCATATATAATTCAAATAATTACTACTTGCCCAAACTTCTACATCATCACATATATAAAACATTAATCAAAGATGGGGCAATTATTATCACACCCAATAGAGGAAAAAGAATTAGATTATAAATCATATACAAAATTATCATATTGTGTTGGATCAATGCAAGGGTATAGAATGTCAATGGAAGATGCTCATGGAATTAAAATAAATGAAGATGAATCTATTGCAGTATTTGGAGTATTTGATGGTCATGGTGGTAAACAATGTTCAGAATTTTTAGCAGATCATTTACCTAAATTAATTTTCAAACAATTAATTCAATTACAAAATTCAATTGAAAATAACAGTACAAAAGAAGAGATAGAGCATAAAGAATTTAAGCAAAATGGGACAACAAAACATACCTCAATATCAAATAATCAAAAAGTAATGAATATATTAAAAAATTCATTTTTTAAAATAGATAATGATTTATCAAATAATTCACAAATGATAAATTGTGGATCAACAAGTATAATTACAATAATAATAAATAATAAAATATATGTAGCAAATACAGGAGATTCAAGATGTATACTATCTACAAATGATGGATGTTCCAAAACATTATCATTTGATCAAAAACCAAATTTAATTGGAGAAAGAGTACGGATTGAAAATTCAAATGGTTACGTTATAAATAATAGAATTAATGAAATATTAGCTCTTAGTAGAGCTGTGGGGGATTTTAAATTTAAAACCCCATTTTTGACATCATCATTAAATAAATATATTATTGAAAATAAACAAAATTTTACAAAACAAAAATTGAAAAATGGTTTAACTAGTAAACAAACAGATGAAGATTTTATACATTTACCACCAGAATTATTTCAAGTAACTGTTGAACCAGATATTTTAATTTATGATATGTCACAACTACAACAACCTGAATTTATAGTTTTAGCATGTGATGGAATTTGGGATTGTTTTAAAAATGATCAACTAATAAAATTAATACGTGATAAATTAGTTTTAGGTTGGAAATTGAATAAAATTATAGAATATATTTTAAATGATACTTTAACTATGGCTAATAATTATACAGGTATTGGATTTGATAATATGACATTAATGATTATTGCATTACATCCAACCAAGAGTTTAGATGATTGGTATAATGATATAATTTATAAAATTGAAAAAGAAAAAGGTTTACATTAGAGAATTTTATATATATACTTATACTACTTGGTATATATATAATTAGATAATTTATTATTTATTTATGGTAACTTCAAGTTGGAATTGTAGAATTGACACTCTATTGATTCATCTAAATAATTGCAAATATTAAATGATTGTATAATGGTTTAATCTTATATTACCGACCCCCATCACGTGATATATTTCTTGTTGATATGAACTGATTTTATTAGACTAGAAATAATTTTTATTTTTTTTTGTCTATTTGATTCATTAAGAACCCTTTTATAATAATATTTATTTATTATACAATACAACTTTGCAACCAACTTCAAACAAATTAAATACCAGCTTTTTATACTTGATTACTTTCATTTTTATTTTATCATTTTACTACATTATTTGTTATCTCCAATTATAGCTAATCTTATCAACTCAATTAAATTTCTTATTCAAATTTCATAATTATTTTATAGACTTCAGTTATCACATAGCAAGTACAGCATTTACTATTTAAGTTTTACTCCTTTCGACCAATGTGCAATTTCAATTCATGAACATTTACTACTACTTTTTAAGCTCAACATTTATTTCATATCATAATTAGCATATTCATCATTAGCATAAACATTCACTAGCATTTTTATTATACTCATTACTACAACTTAAGCATACTTAAATATATATTTATACAATTTTACATGACAGAAATAGAACCATATAAAGATCCAATAATATCATTAATAAAAGATCCAAATTTAAATAAAGATCAAAACAAATCATCACAAATAATTCATTTAATTCAAGAAATAACTGAAAGAAAATTAAATAAATTATGTTCATCATCATTTATAATATTACAAACATTAGAAAATATTCAATTAAAATTTAAAAGTTGGGAATTTTTATCATTAGATTATAATTCAGATACTCATTTTGAAAATTTAAATGATAATATAAAAATTTTTAATACTGGAATTGCTGATAAAGTTATGTCTGCTTGTATTGAATTAAATCATAAGATGGTTAAAATATCATCTGATATTGATTTAATTAGTAAAAGTTCTAAAATTTTATCTATTAAAGATTTAATGTCTGATGATGGTACTATGTTGACTTCACTTGTATTAAGAATAATTAAATTGAAAAATGAAGTAATTGAACAATTATCAATATCATATTCAAAATCAAAATTAATTCTAATTGGTAGAGATTTGGAAATTTTAAATCAAGATGATGATAATGATGATGATACTATAGATTATTATAAAACTTTTATTGTTTCTTTATTGAAACAATTAAATGATGCTATTTTAGCAAATGATTTTGATCAAAAATATGAATGTTTAGCAGTTATTAATGATTTAGAAAAAATGTTTGAAAAATATAAATTAGAAAAAATGATTGATAAAAGTATTGAAGAACATGATCAATTGAAAGCTTTAGAACAGAGTGCTCATTCATCTCAACAACAAACACCACAACATATACCACAACAACATCATCACCACAACGGACTACAGCATCATAGTTCACGTTCAGAACATATCCATCATCAATCATTGTTTGATGATGATTCTTCATCAAATTCAGGAAAAGAACCCCAAAGTCCTGATGAAACATTTTCAGAATATTCAATAACTTCATCTACTCAATTGCCAATGGTTCATTCAATAACTACTCACAACAACACAAAAAGAAATTCAGTTTATGATTATAATTCTCAAATGTATAAATCTACAATATCTGAAGAATTACCTTATTTAATGACGGCTTTTAGTTCTGCTAAAAATATTAAAGAAGATATTAGTCATTATGAACAAGAAGAACAAAAAGATGATGAAAAAATCAAAAAAAAGAAACAAACGAAAACATCAGAAGATTTAAATCAATATAATCATTCACCAAAAAAACCATATTTCCCAAAATCAAATTTACCTGAATCTTCATTATATTCACAAAGTAACGTATTAAGGCAACTGAATCTTAATTTCACAACTAATTCAATGTTGAATAATAATAATAATTTGTTAAGAAAATTAGGTATACGACCTCAAATAATAAGCGTACCAGAAGATCAACTTGTCACAAATAAAGAAGAAGAACTACATAATAAAAGACAACAACATAACAACAATAGGTTATTATTAACTGAAGAAAATATACTACATTTAAATAACGACCTTCTTGATTAATTAATTATATTTAGTTTTTTTTTTAATGTACAATATATATTTTCTTTTTTAACTAGTCAGAATTACATTTATATAATTCTTTAACAAATGATTCACCCCAAAATCCTGAAGTATATTTAGAAATATATTCAAATAATTTAGCAAAATTAAAATCTTTTTTTTCTTGAGGTAATGTTAATGATTCTTTTATTGCATCACTTAAATCTTCAGTATTCCATGGATTTACAATTATTGAACCTTTTAAAGATTGAGCAGCTCCAGCAAATTCTGATAATATTAATGCCCCCTTTTTATCCTGTTGACATGCTATATATTCATAACTTACTAAATTCATTCCATCTCTTGTTGAACTAACTAAACAAACATCACTTATATTATAAAGTGAAATTAATTCATCAAATGGTATTGATCTATGCATATAATGAATTGGAACAAATTCAACAGTACCAAATTGTCCATTAATTCTACCAACTAATTCATTTACTGTTGCTCTTAAACTTTGATATTCTTCAACATCACCTCTTGATGGTACTGCAACTTGAACTAATACAACTTTCCCAATCCATTCTGGATTTTGTTGTAAAAAAATTTCAAAAGCATGTAATTTTTGTGGTACTCCCTTTATATAATCTAATCTATCTACTCCAACAATAACTTTAACACCTTCAAATTTTTTCTTTAGGGTGGTAATTCGTTTTTGTACATCTGGTTTAGTTAATCCATCAACAAATTTATCAACATCAATTCCAATGGGGAAAGCACCAATTTTAATATTTCTACCTTGAAATTCAATACCATTTGGTAATGTTTTAACATTGGGGACAATTCTTGATACTGAACTTAAAAAATGTCTTGCATAATCATATGTATGAAACCCTATTAAATCACAACTTAATACACCTTCTAAAATTTCTTTTCTTACTGGTAATATTCTATAAATTTCTGAACTTGGAAAAGGAGTATGTAAAAAAAAACCAATACGTATATTTTTTTTCAGTTTACCAATTTCTTGTCTTAACATTTCAGGTAAAAGCATTAAATGATAATCATGAACCCATATCATATCATTATCTTCAACTTGTTTTGAAATTTCTAAAGCAAATTTTTTATTTGCTTCAATATATGCAGCCCATGCATTTTCATCAAAATTCATTTCACCAGGATGATAATGAAATAATGGCCATAATATAGAATTTGAAAATCCATTATAATGTAAATCTGCTATTGTATCACTTAAATATATTGCTGTACAATTAAATTTTGAATTTAAATCTTGGTTAACTTTTTTTTGTTCATTTTCTGGAATTTCTAAACCTGGCCAACCTAACCATTGAAATTCAGTTGATTTTTTTAATCCTTGTAATGCTGTTACTAACCCACCTGATGACATTGAATAATCATATGATCCATCATCTTTTCTTTTTATTGTAACTGGTAATCTATTTGATACTACAAATACTTTTCCTTCAACCATTTTTAATTAGTTCTAAGTTTTATCTATTAAATGTGAATAATTATTGAACAGTAATTTAATTGAGATCAATTGAGTTTTGAGGAATTGATAGTTTGAGGATTGTGATGAATTTGATTCAATGATATCAATTGTTAAAAGAATTGAATAGTTGATTAAAGAATATATAAATTTTGATATGATTAAAAGAAATCTGTAATGAATTGATTCTAAAAAAAATATATTTCAAATAATTACACAATAATAATTAAAATTAAATATTTAAAATCAAATGGTTTTCTTTATGTTTGCTACTTATTCAATTAAAAACTTGTTATTAAGAAGATTTATGAAAAATTTTTTAAAATTGAGATTAACAATTGAAAGAACTATTGATTTAAAACATTTCAACTTTAACCTTAATTACTTTTCTACTATCTTTGCTATTTTAATTAAAAAATTATATCTTATACCTCGAGGCGAAACCATATTTTAAAATTTAAAAAATTTAAGGGGTTACGAATCGAAAGAACAAAATCAGTTTTGTTGAAAATTTACATTCTATTGCTACTGTTTTAAAATTAAAAAGTTAGACCAAATTTGTTGATATCTTTTACAATCTCAGCTTTAGTCAACTAATAAACTCCTGATTGTACTATTCTTTGTAATTCATGACTTGAATTACAACGATCTTTCTTTGTAAAAAAAGAAACGGCTAATAGTCTAATGATAATTTATTTCAAACACCGAATTATACTTTGCTGAGTGGGGAGAGATGAATTTATACTAGTACCACGTTGGACTAAAATTTGAATTTGTTTGGTTTGACATTTTTAAATTAATTGCACTAGATGCGTCTATCTCGTATTAAATTGCTTTGAAACAATAATTAAATAAAATGAGCAGGGCATAGTATTAGTATTATCATACACTACCCAATTAGGAAGTCTAGAATTTTACAGCAAAAAAGTCAAATCTGTTAATTGAAAATTAATTAACACATACAAAATTCGAATATTCAATACAAAACAAACAGTCTAGAAACAACACATTCTACATACCTCATTGATAATCTTAATTTAATTCAATCAATTCATATAGCATAAATTTCATCATGTCAAATCCATATGGATACTCCAATGATGTATATCAACAACAACAATCTAATTTACAACATCCACAACCTCAATATTCACAACCATTACCAAACTCAAATGCTCATCAACATTCACAACAACAACAACAACATCCAGGTCAACAATCTACTGGTGCACAACAACAACATCCAAATCAATTTAATTTCTTAAATGATCCAGCAGCAGCATTAGCATCACAATTTGCAAGATCAGGATTTCAACAATCAAATCAATATATTCAAGATAATTTTGGTACTATATCAGGAGATATTAAATATTATTTTCAAGTTAGTAATTCATATGTATTTAAAAAGATTTTACTCATATTGTTTCCATTTCAACAAAAGGATTGGAGTAGAATAAGTACAAAAGAAACTGGTATAAATCAATATTTACCTCCATCTCATGATATAAATGCACCTGATTTATATATTCCAATAATGTCATTTATTACTTATATTTTATTATGGGCTGCATTTCAAGGTCTTAATGGAGAATTTCATCCACAATTGTTTGGATATTTAGCTTCTCAAACATTAGCATTTTCTATATTAGATGTTGTAATTTTTAAAATTGGATTATATTTATTAAATTGTTCACAAATTAAAATTTACGATATTGTAAGTTTTGCAGGTTATAAATATGTTTCAATTATAATGCTTTTAGTAATAAAACATACTGTGGGTTCATATTTGGGAATTTTTTATTATTTGGTTGTATTTGTTTTAATAATTTGTTTATCTGTGTTTTTAATGAGATCTTTAAGATTTATTATTTTACCTACTAATGGAACTAATTCAACTGTTAATAATAATGTTACTAGTAAACAAAGGAAAATAAGAATACAATTTTTATTTGTTTATTCTGTTTTAATTCAAGGTGTTATTATACTTTATATGAGTAAATAAATTTACTGGTTGTATATTGTTATAGTTATGTATGAGATGTATATATTTAAATAGAAACATTATAATAGTATCATTAGTGGAACATTATGCTTTGATCCAAAGTCAGCTCAGCAACGTAAATCTTTCATACTCAGACCTCTATTTATATTTGATCATGACCAGAGGTTGTTTTTTTATTTCACACAGTATTTACAATTTTTGCTGAAAAAGAGTACTTAAAAACTTTTAAAAACAGCCTAGTCAAAAAAATTCTTTTAATTCATCAATCAATAAATCCAATAGTTGACTACAAGCAAAATATAGAGCTGAATGTCTGTTATCAAAATGTTGATGTCTTGATTCAAAAATTTGGCTGTCAAAATTGTTTTATGACACAAACGCGTCTTAATATTATAATATTTTTTTTTTACTTACAAAAGATTTTATTTTGCAGCACAATAATTTTAATACTACAATAGATCTACATAACTTAAAACAACCTCATGATCATATAGCATTAGCATTAAATTAGCATAACATAGCATAGAATAAAAAAAATTATATAAATCGACAATGCCGTCACTACCTAAACCCAAATTTAAAGGTTCAACTTCTGCAAGATACGTTAAGAATAATGATGGTAAAACAAAATATAAAATATCAGAATTTAGAAATAGACAACCACTGCAACCAATAGATCCATATAAAGCCAATAATCCAATGTTAAATGATTCAATTCAAAAAAAGGAAATGGTTACAAGAATAGATCAAATTGATTCAATTATGGGATTTGATAGATTAGAACATGGTGAAAAAGATGGTAATAAACCTAAAAAGGGTTGGTTAATTAATATGCATTCAACTACAATACCAAGTGAAAGTTATTTAACTGGTTATTCTGGTGTTGACTATTATTTTTTAGATGAAGAAGGTGGTACTTTTAAAGCTACTATACAATATGATCCTTATTTTTTTATAGATATAATATCAAGTGAATTCCAATCAGAAGTTGAAGAATGGATGAGAAAGTACCTTGAAACTTGTAATGTTAAAAGCTTTGGAAGAGTTATAAAAGAAGATTTATCATTACCTAATCATTTGTTGGGACTTAAAAAGAATTTAATTAAGTTGACATTTCATAATATTCAAGATTTATTAGCTGCAAGAAGACTACTAAACCCTATAATCAAAGAAAATCAATTAAAGAAAGAATCAAGAGATATGTTTAATTTCACAAAGAAAATTGATGCATCAGATCCATCTAAATTAGTTAGTGACATCAAGGAATATGATGTACCGTATCATGTTAGAGTTTCAATTGATAAACAAGTAAGAGTTGGGAAATGGTATAATGTATATGCAAAACATTCAAAAGTTGAATTAGTAGAAGATAAAGAATTAATTGCATTTGCTGATCCTGTTGTACTAGCTTTTGATATTGAAACTACAAAAGCACCTTTAAAATTTCCAGATGCTAAAATAGATCAAATTATGATGATTTCATATATGATTGATGGAGAAGGATTTTTAATAACAAATAGAGAAATTATATCTGAAGATATTGAAGATTTTGAGTATACTCCAAAAGCAGAATATCCAGGATTATTTACAATTTTTAATGAACCTGATGAAAAACATGTTTTGTTGAGATTTTTTGAACATATAAGAGAAGTTAGACCCACAGTAATAGCAACTTTTAATGGTGATTTTTTCGATTGGCCATTTGTTGAAAATAGATCAAGATTTCATGATTTAGATTTATTTGAAGAAATTGGATTTGCAAAAGATAATGAAGACGAATATAAATCAAAATATTGTGTTCATATGGATTGTTTTAGATGGGTTAAAAGAGATTCATATTTACCTCAAGGTTCTCAAGGTTTAAAAGCAGTGACAACTGTTAAGTTGGGTTATAATCCAACTGAATTAGATCCGGAATTAATGACTCCATATGCTTATGAAAAACCACAATTATTAGCTGAATATTCAGTTTCTGATGCTGTTGCAACTTATTACTTGTATTATAAATATGTACATCCATTTATTTTTTCATTATGTACGATTATTCCATTAAATCCTGATGAAGTTTTAAGAAAAGGTACAGGTACCCTTTGCGAAATGCTTTTATCAGTTCAAGCTTATGAAAATAATATCTTGTTACCTAATAAATACACTGATCCAATTGAAAGATTTTATGATGGTCATTTGTTGGAGTCTGAAACTTATGTCGGTGGTCATGTTGAATCTTTAGAAGCTGGTGTTTTCAGAAGTGATATAGCTACTGATTTTAAAGTTGATCCTTCAGCTATTGATGAATTGTTACGAGATTTACATAACTCAATTAAATTTTGTGTTGAAGTGGAAAATAATAAGAAAATGGAAGATGTTGAAAATTTTGATGAAGTTTATAATAATATAAAACAATCACTACTAGATTTGAAGAATAATCCCAAAAGGAAGGAAAATCCATTAATTTATCATGTTGATGTTGCTTCTATGTATCCAAATATTATGACTTCAAATCGTCTACAACCTGATTCAATGAAATCTGAAGAAGATTGTGCAGCCTGTGATTTTAATCGACCTGGTAAAAATTGTGATAGAAGATTACCCTGGTCTTGGAGAGGTGAATATTATCCTGCTGAAATGAATGAATATAATATGATAAAACGTACATTACAAAATGAACAATTCCCACCACAAAGACCTTGGTTACCACCAAGATCCTTAGATGAATTATCTTATGCAGAGCAGGCCTCAGCTATTAAGAAAAGATTAAGTGATTATTCAAGAAAAGTTTATCATAGAGTTAAGCAAAGTCAAGTTGTTACTAGAGAAGCTATTATTTGTCAAAGAGAAAATCCATTTTATGTTGATACTGTTAGAAGTTTTAGAGATAGAAGATATGAATTTAAAGGTTTGGCAAAAGTTTGGAAGGGGAAAGTAAACAAAATTGATGTTTCTGATAAAATTGGAAGAGATGAAGCTAATAAAATGGTTGTTTTATATGATTCTTTACAATTGGCACATAAAGTTATTTTGAATTCATTTTATGGTTATGTTATGAGAAAAGGATCTAGATGGTATTCCATGGAAATGGCAGGTGTTACTTGTTTGACAGGTGCAACAATTATCCAAATGGCTAGAGCATTAGTTGAAAGAATTGGTAGACCCTTGGAATTAGATACTGATGGTATTTGGTGTATATTGCCAAAGAGTTTCCCAGAAAATTTCAATTTAAGATGTAAAGATGGTAAAAAGATCTTTTTAGAATACCCATGTTCTATGTTGAATTATTTGGTTCATGAAAAATTTACAAATAACCAATATCAAGATTTAGTTGATCCTGATAATTACAAGTATAAAACAAGATCAGATAATTCTATCTTTTTTGAAGTTGATGGTCCTTATAAAGCTATGATTTTACCAACATCAAAAGAAGAAGGTAAAGGTTTGAAGAAAAGATACGCTGTTTTCAATGACGATGGCTCATTAGCTGAATTAAAGGGGTTTGAATTGAAAAGAAGAGGTGAATTACAATTGATCAAAAATTTTCAATCTGATATTTTTAAATTATTTTTAGAAGGTGATTCATTAGATTCATGTTATCAAGCAGTTGCAACTGTTGCAAATAATTGGTTAGACGTATTGGATACAAAAGGTGGTATGCTTGAAGATGAAGATTTAATTGAATTAATTTGTGAAAATAAAAGTATGTCCAAAAGTTTAGCAGAATATGGAGATCAAAAATCTACTTCAATTACAACAGCTAAAAGATTGGGTGATTTCTTAGGTGAAGATATGGTAAAAGATGCAGGTTTAGCTACAAAATATATTATTAGTGCTAAACCAATTGGTGCTCCAGTTACTGAAAGAGCTGTTCCAGTTTCAATATTCTCCTCAGAAAAAAAAGAAATGTACTTGAAGAAATGGCTTAAAGATCCATCATTAAATAAGTTCAGTCCTAGAGATATAATTGATTGGGATTATTATTATGAAAGATTAGCATCAGTTGTTCAAAAAATCATAACTATACCTGCTGCACTACAAAATGTTAAAAATCCAGTTCCAAGAGTAGCTCATCCAGATTGGTTAAAGAAAAAAGTTGAAAATAGAGATAGTTCAAAACAACAAAGTTCTATTGCAAATTTTTTTGGTAAAAGTTCAAAAGATGAAACTAAAGTTAAAGATATTGAAGATTTTGGAGAAATTGATACAGAAGCAATAAAAGCTAAAGTAAGCACTGTACGACTTAAGAAGAGAAAAGCTGGACGTGCAAATTTGGTAGTCGATGCTGAAGAAGATGAAAAAAATCAAGCTATTTTAAATGGTGAATGTCCTTCCATTACTGAAGATTATAGAGGTTTTTTGATTTACCAAAAGGCAAAATGGACAGTACAAGCTTCAAGTAGAGATAGAAGACGAAAATTATTTGGAGCTCAAACTCAAAGTTCTCAAAGATCTACAGTTGGTGGCATGTTTAGAAAACAAGCTGAAAATATTGCAGGTAGTAATTGGGAAATTTTAGAATATCAAAATGATCCAATGAATCCGGGAGATTTAAAAGTTTATGTTTCAGCAGAAGATAAAATTCACACTTTTAATTTTCATGTTCCCAAAAAGATTTATGCATCTTTCAAATCACCTTTAACTATTAGAGATTCAATAACTGGTTGTGAAATTGAAAAATCAAATGCCATTTTACCAAATGGTCATGATGCTTCTAATTTATATAAATTAACTATGCCTCAATCTATATATCAAGAGCAATTATCTGACGTTGAAAGTATTATACAGAGTTGCAAAACTTTGGGGATTTATGAAAGTAATGTTAGTGCTATAGAACGAGCAGTTATTGATTTAGGTAATACTGTTAGATTTGATGATACTAAAGTGGGTGCATTAGGTAAAGGTTTGAAAAATGGATTCAACACTAAAGAATTATTGAAAATTGAAAATGATGCATACTTGAGAAAATTTGATATGGATATTATCTATTTACTTCATATTGTTACTAACAATTACGAATATTATACAATTTTTAAATCATGGGAGAATCAAAGTCATATGTTTGTGTTGAAACCTTCCGCTAATGCTCAAGAATTACCTAATAATATATCAAAAATTTATAGAGAAGTATTTGACACTAAAAAAGATAAGTTGGGTAAAACTTCAATTATTGATTATCCTTCTGATATGGCATTTGAAACTAATTATTATCATGATAAAACCAGGTTGTTGAAAAAATTAAATCAAGCTATAAATAAAATTCATGAAGGTAGAAGTAGTAAAGCATTACTTGCAATTCAGTCACCATATACTTCAAAACTTTTAGGTCTTTTAACTGCATTATCTAATTTCCCAACTATTAAAATGGCCATTAGTGAACTAGTACTACCAGCTGTTGGTTGGCAAGTTTTAATCTCAAAAAGAGTTATTAACCATTACTTTGTTTTAGCATCTTGGATTCAAAATCTTATATCATTATCAAAATATGGTCGTATACCACTTTGTAATATTCAAATTGAAAATATTGGTTATTTAATTGATGTTGAATATGCAAGAAGATTAAGTGAAAATAATATCGTTTTATGGTGGTCACAAAATCCATTACCAGATTTAGGTGGGTTTGAAATGGATCAATCAAATGATATAGAAAAATTAGAATTCCCCACAATAAATAATCCTGAAATTTATGAAACAACTTGTTTAGAGGTTGAAATTGGTACATTAACTATAAACACAATATTAACAAGCTCATTAATTAATGAAGCTGAAGGAACTGATTTAGCTGATGAATCTTTACAATTTGATAATAATAATGGTGCTTCAACTTTCTCAGAAGATTCGTTTTCAACACCTGCTTTATTGATATTAAGAGCAATGGTTAAAGATTGGTGGGATGATGCTTTAAAAAATAACATTAATGCTGATTCTGTTATGAATGCTTTAATTACTTGGGTTCAACGAAAAAACTCTCATTTGTATGATCCATCATTACATTATCATGTTCATAATTTAAGTTCAAAAGCGTTATTGCAATTAGTTAGTGAATTAAAAAGAATGGGTGCACTGGTTGTATTTGCAAATAGGAATAAAATGATTATACAAACTACCAAAGTATCTGTTGAAAATTCATATGCTTATGGTCAATATATACTAAAAGCTGCTAGATCAAAACCATTATTTAATTTCTTGGATTTAAATGTTACTAAATATTGGGATATACTAGTATGGATGGATGAATATAATTATGGTGGTAGAACTTGTACAGAAATAACAAGTGAAGAAACTCAAAACTTAAATATTGAAAGTGTATGGCAATTGAAGAAATTTTTACCTATAGTATTTCAAGATGAATTTGAGGATTGGATGTTCATATTTTTAGATGCATTAACTCAATTCAAGATAAAAAACATTACGGGAACTCAATCATCAACACCAAGAATAACTCAGATTGCTCATATTTTAAATGGTCAAAAAAAATTACAATCAAAAGAAATTGAAACTGAAGATTTAAGTAATGGAGTCATTGAAATTTTTAGAAAACCACTTTTCAAAAGAATTGAAAAATTATATAAGAAACAAATTGATGCAATCTTGAATCCTGAATTTAAAAAAGAATATGAATTCCCCAAATTACCTGGTTCTTACTTGTTGATGAGAAATCCAACATTAGAACTTGTAAAATTCATATGTGCTGTTTTTTCATTATCATCAAAAAGGTATATTGAAGTTAGAGTATTGAGAAAAGAATTACTACAAATATTTGACATAAAAGAATTTAGTTCACAAGCAACTTTTAAGAATCCAAGTACTTCATTAATCATACCTCATGTTATATGTGATTATTGTAATCACATTAGAGATATAGATATTTGTAAAGAAGAAGAATCAAAAATTTGGAATTGTACATCATGTCATAAACCATATAACAAAATATCCATAGAAGAAGAACTTATATCACAACTAATGAAAATTTTTGCTGATTTTTTCAACCAAGATTTAAAATGTGATAAATGTGGATCAATAAGACAGGGAAACTTGGATTTGTTTTGTAAATGTTCTGGTAATTGGATTGAAACTATTAGTAACGGTGAAGTGGATAAAAAGATTCAAATTTTTAGTAACGTTTCTGATTTTTATAATTTACAATTACTTAGAGGATTATTGGAAGAAGTTGTTAATAGTATTTAGAAATTTAAAAGTAATAGATTATTCATTTGCATTAAAATTGTATTTCTTGTTTGTTTTGTTTAGTCTCTACATATAAAATATCATACCAAAGTATTTGCAACACTTTTTTTTGTTACTTTTAGATCAAAACAAACAACAAACAATTCACGACTCAACTACTTTACATATGCATATATGAGTTTAACAGAAGAAGAACTACTACATCTAAAGTCAACTGTAAAATATCGAGATGAAGAAATAGACGCATTAAACGCGTTCATAAACAGAGACTCAAAATTATCATCACCGTTAGTACTAATAAATGGATTCAAACCAATTGGTAAAACATTACTAATAAAAGAATTTTTGGAAGTTCTAGATATAAATCATTCAATTATTCAATGTGATGAATGTATTACTCAACATATGTTATTACAAAGATGTTATAATAAGATACGACAAGATAGTGGTAAATTTAAAAAACAAGCACCAAAAGAAATATTGCAAACTGATCAAATTGCAACATTTATATCTTCGCTAGAGTCATTTATATTGGAGTATAAGTATAATGAGCCTCATGTATTAGTGTTGGATAGATTTGATGAATGTTTTGAAAATTGTGATGATTTACTAGCGAGTTTTTGTAAAATTAGAGAATTTACAGAGATTCAAAATTTAACTGTTGTTGCTGTGTTTGGGGGTTCTATACCAAGAGAAATTATAACATATAGTGTCCCTACGGTGTTTCTACCCGTTTATAAAGAGCATGAAGTTGTTGAAATTTTGCAAAGTTTGAAGTTGTGTGAATTTGAATTTGAAGTTGTTAACTCTACTGAGGGACAAAGATTAGAATTTTATAATCAGTATGTTAAAGCCGTGGTGGATCTGTTTTTTATGTATACTGGATCTGATTTGACTAAATTAAAAGATTTAGTTGTTAAATTATGGGATAAATTTATTGAACCATTAATGTTTGGAGTTTATAATATTACTGAATTTTTAAAAATTTATAAAGATAATATTACGTTATTTACAGATGAAAATATAATAGCTAATTGTAACGTTATTGAATTCAAGACATTAAGAGAAGAAGAAGAAGTAAGTTATGGAAATATATTAGATTTACCATTACATTCAAAATTCTTTTTATTAGCTTCTTATTTAGCAAGTTTTGGTAATCAAAGAAATGATTTACATAAGTATTCTAAAGTTAAAGCCTTTAAATATAAAAAAAGAGCAAGTACTAAAGCTATCAAACAGGGGCATTTAAGTAAAGATGATATTGATTCACGATTATTAACTGCAAATTTTGTTGATTTGGAAAGAATATTGGCTATATTATCAGTGATTTATAGAAATTTTGCACCATCGTTTAATCAATCAGATAAAGATGATTTGTTATACTTGGGAGATGAAGTAATAGAAATTGAACAAAAGAAAGAATTGGAAAAATCCAACTTTACGTTAACTAAAAATATAGATTTAAATAATCAAATTGCAACATTATATAGTTTAGGATTCTTAAGTAAAACTTCATCTTCAGATATTTTAGCAGCTAGAATTAGATGGAAATGTAATATTGATTGGGGTATGGCTAAACTGATTGCTGATTCTGTTAATTTTCCCATATTAGATTATTTAATTGATGAATAATTAATTAAGTTTGAAAATTTATTTCTTGTATGTGTTTGAATGAATCTTCTCCGATCTTACGTACAACTACTTTGTTTTCGAAATATGTTTGTTTCCAATGATACATTTCGTATTCTGAATATGGTCCATTTATTGTATCTGTAAGGTCATCTATCCATTTGAATTCCCATATTTTCTCACCATAATCTATTTCTTCTTCTTTTAGTGATTCGTCTTCTTCTTCTTCTTTTTCTTCTCTTAGTCGTTTTGTTCTATTCTTATACTCAACCCCAGTTTCTTGTTGGTATTTTCTCATGAACTCTTCTCTAGTCACATCATATACATCTTCAAACAATGATTTTTTCAGTAGTTTTGAGCAACTATTAGTTATAATGGTTATATCATTCTCTGCTTTGTTGATATTTAGTTTTTGCTTTTTTTGACGTTTTAAAGTTGTGTTTAGTCTAGCTAATGCTTCAAGTGAAGTTTCAGCAGGTTCTAGTATTTCTATAAGTGATAGAAGAATGTTCTCAATCGGTTCTGTATCTTCTTGTTGATTGTTGGCAAATTTAATTCTTTCCTCTTCTGCCTTTTTAGCTTTTCGAATTTCACTTTTGGAAAACTGAGATATATATTCATCTTCTTCGTCTATTTCTTCCTCTGATTCATTTTTCAAAAGATTACCTTCTTCATCTATTATACCTGATTGAGTTTCTTCCGAAAGATCGAATTTTTCAATTTTGGGTTGCTTTTTCTTCTTCTTGTGGTTGTTTGATTCGTAGTTTTCTGCATTTGTATAATAGTTGATCGTTTCTTCGTCATGTTCTTCTTCTTCTGGCTCTGATTCATCTTCGTTTGAGTACATGTCTGATAGTTCTTCGATCTGGTCTTGGGTTGAGAATTGAAGTTTCTTCGTGGTTGATGGTTCTTCATCACTTGCAAACATATCATCATCTTCAACTTCAACTGTCGGTAGATTGTTCTTAAGTAGTTGTTCTTCTTCACTTGCGAACATATCGTCCTCGTCTACATCATTTGCCAACGGTAGTTTGTTCGGTTCTAATTCATTTTGATCTTGTACTTCATCATCTTCCTCCTCTGAACTATCAATTGGTTCTATGTCTTCAAAAGGTTTTGGTTTTCGCTTTGAGTTGAATGCTATATCATATTCATTATTGTTTTCATCTATTGAAATATGATTCATCTACTTGACTTGATACTCAGACTGGTTTATTTACGATCGAAAAAAAAAAATTATTTTCTGAATATATGACGTAAGGCTATTTATTCATCTTTATTTTCAGTGGTAATGCCAAATTTAGACGATTTGGACATAGATATTGAAACAGATGATACATTAGGACTAGAAAGACAGTATTATGATATAGGATACAAAGAAGGTATAGACCAATCAACTAAGGAACAATACCTCGAGGGAAAACAATTTGGTTATCAAACTGGATTTCAAAGATTTTTGATTGTTGGATATATACGGGGATTGATACAGGATTGGGAATTAAATTTGAAGAAATATGATAATCAACAATCTTTAAATAACCATTTAAGCCAAATAAAGAGTTGTATGGATAAAATTAGTTTAGTCAATAATGATAAAGAAGTTGAGAAATTCGAAATTAATTTGAGAAAATCTAGGAATAAATTAAGAGTACTAGTGGGGATTACTAAAGAGAGTTGGAAGATTGATAATTTAGACGAATTGATTAATAAAGTTGGTGGGAATATGCAAATTAGTGAAAATGTTGATGATATGTGGTAAAATAACAAAACAATATTAAGATAAGACGATAAATAAATTGATTAAAAAATTTTTTACAAGCATAAAGTCGTTTGAATTGAATTGAAACATTAAAAGATCAGAAGTCTGTCATAAATCCGTATATACTGTTTCAAATTAAGAATTATAGATGATAAAGTAAATTGATATATTAATAGATAACATACTTTTAAATAAGTGTCTCATTTAGTATTTATATACGAGAAATAATTTAGAGTTTCGTAAAATCTACATTGAGACATTGAAATATATTTTCCGACATGTCAACTTTTTTTGTTAAAGCAGACGCATAATTCCGTATTCTCTCACATATCCAGATTTAAATTTGAATCAATTAAGATGTCAAAAGAATTAATAAACTGATTCATTTTGAATTTTCTTCCTATCGTCATGGCTTACCACTTGTAATTGCTTCTTTTACAAGTACATTGTTTAAGTTATCAAAACTTTACATTCCCGAATATCAATTATTTCCCCAAGTTGTTTCAGAATTATCAAGGAAAAGGGTTTTTTAAATTGCTTATAGGATTTTGCATATCAGATTTTTCAACTTGTTCATGTTAGTTATCTCAATTGCTTTTATGCTTGATTCAGTTCGTAATTAAGACGTATATAACGATCTAGCTGTTGAACATGTATGCACATTTGGTCATCAACTTTACTTAAGTCATCCGACGTTAAGCATAATCGGATGATACATTAGCCCGAAAAAGATTGGAAAACTTGCACTCAATACTTTAGTCAGTAAAACAAAGAGTTTAATTCTTTTTTCGTATCTGGTAGAAGATAAAAAGTAATAAGCTTTTTCCTAATAAACTTTGAATATTATCAATTTTTATTATCTTTTTGCTTGTTTGTGATTAGTAAACAATAGATTAACCTTTTAGCTCCTGTAATTAAACTTTTTTTTAAACAAACTGATGATAAAATTTAAAACTTAAAAATCGAAAGAACTCAAAAAGAAAGAAAAAATAAATTGTAATGGATTTTAAAACTTGAGTTTTATGCAGAGTCCAAAATAATAGCCGCCGATGATACTACTACATATTTTTGGCTGCAAAAAATCAAACAAGTACCCGCTCTACTAAAAAAGTAAGGTGATAGCTCTGTTACAAATAAGGTTTTGGAAATTTTGAGTATTGTGATTGTATTCCTATTCACTTATAAACTTCAAAGTATAATATTTCTCGAAATATAATATGGTGAGAGCACAACTTTTGATAAACAACTCTCATTACTAAAACATTAGATAATTATAAAGCTTATTGATAATAATTTAATTGATGATTATCATCTAATGTTGTTTTCGTGGGTTTGCTACTTAAACAAGCAGACTAGTTTAGTGAGGTGATGAATGATTTTGCCATTTATGGAGTAGCCTGAACGCATCCCAATCATTTAATTTAATTAGAAGTTGATGTTATTACGAGATCCCTTAACAAGTTACTCAAAATATTTGACAATGATATTGTTATAACAACTAATTAAGAAATTAAAAGAAAATTTCAGCAAAAGTTTATTTTTTTGACTTGTGGCCCCACCCATAGAAACCCCTAAAAAATTAAATACAATTTTTTAAAAATGTAAATAAAAATATAGAATTGATCATATGAAAAAATCAAAGATAACATAGAGTTTGAAAGACATTACAAATTGTTTCAAATGTATTTTTAATATACTTTAATACCTAGACCTTAAAATAAATCTTGAAGAAATCAAATACCACAAGATGAAAGGGTTATTATTTTGCAGTTTGGAGATTTTACAACATATATAATAAAGTAAGTTTTCATTTATTCAATCAATGCAAATGAACTCTTTACAATTAAAGTTCAATTGAGTGTTTAGTATTTAAATAATACAAAATATTAATTTCATAATTAATTCAAAATAATAAAGTTAATAATAATAATTTCCAAAAATAAATAATTATTAACAAATCTCCTTCAAATATTTTTTAAAAGAATGATGAATCGAGTTATAATAATTTCAAAATATTTTTCTTCTGTTTTATGATAATAATTAAATATTTTATTACAGATAAAACAAGGGTTGGTAATAAATCTTAAAATGTTTAATTTGCGATTAGAAATGAATCTAAAATTTAGATTTGTAAAAGTACTTATATCATGGTAAATACTCTTTTTGACTGTTATTGGTAAATTTCTTCTCTTTCTTTTTGCATTCATAGTTTAGTTAAAAGCATTTTATCAGTATATATTTACTAATTTTTCCAAGATTGTAAATTCACATAGACTTGCATTAATAGAGTTAGTTCATTGTAAATTTATTGCTAAAGCTTTGAACAAGATCATTCGTAAGATGGATAAAGATGAGAGTAAATTAAATAATCAACCAAACAATATTTCAAAGCCTTTAATAAGTGATCTTTTGAATCACGATGAAAGCAATGACAATGAACTAACACCAATGGTAATTGATGAAGATTTACAAGTCAGTCAGCAACAATTAAATTCCCATCCAAAATTTTATCAACAAGATTTCAGAAACAATTTGTCAGATACAAGGGTAAATGAGTCAAATGATCAATTGATTTCATTAAGAGCACCTGAAACACTATTCACTTTCAGAGATAACAATCATAGCAAAGAAGAAAAGTTATTACTTTCAAAATTTGAAAATGAACTGGTAATATTCTATAAATTTCTGAACTTGGAAAAGGAGTATGTAAAAAAAAACCAATACGTATATTTTTTTTCAGTTTACCAATTTCTTGTCTTAACATTTCAGGTAAAAGCATTAAATGATAATCATGAACCCATATCATATCATTATCTTCAACTTGTTTTGAAATTTCTAAAGCAAATTTTTTATTTGCTTCAATATATGCAGCCCATGCATTTTCATCAAAATTCATTTCACCAGGATGATAATGAAATAATGGCCATAATATAGAATTTGAAAATCCATTATAATGTAAATCTGCTATTGTATCACTTAAATATATTGCTGTACAATTAAATTTTGAATTTAAATCTTGGTTAACTTTTTTTTGTTCATTTTCTGGAATTTCTAAACCTGGCCAACCTAACCATTGAAATTCAGTTGATTTTTTTAATCCTTGTAATGCTGTTACTAACCCACCTGATGACATTGAATAATCATATGATCCATCATCTTTTCTTTTTATTGTAACTGGTAATCTATTTGATACTACAAATACTTTTCCTTCAACCATTTTTAATTAGTTCTAAGTTTTATCTAT